TTTCTTTATATTTCTGATGCTATTATTGCCACTGTTCACAAAAGGCAAGGACATCAAAACAACCGTCGCTCTTTCTCTCTTTGTGTGTCTATACTGTGTATATATATTATTAACTTACACCGTTTTTTTTATGACAAGCCATGTATTCAACAAATGTTCAACACTCTAAAGTTGTTATTTAAATTTCGACAGTGAGTCGTGTTCGTCTTTCTCGCAGTCTTTCTCGCACTCATGTGCCGAAGCCGTTGCACACAACGCAAAGAAGAAGCTAATGATGGTGGTTTTAAATGCCCGAGGGTTCTTCGAAAAATTTCTGATTCTCGCATTCAACGCTGCGAATTGACGAAAATTATCCGCATAAATTGAAATTCCCAAACGTAAAACGGACGAATAAGACGTGAATATGCATGCATAATGTGCCGGTGTATTATTCTACGATGCATGTGTTTATATTTTACCAAACGTTTACACACATATACACACCAATCTACACCCAAACTGAACATGACTAATTTAAATTTAATTGTCACTTTTTGTTACCATTCTTACTTGTCGTTCGATAAAATGTCTGAGCGAAACAATCGTTTAAAAGAGAACCATTTTGATGGATCAACATTTTAAGAACGATTCAAATGTTTCGTATCGAAAGAATGAGCATGGAAGTTGAAATGAAAAACAAACCGAACGAATTTTTCAAAACGAACAAGAATTCAATTATAAAAACTTGAAAACATTTTTGATTACACCTAGGATTACACGTACCTACTTTTCCATTTTCAAAAATTTCCAAATAAAAATGCTTCAAAAACTTTTTCGTTCACGAGCGTTACGTTTGTTGTTGATGTTTTTTTTATACCAAGGAAGTGCAATAACAAATCCCGTTCATAAAAAAACAAATTCGAAATCAGCAAAAGTTTTTCAAGATGAAACCGTTTATAAACGAAATGATAATCGCACATTTGTTTTATTTTATTGAACATAATTAAATCATCCGAATAAATCGACACCGATCATTTGATGCGAATGAGATATGCCAAATGTTTTCATAGGCACGATAAACACTTCATCAAATATCATTAGTCCGGGGATAATAAAAATAAGAGGGCTGGTATCGCTTTTATTACTTACTTATCATTCAATTTCCTTTACACATTCACACCCGTTTTGCATCGCCGCCTCTTCTCTCTTTCCGTTCAAATCCCAACAAAAATATAATTTAATCGACTCGTTTCAATTCCCACTTGAAGTTGTAGTGTCAATTAAATAACAGTTTCGTATAGCCTCGATAAATAGAAAACCACTAGTCAACAAGGGACAACAATAGCTTATGGCCGCATATTTTCTCTTAAACTCGTATAAATATTGCGAAGCGATGAAGTTTTTTTTTTCTTCTTGTTATTGTTGCCTCAAACTTTTTGCTGGAAACTTCAAAGATTCTATGATCTTTTTTCGTATGTATCAGATCGTTTCTCATAATCGAATCAATAAATTGAGAGAGAAAAGGCTCTGATGGCCGCAGTAAAATTGTACCTCATTTTAGTTACAAGCCAATTTTCGATATTTTGTTTGATAATTTTATGGTATTTTGCCACCCTACGTGATAGGAACATCTCTCTTTTGAGAGAGAGAGAGAAGCAACCGAAAAACTGTAACATATATCCGAACAACAGTAGCAGAAAAAGTAGCTAAAAACGACACCAGTTACACACAGCAAAAGGAGCGTTTAAATTCAATTACCTTCGCTATTTTTCCGGTCGCTTTGCAACGCTATTACTATCATATCGCATAAAGCCCCCGATAATATGAGATATTGGTGGTAATGGTGGTGGTAGTACGTATCATATTGCACAATATGCGTTGTTACATCTTAAACTTTCGACAAATTATATGGTTTTATTCAGCCACATGGTTCTATATTTGTGAGCTAATTTTTTCTCTCTCGTCTATTATTCCGTTCAAAAGAATGTGTGCATGTGCAATGTGTATCGTAATTAGTTTAAATAAGCGAATTTTGTTGCGTCGAATTTAAATGAATCGCGAGAAATATAAAAACAAAACATTTTTTTTCTCCTTGCTGCAGTATTAAAGAAAAATAAATTCAATTCTGTATCGAATACAATACGAATATTTTAAAAATCCAGTTTTAGAATAATATTTTTTGATATTTTTTTTTTTAATATAATAGATATGGTTACTTGTTTCGTTATAATAATAGTTTTAAATATTAATCTATGATTTCTGGCAAGCAATGTTTTTACGATTATTCTATTATTAATTCTGCTATCGCAAGGATCATATGCGGAAATATACCGATGAATATAACAAAGAAAATGAAGTTCGGAATATGTTTTACAAGTAAGGTTCCAGTTTGGCCGGTAGTTTTCCTTTTAACTTGGTACAATTTCAAGAAGTAAGAATTTGTATCCAAATGTGATATTTATTACATGTTTATACGTTTTTTGGACTTTTGACGTGAAAACAAATGGAATGGGATTTCCAGAGAAGTATTTTGCTGCATTGAATATACCATAAAAAACCTGGAATTTAATAAAAGATTTATTTATATTCGATCTTTGAACAAAATAAATTGGAATTACTTTCAAGCGAGGATACTGCGTTCGTGTTTGCACGCACTCTTCGTAATATTTCCTTCGTGTGTACAATTCTAAAAAGTTAAAAAAGTGCCAATTAAAATAGTGGAATCGATGATTTTTGTATCTACAATAAAATCTGTCTAAATTTTATTGAACAAAGGTAATCATCTGAAAATTTCGAAATATGTTTCACGTTTTTCTGATGGATATGTGTCGTAAAACATGTGATGAGTACATAACTCGAAATCAATCTCTTAATCCAAATTTTTTTTTCAATTTTTACTAAAGCCATTTTCTCGACTCCAAAAGGTCTTGTGACTTTAATTTAATTGCTTTGCCATGCTTTGTTTTGCGAATGTTCGTTGCATGGCCATTTTTCATTCGAGCCCCATAAATCATTGTACAGTTCAACAATGTGCACATGCCAAGAAATGCAAGAGGCCTAGGGTTTATCAGAAGAAAAGAATAGAAAAAATGGAAATTAATCAATAAGTAATGGAACAAAATGGAAAATGAATCGAAGTAATGGATCAGGAATTCTAGAGTAATGGAATAGTATTCTTTTAAGTAAGTATGTCTGTCCGAATACTTTTTGACTGTTTAATATCAATGTGGAATTATAAAATCTGGCACATATGATTTTATTCTTAGACGAAATCACAAAATTTTGAAGAGATAAAATAATATTTTAGCCCATGCATTTGGGTTTTTCATATTCAATACATACCATTTTCATTCACGTTGACATTTTTGGTCATTTTTGACCATTTTTGATACTTTTTGTGGGTAAGTGTATTCAAATTTAAATATAGCATCTAAGTTGTTTTATAGCAGAAAAAGCGTCATATTCGGTCTTTTCATGCCAAAAAAACCCCAAATACTTATTTCCAGATCGTTTGAATGGATACCAATTTACTTCAAAATGTGACTTCAGAGGCGAATAACCAAATCAATTTTTTTATTCAAATGACTAAATTTTTTTTTAAAACGAATTAACGCTTAACTATACTTGAACCGTACTACAACGCATGATAGATCACCCCTCTGGGATATTGAATTCAAAATGTTACTAGAGTATAAACAGCCAATTTTGGTTTTCCGGAAAACTCTCTAGAAAAATTGTGGAAAATCCTGACGTGATAGAGAAAAATGGGTGATGCCATCGAAATGAGCATACCCAAATTATGTAAATACGGTGGGTCTCGTCTCCATCACATTTTGAGTGACGCACAGTGTCTTTATATCATTTTTTTTTTTCAATTTACGTACACATCTCAGTTGTTATGAAACGGTCAATCCAACAGAAAACCGTTATTTATTAATTAAGTAATATATTAGTGTATTATAAGTACAAAATACTACTTTGAAAGTTTCCACTGTGCCGCAATACTATAAATCTAAAAATGTTTTGATATACATTGTTTCATATTGCGTCGGAATTTTCAAAGAAGTGATTGTTATTCGAATTTCAGAAGGTAATTTTATTTCACCTAGATGCAACTATTTCTATGCTTAACGAAATCAACCACATAAAGCAATATAGGTAAATATATTTTTGAGTTAAAATGTAACATTTCATTCTTGAAATTTATTATTACCAATATTTAGACTTTGATTTTTTTCCTTCACAAAATATAACATCAGTGTAATTTGAATCTAAATGACACTTAAATCGATTATAACATTAACATTTCTTTTGGTTTCTAGAATTCGAGAACGCCGCGGTTCTTGCTAAAATGTTTCTATCCCTTGCTATATGTTTAGGTATATGTCTAACTATTTATCTGTACTACACTGATTGCAAAAGAAAATTTGAAATACAGATTGCTGTACCGCACCGTCGGTTATTAATCGTTTATTTATAATTTCAACTGTTTTCAAGTGTTCAACTGAAGTGTATTCTGTTTGATGGTCAATTTTTGAATTGTTAAGAGATAAAAGTGATTGTAAATTGTGCACGGTTGTCCATGAGGCGGTTTGTTATATCCATCTATCAAAAAAGTACAGAAAAAAGAATGTTCCCCAGCAATTTTATGTATTATTTTAGCTGTATAACAATTCGTTTGTCATTCGTCAATAAGAATATACATGAAAGGGCCTACTTACCGTTTTTTTTTGTGCCTTGTCGATAACAAAGATCCAACCAATGTGTGAATGACTCCACTTAAAATAGCAACAAGAATTCTTTTCGAATAATTACTTTCGAAATTCCATGAGATATTAAAGAAAACAAGTTGTTTTTTGTATTTTGTTCAAAAAATAATAATAATATTAGCTCCAACGTGAATTTGGATGTAATACTAATAGTAATTTGTATTGTTGATTTTCTCTTGATTTTTCATAATTATCTAATATTTAAAAATTTCTTTCTTAAAATATTATATAAATTAAAGGATCACTTATTCCGTGTTTCAGAATTGTTATGATTAATTATAAAAAAAAGTCTCAATTATTTAACTTATAGAGTGAGAAATAGTACTGGGTGAAGTGAAAAATATGATCTTTTATGTAGTTTGTTTTTGAAAACGAAAGAAAAAAATATAGATTCAAGATGTAGAAATAGAGAAATCTTAAATAAAAAAAATATAATAATAATTGAAATTTAGCGTCACGATGTGATTCGTAAACTTAAAAGTAATAGAAAAAAGGGAAAAAATAGACAATATTTTTGCTTTGCTCTGTTATTACAAATTCAAAGATGAAAAAAAGAGAGAATTTCATATGAAAAAAAATATATATGTTTGTGAGAAAAGTAAATAAAAACTGGGCAATGGGCAATTCAGTTTGTGGTTGAGTTTTCGTAAACTAGAGGCAATGTTGATGACACTTGGTTAGGTTCGGTGGCTAGTTCCATGAGTGCAAGTGCACCCAACCATTTGCGATTTGTACCTTCGTTACTGTTGCTGCTGCCGTTGCTATTGCTGCTACTGTGGTTAACGCTGGCAGTGCTCTGTGCAGAGATGGCAATCGGTGTGGATGCAATCACATATTTTGGATCCAAGCGAAGATCTGATTCGATTTCGTTTCGATGTTTTTGCTGAAGATCAAAGCATTCATTGCTCACTGGGTTTGAAGACGAAATCGGTGTGGCGGTGGCGATGTCGGTGGCGACAGCAACAACATGGGAATTTAAAATATTTATATTCGAGGTAGGCTGTTGTGCTTGTAACTGAGATTTATTTGATGTTGTATTCGATGTTATCATATGGTTACCGTTGGCATTTGTTGTGAGATTGGTAAGTGGCATCGCACGATCTTTGCTGGCAACCATTAAAACCGTTGGACGCAATTGATTTGGATTCATTTGGTTTGTATCGTTGTTAATGTGCTGTTGATATTGTTGCATTGTGGTATACGATTTGTGTTGCTGTTGCTGTTGGTGTGGTTGTTGTTGTTGTTGCTTTAACGGTGATAGCATTTGGTATGGTGTTGAATGTTTATCATTTGTTTTGTATGCATCTGATGATGCGACGATCGATCGACCATTTGTTATCGGTTCTAACGGTCGTGCCAAATCATTTTGCCAGGCTTCGCGTAACCAACGCTTTTTCGGATTGAACGCTGATTGTGCGGCATTTTCAAATTCATCGGCCGAATCTTCTTCTTGACTTAACGGTTCGTGCCAGCGAATTACCTTTGGTGTTGGCTTCATTTTTGTACCCGTTATTGGACTTGCACCGAGACCGGCATTCATATCCAATTCAGTCATTAAACCTTTTCGAACTTTGTACGGATTATTTGGTGTGACTGGTGTAAATTGATTTTCATCACTTCCGCCGCCAATGGTGTTGAAATTTTCATTGGACTTTTCACTGGAACGATGCAACGATGATGATGATGATGTTGTCGATGTTATCGATGATGTACGCATCGAATTATCATCGGAATGTGATGTTTTCGTTCGCTTTGGCGTTTTACGTGTTGGTGTTCGATCCTCCTTTTCCATTTTGTATTTTTCCAGCCATTTGGTTACCTCGTGGTTTGGTTCAGTCACGGCTGCAATAACATAACCATCACAACGTTTCAATTGTTCATACGGATGTTCCGGACAATGACGATTGGCATGTGTGAAACGCATTTGACACTTTGGCGCCGAACACATAAACGGCCGTTCACCCGTATGCAAACGTTGATGAGTCTTCAATTGGCCGCTTTGTGTGAATGCACGAGTACATCCTGGATAATCACATTGATACGGTTTTTCGCCTATAAATAAACAATAAAACAAATGAAACATTGAAACCAAATCCAAACAAAAAAATAACAAAAACAAAAAAATCACTCGTATTAATTTCGGTAATAGAATCTGATGGGACGTAATCGGTTTGTCTTTTTCTTATGGCAACACAAACACATTCAAATCAGAAATTTGTCATTCCAATCAATATAAACCGGAAAATGATTTCAAATTCAAATGTTCAATTCAAACACATACACTTAAAATTCATGGAAGTTTATTCATTATCACAGCACCTTTAACCAGCGGAAATTTATATTCAATTATTAATAAATGCAAACGATGGAGTAAAAGAGATTTGTTTCACTGAATTTAGCCTACACGAGGCCTGTATGGGGGTCATATGAAAAATCAACGAATATTGAATGTATTTAATATGGAATACTGACCTGTGTGCGTTCGGAGATGGGCTTGAAGTGATTTTTCGCGTGGAAATACACGATTACAAAAGGTACACTTTATTGATGACGGTGATGTGGATCCTTCAATCATGAGATGAGTGAGTGCTTCAGATCGCGGTCGACCACGTCGATTTTCTCGTCCATCGGCCGATGCATTCGGTGTGTTATTGTGACTACTTGTGCTGATATTGCTGCTGGTATTACTGTTATTGCGCAATGAAAATTCGGGCGAATCACAAGAGCTCACCGGGCTCAATGAACCGTTACCATTTGCTGTATCATTGCGATTCGCGCTTGTCGACAAGCTTTTGTTTAAATTCATTGTTGGTGTCGTCGATGTATCGTCGTCGAATGAATCCGGCCACTCGACATTATGATCACTGCCCGGACTTTGCACAAATGTGTCAAATAATTTGATGCGCTTCGGCGTATTCAGGGCCATCTAGACCAATAATAAACAACAAAAATATTTGTATTGTTGATTATGATGATTGAGATGATAATATTGTTGAATTGTAATACCAAAAAAATGAGATGTATACAACAAAAGGATGAAATTTGTATATGCTAAAATCGATTCTAGTTCGATTCGATGTATTCAGTCATTGAAATTTGAATGGTTTGGTTTATTAGTCGAAATAAAATAACTGGAACTTTTGTTGCACGAAAATTTCTCACATACGCACACACCATCCAAACGGGAAGTGGTGAACGAAAAAAAAAACGAATTGATTTTTAACAAATGATCAAAATTATGCAAAACAAAATGCTGAAACAGTTTCAGTACAAACAGAAAACAAAAATAATCAATGAAAATTTGAGCAAAAAATAAGCCTAACAATGCGCGGCCATGTTACTTTGACTCTATAATAGCGGGGTTCGACAATAATACAAACACACATACATTTACACAATGTCGAAATTGAAGGCGAAATTGCTATACACACAAACATACAATGCAGCAACTTGTCACGCTCACGCACGTGTCATGAGACAGCTAAAAAGAAACCACAATGGATGCATTCAATGTGCGCACATTCGAAATTTATACATCTGACACATCTTTATCGCATATTTCGTTGTTTGTTTGTCGTTTTTTATTTAAATAATTTGCTTCAGTGAATGTGAAAAAATGTTTTGCTATAAAAAACAATAACATTTTCATGATTTGAAATCGACGGATCACTAATTTACAAATATACACATACACATGAACACACACGCACACATGAAAATATGCTCATTGGCAAATTTACCCACTGACGGTATTTATGGATTCATTAATGACACTAACATAACCTCGAAAAGAGAGACCATCGAAAAAAATAAAAACCAATAAACTACCCATTCTGGAAAAAATGGGCGACAGTGAATAAATTTTTCTTTATGTTGCATCGATATATTTTAGTTTATGTCTGACTGTGAATGAGTAAACAATTCAAAAAATTAACCGACTGACAAAAGAAAAAAAAATATCAGAACCATTGGGCTGAGAAGAAGAAAAACAAAAACGTTCGGATCATTGTTGTGAGTAGGTGCAATTAATTTGTATTGGTTTCTTTGTTTTCAACATTATTTTTCACTTTTTTTGCTATTTTAAAGCGAAACATATACACATTTTTTGAAAGCTGAAATCGTTTTTTTTTCCTTTTAAATCTAAACATATTTTTGTATGTCGAAAAAAAAAAAGAAAATGTTGTTTTAGCATTTTGTCATTCGTTCATGACAATAGTACATTTTGCTTAACGCCATATATTTAAACGAACATTTCACTCATTTTAAAACCAAATTACATGTCTGGTAAGTTTGGTCATTAAGAAAAGAAAAAACAGTGTATTAAAAGTTTTGACATTCCATCATAACAACAGTTTAGAAAGTCATTAGCATAAAAGTGAGTGAAAGAGTGAGAGAAAAAAAGACATGAAATATTGTCGTTAACAATCGATACATTAAGTTCGTAATTATTCTATTGTAAACAATATGTTTGGATTTGGCGTATTTTTTAAACGTTCAAATTGACACTTGGTATCACTTTGATTTGGCATGACATTCCAAGAAACATATTGTTTAATAAACAGCAGAGAAAAGAGTATAATTGTTCTTTGTTTGTTTATTTACAGAAGAATAATAAACAACTAAATTTAAGGCTCATCGAAAAATGACAGACGCAGATATAGCTGAACTGGAGGCAGCAGCTCGGGTTTTCATGGTAATTGGCCATTAATTTTGTTTTTCGTTTGTTCATTTCATGCTAGAAAGTCGTTGAAAATAAATCATCTGACTAATTACATTTTCTAATATGTGCTAATGTGTTTGGTTTTTATTAGGATCCCACATGTGTGATTCAGCCGGAGCAACGTCAAAATGCCGAAAAAATTATATTAAATTTTCGTAAAACAAAATCACCATATTTGGTGTGCCAGCAAATTCTCGAAAAATCATCCGTGGATATGCTGCTATTCGAAGCGGCTGATGTGATAAAACGTGCCCTGATTATCGAATGGGATGGTATTCAAGATCAAGATCGTCTCGGTTTGAGACAGTATCTAATGAATTATGTGCTGCAACGCCATTTGCAACCGTTCATTCGTGAGAAAATTTTGCAAGTGATTGCCATTATGATTAAGCGAAATAGTGTTACCGATGCTGGCCTTGAAGCGGGCAATCTATTGAAGGAAATGGAAAAAATGCTGGCGGTCGGTGAAATCGAGCAAAAATTATTGGTTTGCCGTATAATTACGGCCATTTTACAAGAATATCTGATTACAGTGAAATCAGATGATTCGGGTCTAACGTTTAGCGAACATTTTAAGGCGAAAAAAGCATTTGAAGTACGATATATGGTGACAATTTTTAAAATGGCATTGACTGCCATCGAAGAACTTATGAATGTGTTTGATATTCAAAATGCTGGCCACAATCATCTGTTGCTCGAACTATTAAACATTGAAGAACAGATTTTAATGTGGGGCTATGTATCACCATTGCTACCGAAACGATTGATTGGCCTGTTTGAAAGTCTCACCAAAACCGATCAAACACCATCATTACGGCTGGGCGTTCAATGGGCAACGGTTATTTTAAATCCAAAAGTTATCGATTTATTCTTTGGCGTTTACTGGAAAGTACGTGAAATTCCAGAGCTTCAACGAAAAAATTTAACATGCATCGTACAATTGTCCACATTGAATGGGGCCGTTTTTAGAGATTCTCAATCCAAACTCGATTTCATAACCAATTATCTGTCCAAGTTCCTACAATTCCTCTCTTGGTAAGTGATATACATTTTTACACGAATTTAAGTCACTCAATTTGTCGTTTTCGTTTAATTTTTAGCGTTCAAGTCAAAGAAAATGAAGCTCTCGGTTTCGCCACAATATTCCGTAAGGCATTATTATATCATCCGCCGAACAAAAATCTTCCGCCAAATATTGTTAGTTCGATGCTTCAGCATATGTTCAATTTGACTGGCACTTTCTGTGAGGCAAGCGTTCACGAAGATAGCGTAAGTTTACAACATAAATTTTCATACGATGGTAAAACATATTTGACATACGAAAATGATAAACATTTAATTCGACAAATTACAGAAGAGCTCTGATGACTCAACGTACAATGAGGCATTGGAAAAGATTCTCGAGGCGTGGTTACTTATTTTACAAGGAAAAGAGGTAAATATTCATCAAAAGATGTATTGAAAGCATGGTTTGGAATTGATTAATTAAACGTTCCTTCAATATTTAATCGTTGCAGCATTTTCCACGTGAAGTGATTCATGAATATTCGTTGCAAATTTTCAACAAATACGTACAGTGTCATTTAAGTGCACCAGAAGGCTTACGAACCAATTCTGAATTTGATGAGGATGATGAGTGTGATCGTGAAAAGTACAAAGAACAATTGATAATCGTTGGTAATTTGGCACGGGAAAGTCCGGGTCATTCGCTCACCATTCTCAGTAAATTGATTGAAGAGAGAACACGTCAACTGCAAGCTCAATTTCAAGCTATGTACACCAATGGCAATCAATTGAATATGTCCATTGAAAAAGCAATGGAAATCTTATTCGAAGATATTCATTGGCTAATATTGGTCGCTGGTCATGTTGTTGCAATGGAAAGTTCGGGCGAACAACCAATGATACCATCCGAAATAATGCAATACAGTGTTGATCAATTGGCAAACGGTACCGTCGACGTAACAACAACATTGAAAGTATTGGCTGCGCCAAATCAATGTATTACACAAACACCGAATGCTGAAAATGTATGCGATCCATTGATTCGCCTAATATCGTCTGTATTTCGATTATGTGACATTGAAAACAATGCAATCGAATACAAAATGGGTGACTTTCTTAGTCCAGAAGTAACCAGTGATATCATGTGGTTTTTAAATCAATGGTCGGAAGCATATCTATTTATGTTGACCGAATATTATCCAAATTTAAGCGAAACATTACAAACATCATTCGGGTTGGACACACCCGGTGGCAATTGGACACTAAATTTTATTCTCAACAAAATTTGCATCAACGTTCGAAGTTTTGCCACTGAAGAAACCATTGTCAAAGATTCCGTTGGTTTATTCGTATCTCTGGTGAAGCGAAAGCATAAGTAAGTATTGTAGACTTTATTTTTTCTTATCAAATAATTAACAACATTGATTTCCTTTGCGCAGGTGTCCAGCCGTTTTTAATTCGGAACCATTCAAACAAATTGTACAGTTGAAAAATCTTCCATTGCAAAATTCCGAACTGATCAAAGGCCTTGTCATAACCGCTGCATGTGTTACCGAGAAAGAAATGCAAAAACAATATTTGAGTGAAATTTTAATGCCGATCACTGAAAGGTAAGTTGAACTCACTGGGATTTATTCATTATTTATCAATTTTAATTGGTTTTCGTTTTGGTTTTTGCAGCTTCAATAAACTCGAATGGCAACAGGCAATGGATAACAATCATCAAATTGGTAAAACGCAAATTTCAATGAACGTCGTTGCCTTGTTGGAAAATATCCGTTCATCAAATAATGGTGCAAGTGCATCATGTGCGCAAACTGTATACGAAATTTTTGAACCGATTTTATACCATTTGGCCGAATTGTTAGATCTCTTCCATAATTATAATTATGTTGTTGTTGAAATATTCCAAGTTTTATGCAGTGTCGTTCAAAATCTATCATTTTTACAATCGCACAAGGTATACGAAATGTGTATGTCATGCATTCGGAACTATGTGAAACACAACAGTAAGTATTAAACAAAATAAATAAAATGCCAGATGATAATTCATTCTCATCCAATTGTGTTTGTTTCCATTTTCAGATCGTGTTACATCGGAAGTGACTGCCGAAGATGAAAGTATGGAAGATTTAATGTTGTTGCTGAATTTGCTCAATGCCTTGTTGTCGAAAAACTATTTTGATGTTGGAAACGAAGATGAACAGGAGCAAGCAACCGAAGTGTGTATTCTTGGTTTACAATATATAATACCAATGATAACACTTGATATGCTCAAACATCCAACGTTATGCTGTAAATACTATAAAACAATCACATTTTTTGTGGAAACAAAATCTCAAAAAGTATGCGCCTTACAACCAGAACTGTTAAATTCAATGTTACAATCGGTTGAATTGGGTTTGCGGTCGTTTGGTCTGGAGGTTCAATCGATTTGCTTTGAATTTTTGCACATCATTGCCGATACCGTCCGTTTTGATCAGAATTCACCGCAATCATACCTGTATAATTCATTAATGCCATTCATGCGAATGGTACTAGAGATGATTATCAATCAAGAGGTTGGCACCGATAACAAAACTGAATGTGCCAATGCCCTATTTGCGTTGATTTTTTGTTATCACACTCACTACGGTGCTATCGTACAAAATCTACTGCAATCGGTCCAAGACGTTGGAAACGCCGAACGCCTATCAAAAGAATTGGCCTCATTGACAGCCAATTGGGACTTGACCCGTAGCATTGATCGAATGGTACAAAATCAATTTTATTTTTCGATTATTTGTTTTCCGATTATTTTAAATTAATTCGATTCTTTTCTTTTGTGATTCTCCCCTTAGGTACAAAATCAATTTGCCGATCGCTATGAAAAATTTATTGTAAATATATCTTTTATGTACAATTAATATGGGTACGTTTTTTTTAGTAAAACGTACATTTATTTGTTAATTTTTTTTCCTGGACTATTATTATTACTATAGAAATATTCATGACGTTCGCGAATATCGAACACAGATTTGACAGTCGACACATTTCGTGTTTTTTTTTCCGTTTTTTTTTTTCTACATAGAAATTATGATGTAAACTTACATTTTTTTCACCTTTTCGTCATAATTAATGATACACATTTAGCTTATCATTATAAAATTGTACAAAGCAAATAAAAAATTTAAAAAAAAGAGACGAATGAACCGAATGTAACAAAAGTTAAAAACTGATTTATCTAATTTACTCGAAAGTCAAATTTTGTATTACCGAATAAGATCTATATTGCATAAAGAAAAAAAGATATGCTTTCAATTCGAATAACATTGACATATTCTTTTGATATTTGTTTCACGTTCTTATTCTTATTATGTTATTTTTCAAATATTTTAATGGCAACTATTTCATCGACAATTTCTTTTCGCAAACATTAGTAAATACATTAAAATAACATTTTCTCTCTATCTTTCAAAATAAAAATAAAAGTGATGAAATGAACAAAAAATTCCTTCTAAAAACGATATGTGTTTTAGTTTATATTTCAATGCGGATGAAACAGAAGATATTGTCTCAATTGTTAGAAATAGTTGGAAAATTCGAGTAGTACTTCTGCAGTGTAAAATCAAGTCATTTTCAAAAGTGAATGGATAAAAAAGCGAAATAAAAGGTAAAATGATGGTAATTAAATCTTAGTTTTTCGTAAACGTCCTGTGTTGATCATGCTAAAAAAAATTCAATTTCCAAATATATTTTTGAAAATAACAGAAAAACATCAAGCAGGAAGCTCCCTTTGAAAAATGAAGTGAATTGATAAAATGAAAAAAAAAAAAGTTAAATTGGCTTGACTTTATAAAACATTTTCATTTCGTTTATTTACTTTTTTTTCAAATTCTCTCAATTAATTTTAGTTTTCCATAATAATTTCAATATCTTTACTTGTATAAATTTTTGCAATAAATGAGAAGACGAAATATAAATGCGTAAATGGTGTCGCAGCATTCGTTCTCCCGTTTCTGTTAAGTTGCTGCAAATGAAATTCGTTTTGTTGACATTATCGAATATTATATTATTGAAATTCGTTTTCGTTCATCTTTCTATTCTCTTCGCGCCCTTTTTAATTTTAAATTTCCTTTTTGTTGAATTGACATTATAGTTCATTTATCATTTGGTAACTAGCTGAATAAGATGTCACTTGTGTAGCAGTAGTTAATTTGTGTGTATGTGTGTGATGGTACTAATATGTTGTGTGTTTTGTGTCCATATTCCATTTGTTTTGAAATGTTTATTGATTTTATTCAGCGTCATTGTGTAATCATCAATATCCGTTTTGTTTTAGCTATTTTGCGATGTATTTAATGAGTTTTGTGTATTATTTTGTTGTATGGCCGCTGAGAAACTGAGCCATTGTGCTTGATCCACGGCTTGTTGTTCCTGTCTGGCTTTGGCAAATAGTTCCTGTTGTTGACGCAATAATTCTTCTTCTGGTATACCTAAATTTTCCAAGCGCGTCGACTGTCGACGCCGTTTTGCGGCCACCGCTTTGCAATCCATGAGTACAGCTTCAGCATCTTGTTTATAATCTTTAAAACCTAAACGATCGAGCGCTTCAAGAACGTGCTCTGCATTGATCGTTTTCTTATTTCGTAAATTACATACTTCATTTGCTTCGGAGCTAATCAAATGAATAAATTCAGTACAACAATTCAAAATCAATTCACGACTTTCATTGGCCACTCGTATTGACGGCACCTATCCAAACAGAATACATAAATATGATTACCATTAAAAATATACCACAGACGCACGTAAAATAGAAAGAGACAAACAATTCAATCAAGTATCAAAATAGTACTCACCAATTCCTTAATCATTTTATTGATGCTGGCTCGCGGCAGGGTTAAATCATCATCATCAGCTGAGGGTGGCGGACACAATTCATCGTGATCATTCATTTTGTGTGAGTTAGAAAATGTGATTTGTATTTGTTTTCAAATAATTTGTATTGTTTATGATTTTTGGTCGAAGCGTACGCGTCAATAAATTTCATAAAATGAATGCTTTTCTTTCGTATACTTTCGAATCTTGTCCAAACTTATTTTTTTATTCTACGAGTTATTTCTAATATATCACGTTTTTTTACGGGCAAGTTTCAGTGCGAATGGGTATTTTCTTTTACTCAGGGAATGAAATTTCGATTCAATTCAATAACACACGCATACACACAAGTGTATTCCTTCTTCAAAACAATTGCACGAAAATGTTTTTGTTTGTTTTGTATTTGAAGTCACAAATGAATTCCAAATCGTAATTTTCATTTTATTTTTCGACGCACAAATGACATTTCAATGTGTCAAACTCTCATGCTTTCTATATCTCGCACACATACACACACACACATACATCACGATACTGTGTTCAACAGCACGCACAAATAACCATACATAGGACTGCACGAACAAAACACATGTGTCAAACAACAAATAAAAATACATTTTTATTGGTAACATATAAATTGACATACAAATTGACAGATACCGATGATGTTGCGATTGTTTTGATTTATAACGCAAATAAAGGAGCTAGCGCATACATCATAATAGTTTTTAGATAAATTCTTCATATCTAATTCAAAATTTAACAAATAATTCTCAAGCGTTTGAAATATATTTCATCATGAGCGTTGAGGGATTTCATGATGATTGTATGGAATTGATCAACAACTATTGCAGTCGAAATGAAACCGATTTTGAGCTATTCTGTGACGATTGGAAACAAATGGGATTTCATTATGTATTTGCGTAAGTGTATTTTTTCCATTCAAACTGTTTTACTGTTTTACTTCAATTCATTTCTTTTACTCAATTTACTTTCAGTGGACACACTTATCAGCATGAATTACTATTATACACCGAAAATTTATTTACCGTTTTGAAGAATATTTTTACCAGTTTGACAACACTTAGCGAACGGTTGGCCACGCTCTATTTGATGTATGCGATGTACTTCAAGCAACCGACCAAAGATTTTTGTAAGTTTCGGTTTACCCTAGCCGATTGGATGAAAATGAAAAGTTTCTACGATGCGATCAACAGTGAGTCCACCACTTATTTGCAAGCCCGTGCAATTTTTTGGCGATTATGGCAGGGTAATGCATTTCGATTTGTCGAATGTGATGTGGAACACTATCCAGAAACAATACATTTACATCGCTTGGGTAACGATGGTTATGGTGATTTTCAAAAAATAAATTCCACAATTGTGGCGGCAGTCAAAGATATACAAAATGACAGTCGCGGATTGATGGGTGCCATTGGAACATTACAAATTGGCTACAATGAAATGAAAGATCATTTGGCGGCCAATATGAATGAATGTGCGCACATGCAGAGCATCGATGTCATCAGTGACGTTAATTCACAGTTGAATAAGGTGCGAAAAATGTTTGAAAATCGATATGAACAACGAGTTGTAAAGAGAAAAGCAAGAGCCGGCCCACCGAAAAGGGCGAAAGACATTGAAACTACTGATGTTGAGAGTGAAACGTATACATCGTATAGTGAATCAAACGATGAATTAGAATCGATTTCCGAAAGAAGTGAAGGTGATGATACATTTGATGAAAACGTGAACATGGCCACGAGACGATATAATTTGAAGAAAAAAGCATTGGAAATTAAATCGATCGGCCTTCATCGACTCAGAAGTACTGTGGTTGAAACAGAGAGCTCACCGAAGAAAAAACAGAAAGTGGCAGATGCAGAGGGTGATGAACAACGACCGTCGACATCAACTGTGAAAGACCACGCATCTAGTGAAATCGATGATGACAGCGGAAATATTGTGATAATTAAACCGACAAAAACTTATCAGCGACACTCGAAACAGTATATTAGCACGGTGCGCAAACAATTTACTGATTGTCCAAGGTAAATAAAAACTGAATGAGAATAAAAACCGAACTGAAACAATCCATTAACTAATTTATCTCTTTTTTATTTTCAGTGAGGCTAGCGAGGAAATTGACAAAAAAAGTACCCGAAAACGAACTAAACTGTAAGAACAATAGAAAAAAACAAGGAAAACACAAAATTGTTGGGTTCCAGGTGGTTTTCAATAAATGAAAAAAAAAAATAAAATAAAAAAAAACGATTTACAACTCATGGTCAGAATTTTGAAGTATGTTATATTTATTGTGAACGTCAGCTCGTCTTGATGAAAATAAATGAAGTTCTTTGTGAATTTGTTGTGCCACTTTCAGATCTTGAATAAAGAATTATTTCATTTGATTTTTTCTTGTTTTTATTATTGCATTTGGTTTGATATTGTCTACAGATTGAATACGCAAAGAGATGAAACCTTAATCAACAAATATTCAAAATAGAACATGAATATACGTATTTACGGTATTTTTATATTTACAGTGTGTGTGATTCGGCTATTTCAAAATGAGCATGCTGCAAAAAACCGATTAATATTCAAATTTATTATTAGTTTTTCTTCCATTGATGGGAATTTATTTGACAAATTATTTCACCTGGAACATGAATACAAACAGTCTTCACTCATGCCCTTAAAATCATACAGACGATCGAATGACTATACTTCCAAGGTGAGTTTTATTTAATTTTGTCCAAAAAAGCACCGTAGATCGAAATAACTCATAATTTGGGGAAATTATGATTGGTAAAACAATTGATTTTTCGTCCCAAAATTCAAAATGTTGTATGGGAATTGTGCTTGAAACTTCGAAAATAGCCATTCATTAAATATTTATTATAATAGCCTTTCATTTTATGGACACTTGGTGTACTTTTATATGATCTTCTCAATATTTGGTCAAAAAATCAAAAAAATTGTATGAGAGGTATGCTTAGTTTTTATCCAAATCGCGCCAAAGTTGACCAGTAGCTAGTTTCCGGTCACAATTATGCCTATAATGACACAAGAAAACTATTAAGAGTCGATTTAATTCAATATTTTTTTTTTAAATCGTCATTAAGAAAATTTTCCCGTGGTAGACAGGGTCACATTTTCCAAATAGGTCCAAGAACAAAAAATTTCCATTCCGACAAGACAACGTGATTCCAAAATACCGCATTTTGAATTTTCTGGATTTCAAAAATCAATCCGGCCTAATCTTCGGTTAATTAAAGTTTTTTATAAATAACCGGATAGTTTTTACACACAAATTAACTTACTTTATCATCTGGAATCATCTCGGAGCCAGTGTGTTTTAATCAAAATCGTAACTGTTTTTTACATTCGTAAAAAAGCTTAATGATAATGTCTCTTGATGTCTTGAAGTAAAAATTAACCATAAATTTTTGTTGAACTACTCAATTTCACTGAGATGTGGTATCTTTAATTCAGAAATGTTTGTTTGCAATTTATATTTCTGAGAAACAGCAGCTGCGTAAAGTCGAAATTTTTGAAAAAAAAAAACAACAACACCTATCATGATCTGCAATATATGCATGTATTTACAAGAAAATTTATCACAAACGATTAAATTAAAAAAATGTTAAAACCCAAGTCAATAAATCAATAAAGTGAATTTCTGTTACTATGCGGGATGAGATTTGTACATCAATTCCATGTAAATTCTAAGCTTAGCACTAAGATATGTTCAGCAAAAATAATAATAATCAAATAATTGAGTTAAAATGGTGATGTATCTATGTGATGAAAAGCAGAACCGAGAATCAGAGGTTAATGTAATGGTGATATTCGTGATTGGTATTCAGTTAAATATCAAAATTAAAATTGAAAATTCGGTGTCTTGCTATTAAAAGCATCCCACTCACAGCAACGGTTGAACAACATAACGTGGTTGAAATGATTGTGCGATCGGACCAATGACATTTTCCAAATAGTTGTAAAACTGATTACACTTTGCTCTGAAAAATGAACACACAATGTTGAACAAAATTCATTTCAAAATTGTCAACAAAACACTTACTTGCTGTTTAAATCGAAAGAACTACCCCAAAGTATAACACCATCACCACCGATACTCTTCACTGTGTTGACGGCTCCATAGAAATCTTTCTGTTATCAAACAATGCAAATGGAAAATTAAAAAGGTACATATTTGCGTTAATAGGATGCAAGGAACGCTGTGTTACCTCGGTTAAAAAATTTCTGGAATCGGTATAAACATATCGCAGATATGCGATCACCTTTGGTTTTGGTATATTGTGCGATCGTCTCGCTAGTCGTATCGATTCTTTAACTCGGCCACGTACCATTTTGACACGATCATTTGGCAAAATATCCTCGCTCATATATACCGATGGATAAATTACATCGGATGAATCATAAATCCATTGTGTTCTTAAATAGAGAATAGGCAATTTATTGATTGAATTATTCATAGTTTCAAAATGAATTATGTTCTTAAAAAGTACCGATCATTTTCCTCTTTCACTTCTTTGGCACAATCTTCGACTGTAGCACCTCGACCATTGAAACAATACGGCAAACCGTAATATCCCCATTTCGCATATGGTCGCATTTTGTGTGCCATTTCAATCGTACTTTCCATAAATGATCGGCCTGCTTTCTCAAAATTTCGTGTCGCTTCTGCTTCTATACGTCTTTCTGGTGCAAATGGATGTCGTTTTCGTTCGATATCTTCCGATAAATTGCGGTATGGTTGCAACGTACCAAAGTTCTGACGATATACCGGTCGCCATGATTCAAAGTCAATGATCGCCAGTCCGTTGTTGTTTTTATCTGGAATCAATTCGTTCATATGCTGTCGAAAGACTTGTAAATGTTCGCCAAGATTTCCTTGTTGCGGAACACCACCGTTTCTCTGTACAAGTGTGCGTGACGATGAGTTTTCCAATAAAGCCGGAAATTTTCCAGGATCATACAAAATTGATACCGCCGATCCACTAAACACACACAATTATATTAAAATACATTAAATACGAAATTTTTCCCATTCAAATGCTAATAATCTCTCTTTCGTACATAAATTACACTGAGTTTTTTTTTCGAAATCAAGATAAAAAATAAAGTTAGAAATGAAAACAGGTTTATTTACCGAAATGCGTCATCTTCATTCTGTACGATGCCATACTTTTCAGTTACATTTATAGGTGGCATTGCATATTTTCGGCACATAAATGATGGAATATTCCAATACAAGGTGAATGGCCTGAAAAATCAATGATGTTTGAGTAAAAGAGAATTCTTTCATTATGAACAAAAGAAAAAAATCAAATCGTTGATGAAAAAAATTCCATCCTTGATCTTTGTTAAAAGTATTCATTTAAATGAATATTCAAATTTCACAACATAGTCAATGGGATTTTTTTTTTCTTCATAAATTTATAAATGCACGAACCACTTAAGTGTGATCGAAAGAAAAATTGCTACTAATTATTCTAATGAATGATGAATGAAACCGATTGCATCTCTCTGGTGTCAATGAAAACGAGAGTGTTAATCAAAACATTGAGTTATACTAAATTCTGAACCATACTTTTGTGTTAGTATAAATGAGTAAAAGCGATTAAAAAATGTGTGTTTACTTACTTTGCATCAATGAGAGAGATCGCAAACCAGCTGTACACCAAAATATTGATAACTACTACGATTCGAATGCGAGAAGATCTCATGTTTTGTTTTGGTTGCTTTTTTTGTCTCCTTCAATTTTTTTTTTTTTTTTTTTTTTTGAAACTTTTTGTTTGATTCAAGTGCAAAATGATTTTAATCGAAAATTGAACACATGAAGTTCACAAGCACGCGCCAACCAAGAGAGTGAACAACGGAAAACAGCTGTATTCAAGTTTTATAGTATTGTGTATCAATTCTTTGTGTGATACAGTTTAATTCACCGAAAATTGAAGAATTGTCGTTTTTTCCCGTATTTTTTAACGTGTCAAATTGCAATTAGATAAAACGGTTTAAATTACTCAATTTAGACAATATTTAGATTGGTTTTTCTATTTTATTAGTCACTGTCACACGCGTACACACAACGAATAAACAAAATTAAATTGGCACCTTCACGTGTTTATGTTGTTATTGTCCTCATCCAAAGACGATCAGAGCATCACTTGTAATTTATTTGTTTGTTTTGGTTTATATTTCAAATTGTTGATATCCGCATTGAAAAAAAAATTCCGTTAAGTTAATCATTCAACAAAGGATGAATGCCGTTAAATAGTGCAATTTTTTTTAAAAAGCAATGACATTAAATTTTTATGGGATTTTCAATGTAAAAATGTGTTAATTACTTATTTTTACTACCTTTTATTGTAATGATAAAACGGCGCTTTGGTATATTAAAACAAACGACACTTTAGGCAAATATTTCATTCGCTTTTGATGGATTTATTTGTATGCCCAAAATAAAATCAAAACTAAATTATTTTGTGAATAGAATCAGGTTGTAAAATAAATCACCGCGTATGTGATAATGAGCAAGTCGAATTTTTTTTTTCTATTTCACCCGTTACACAAACAAAAGATTCACCAAGTGATAGACAGACGTGCGCCACCACACTCAATTCGATCGTAAATAAAACGATGAAAATATTGATGATAAACACAACAAAAAACAAAGTCAGAAGGAAAACGAACATGAACGTACACATAAAATAAAACGAATTAACGGCGATCAATTAATTATTACATAAATAACGACCGGTGTATCGTTTCTGCTAATTAAAATACAAGCGGCGACAGTACGATGGAGAAATGTAGTCTATATCGCAGTGGTTCTAATGTTACCAATTCAGGTAGTATGTGTCTTATAAATGCGGTAGCTAGTGTCTTTGCCAGAGGTTAGCACATATTTGTTGTTGGTTTTTTCGTTGGCCAGATATTTAAGCCAAAAATTACATGTTTTGTGTGTGGCTCATGGTGGGAAACCGATTAGATGTTGTTAACGCACAAAGCACAGTATAACTTATGTGTGCACAGTAGCTAATCAACTTCGGTTATATAGATGGATTCAGACCAGACAAAATTGTGAAAGAGATGCACAGCAGACACAATCTTGTTTACATTTTGATGCTTGCTTCTTCTTTAGCGAGTTAGCACACCTTTTACTACAAACTATTCATTGCGACTGCTTTTTTCTCTCTTGCTCGTGCCTTTCCTTTCTCACCCATATTTTTTGTTGTTGTTTTTTTCACGTTCTGTTTTGTTTATATAAACAACGAGCACACATGCATTCAGCGAACTAAACTTCAATTTTCACATGCTCATCAACAAAGCTGACTGTTTTAATTGATTAAAAATAAAAAAATAAAAACACCATTTGGCTCCAGAACCAAATGTAAACACAAATTGAATAATTCTTCCGAGCCAATTTCAAAGCGCACATACAATTGATCAATATTTAGACAATTTTGTGGTGTTTTCGCAGGATTAAATGCAATAAGCTGTTTTCCATCTGGACAAATACATGTCATCCGGATAAATACGGACCAGTCATTTTTATCGACTGGTGTTGTGTGCATTGATTTTGTGTACAACAATTCTGCAATATTTATATTTGGTTGTTGTTGTTGCCATTTGCTATCGCATTGTGTGTGACATAATGTGAAGTAATGATTGCTTTTCTGTGTTAAACACATGCCGTTGTCTATTAATTTGATCATAGTGCACAAGGTGATTATAGAGTGGAAAATATACCATATAATGATAAAATGCTATGTATCAATTGAAAAAAAAAAATATATACAGAGAGAGAGATAAAGCATTGTATATGGTTCATTGTTTTTGTTGGTTTTTGAGGTAGATCGAAAAAGCATGCACACCTTCAATTCATTTCATTTACGGAAAAATGTGCGAGCGCCGCTTTTTTGTTGTTTTGGTTTATATTTAAACACACAAAATCAATTTATGTTCCACTCTATATATATAGGTAAGGCACTGTCATTTCCATTCTTTCACACTCGTTTGCATTTATTTAATTGACTTTTATTTGATTTCGTATGCAAAACAATATTGCATGCGGTAAACGTAAATGTGCTCGGCAATCAAATCAGTTCAAAGTACGCTATAATTATAAAATGAACGAATAGAAATAAAAAAAAATCAAATAAATGTTCTGACGAATTCCGTTACTTTTTTCGGGCCGGTATCTCTAAACCAAGGCAAGTAGGCCCATATTCAAGAAATTGCAGGAAAATAACACACCGCTAATGTGTGGCTCAATGAAATAACACTAAAAATGGGAAAATGCTCACACCAAAAACAAAAAAAAAAGTTTACTTGAAACCACATGCTGGCTGCTGACATTCAAATTTCCACTGTAAAGCCAGAAAGTGCGGAAGTTCAATGGTACGGTAATTTAATTACAAACGACACAAAACGTTTTTATGAACTACATATATACCACCAATATGTGGTTAAGACTATACGCGTGCCCTCTTTGCTGTTGTTTGTTATTATTGTTAATGCTTTTCTTTTGTTATTGCGATTAAATACAACGCTGTCACTCATTTGCACTCTATCCAGTTCGTTGACCGATTTTTTTTTTTGGCTAATTGAAATCAGAACTTCTCTGTCTTTGACACAGTTTATTAACAACAACCCAATTTTCAATATTACTGACCAGCTGCACACTTAATTTGATTTAATTTTTCGTGACATAAAGTTTCATTTGGCACGCCTCCATTTCTTCCCAATGCAAACAATTTATCAACAGCAAACTCTTCATCTCATTAACTATTTCATAATCGAATTAAATCCGCAGCTCTTACGAATAATATTTTTTTAACGTAAATCTACATTTAAATTGTAATATTCAGTCTTGAAATATGTATTTGAATGGAATTCACCCCGCCAAACAACGCAGAAATACGATAAACATAGAAATCGTTTTAGAAAAGTAAATGTTTATTTATATAAATGGAATTTGTTTCCTTCCATTTCAATAGAGCCAAAATAAAACGTTTCTTTTACAAATTTCGATGGAGAAGCCACTTGGCGGATTCCACTTGTTGATTTTTCGACTGATGATATTTTGGACTGATGATATTTTTTCTAGTTTTCTAGTGAAATCTTATCAAAATCTAGATGCACTAGAATTTCGTGATTGACCCCATGGTAAAACATTTATTGCAGAACATGTGTTTTAATAGTAAACCAGATAAACAAAAAGTCATTTGTTGCATTTTAAATTTCTTCCGGTACGATTTTATCAGTGTTTAAACTTGCGTCAACACCAATATCAATAGATTTGATGAAATTACGAGATAATTAATTTTTTAATCTAAACGTTTAACGAATGGGAACTACGATCGTTTGTTTCTTTTCTTCATGATATTCAAAACAGATTATTTCCTATGATAAAGCACCGTCCAATTCAAATTCTAAACACATTTTGTTTTAAATTTGTTTTCAAAGCGATCGTAAACTATGATTACATATTCGATTCTTTTTTTGTGCAATACTTAAAAAATAGAACATATATTACAAAAATGTAAAAAGATTCAAAGCGTTTTCAAACTACAAAATGTTTGAAAATCCCATGATTCATATTATTTCGCATTTTTTCATTGATAAAAAAGAATGAAAAAAAAAAAAAACAGCAGTCATTCAAATCTGTTCCATTTTATTGAGTATGATGAATCGTAAAATATAAGCATAATAGTCATTACTCCCTGTGGAGTGTAATCGTTTGGGTCGATAGTCATATCAGTCAAAGTTGAATTGATATATAGCATTAACGACATTGTTAACGCTTCACTCCAATTTCATGTGTTTTACAATAACATTGATGGCAATTCTCGGTATGTATAAAGTAAAACATGCATTGTAATGAATTCGTTTCAATTTCAAAGATCGAAAGATATTAATTTATATGATAAGCGGCACAAAAGCATAATGTCAAAAGTGTGATAACAATGAATGCGCTTATTAAACCAATTCACATTCGTTACGTGGCGACTCAATTTTCAGTCTCGGTCAAGCACTAACTAGCAACATGTTATCAGTTTGAATGAATCCTTTTCAGTGTGATGTTCATTTAAATAAAAGTTTGTTAAAAGACAGTGCTGTGAATATTAATCCACTGTCTTATTGCACACATTTCAACTTATTCAGTTTAGTTTCATATCAGACAATCTGTGTGTAGTCTTTTTTTTGTGATTTTTGGTCGTTCTTTTCAAAAAAAATTTCAATTCAATTTGATTGAATCATTGCAATGCGTGCACCAATTTTATTAGCTTTCATGTGCTTCGTCTATGAATCTGCTACGCTTACAATTAATACAAGCAGCAATCCAATAGCATCACCAAACAATTTCACCAAGGTACCGTTTGTTGTTGCGATTCAAATGGCATGAAGTGACCAACTATCAATTATTATTCCGTGTTTTAATCATTTCCTTTAGCTTCATATTGCAATTTATTATGAATCAATGTGCCCAGACAGTGTTGACTTTCTTACAAATCAATTTGCACCAGCATATGACTCATTGAAGAATCATATCGATGTACTTTTTGTTCCATTTGGAAAATCAGAGGTGAGGGGTTTCGTTGCAAATTATTCTTGTTTTTTCTCATATATTCATTTTGATTTTTCGTGTATTCTTGATGGAAATCATTTCAGAGTGAAAATAATGGTCAAATTTTCTTTTGTCAACACGGACCAGCAGAGTGTACTGGAAATAAAATGCAGTCATGTGTATTGGATTCGTTAAATGAAGACCAAGATTCTAAATCCAAATTTGTCACATGTCAAATGAAAACGAACGCTGAATATACCGGCCAAAATGTGTGTAGCTCAAAAACGTTACCGTTAAAATGTTATTTAATTATTTTTCAAAACTCCAATTTCATTAGTGTGCACGTACAGTGAATGTATCATATGCGGATGTGGAAAAATGTTCGAATGGGCCAAAAGGCGTAGAATTGCAGCTAAATGCCGAAAAGGAAACGCATTTAATTTCCAAACCATATCCATCATTTATACCCACAATTGTCTTCTCAAAGGTTCAATGGCACAATTTATCATGCACATTCAGTAATAATTTAACAATGTTCCGTTATTTGCAGCAATATGACCGGAGTAAACAACGTCGATCGTTGAAAGAGTTTAAGAAATTGGTGTGCGAAGAGCTGAAAGAGAAAATGAGTAAATCAAATGAATTATCAAGTGTCTGTGCTTGAAATTAAGTCCAACAATAGTTGAAATTAAACAAGCCAAATGATGTTCAATCTTTATTTTTCATTTAAGAGATTTTTCATTCACAATTGCTTGCCAAAATTTCGGAAATGCATAACTAAGGAATATCTCACATTTTTGTACGGCAATTCAAAGTGACACAGTCGTGTTGCTTTTGAATTTACACCAAATTAAAAGATAAAGATACTTCATATTGCGATCACCATACGCTTGAGCATTTTACAAGTTTGTAGTAAAAATTAAAATATTTCCTTAGAATGATGTCACAATAAGTGTGTGTTCACTGTTCATGCTTTGCATATAAATTGAGAATATGTATAGAAACAATGTATCCAAATGTAAATGAGCCGAATAATATGTGGTTCAGATCACCATCACGTACGAAATAATCGCCGAAATTCAATAGAGCTTCTGGTTGATACGATATCTAGAAGTCTTTTGTTTTAAAACTAAAGTAAAATTCGATTTTTAGAAATAAGTTCCAATTTGAATCGAATAAAAACGAGCCCATTTACAATTTGAGCCTTTAGTTTTTCTTGTGCCTTCTTACGATAGATTTCACATTGAAGTGCAATTCACCAAAAGGGCAATTGATTTGATTCTCAAACATTTTTCAAGTAAATTTTACTCTTTTGCGCTGCTTTTCAACTATTTGTGAGATAATGTCGGTAAAATTGGGCACGGTTTTACTTTGTTTGAGCTGTGTCTCGCATTTTGAAGCAAAATTAACGATGACACCAAGAGAAATTGAAAATAGTCTCGAGGATAACTCGGACGAATCGAAAGGTTCTCAAAGGATTAATTTATCAGTACCAGGTAATAAGAATTTCTGTTTAAAATTCGAAAAATGTGTGATATTTTTCCATTAGAGCACCATAGATTTTGAAGTCAATGCATTCACAAAATTTGTTCAGCGATTTAGCCTGGGTTGATTTACAAGAATTTTTTTTGGTTTGCTTCTTCATTTTTTTTTGTTTTCAAATCGAAGGCACGAAATGGTGTGGCCCCGGAAATACGGCCGCATCGTATGATGACTTGGGGCGTCACAAAGAGGTGGACATGTGCTGTCGTGATCATGATCATTGCGATAATATTGCAGCTGGTGAAACAAAATACAATTTAACCAATCGTGATTACTTCACCGTGCTTGATTGTGATTGTGATCATCAGTTTCATCAGTGTTTGAAAAAAATCAATTCAAAAGAATCAAATCGCATCGGTCGCATGTATTTCACACTCCGTAATCATTGTTATCACGATGATAAACCGATTGTACGCTGTGATGGTTATGATACCGAAGTGTTTTTGCATCGTTGCATCCACTATGTGTTCGATGATTCGCAACCGAAACGCTATCAATGGTTTGACTTACCTCTTTACTACGATAAAAACGAACGTGATTCCGTCGACGATGAAATGTATGACTTTTAAAAACAAATTTTCAAATGCTGTAATAAAAAAAAACGAAGAATGATCATACAAAAACTGTTTCTTTCTGAATGATTCTGTAGTTTTATTGTTTTGTTGATGGTTTTTTTTGTGCTATAGTCTCCAAATATAGAAATGATAACATTTCTTTTCTTTATTAATATACAAGCGTAATTTAATTCACGGTCCATATTGATCGACTGTTGATATAATGTACTTTGTGCTATTTATTCCATTAAAATTCGGTTTTCTGCACGGTTTATGTTTGGTGTTTGAGTTCAAGTGATTTGTGTGTGATTCTTATATTTTAAGTGTGGTTTTGGTTTTTTGTTACTTAAATTGCACTGGGAAACGAATATGTCATGTCAACTTTAAATGGATAATTCTGTCTGCTTATTTTCATTCTCTTTTTTTGGTATAAAATATAATTTGTCACTATGTATAAAATACATTTTCACTTATAGTGGACAATTAAATTAATTTTGTATGTATGTGTGTGTGTGTGTGTGCATTACAATCACATTTAAATATGTATCAGCCAATTAAATAACTTTATAAGTTATTACCTGTCCACACAGACAAAAGGATAGCTCAGAAAATATAATCGACAATTTTCGCTAGAACTGTTTTTGGCGGCAGAAATATGAGCGGCACCATTTTTGTACTTAAAGGCCATTTGATAAAGGTTGTTTGTTCAAAATGTCTGAAATTAACTGAAATGTTCTTCTTGATTTCAAAAACTTGAAGTTCATTTTTCCACCCCCAAAAATCAAATCATGAACCGAAAATTATTCACATTGTGCTGACCTAATATTTTACATTCACCAGAAATCTGTATCAAAAATCGATTTGTTTTGACATTATCAATCATTCATATTTTGAAATCATGCACACTATATATTAGATCATGACAACATTCTGCAAGCCCCACGCTGTCTTCATCGGAAAAGAGATAAATTTGTGTTTTTAATATTTAAAATGAATATAATAAAATTATATTTAACGCATATTTGGAATTTGACTTTGTTCATCGTCATAAAATATGGCAGCTATAAAATCTGGTACATAAACATGCATACTAAATAAGACTATATGTATACTAGAGTGTTTCCCGTATCAGCAAATAAAAAAATGGTATTTCTTAATTCAAAGAAGGCGAAATTCTATGATAGTAAATGGCATTCATATAACGAAGCGATTGATTTTAGCACTTCCCGAAACGAAAACATATCTGAAAATATAGTTGATTAGAATTTGAAGTACAATTCTCTTTGCTGTTTGCACGTATATCGACACTGTTCGCTTTGATAGAATATTGTTGCGATTCTTTAGAATTCGATAAATAAACAAAAGAAAGTATTTATATTCAACGCATTTTCAGAATCGTGTTGTTCGCTGTGTCAGCTGTTTTTTTGGCCTGTAAAATCATTTTATGATTTGAACCAAGCAGTCCATACAACACATACACATTTATATCCATCGCGATAGGCTAATAATAATAATCATTCCGTTTCTTTTGCTCTTAAGTGTTTACATACAAACTGTGATTCCGTTTATTGGTTCCGTACCATACATTCTTATTCAAACGCTTTATAAACAAAAAATGTGTGCAGTTTAAGAATGCTTTCGACACATAACCATCGGAATGTGGAGAAGTGTGTTGGTTCAAATGAAACGATCGTGTTGAAACTTGTCAGAATCAATGTTTTTTTTTATTTGAATTTGCATCGTCATAATTTCATTGGATTCGATTGATAAAAGTGCTAAAACATATTTTTGGATTGTGTCAGTGTATGTTATATTTGTTTCTTGCTTTCAAAGAAGTTTATTTTTCGCTGTTGGCGGTTTTCTATTGGAATCATTGTCAACCGATTGTTTTCAAACGAGATATTTGCGGTGAATTTTGTGTTTGATTTTGTTTAGTTTTGATAATAACAAAACATTCACAAGCTGAAACTGCAAATATTTCGATTCAACTTGGGACCGTGTTGGTGTGGTTTGCATTTATATGTTGCATTCAAAAGAGTTAATATCACTCAATTTGTCGATTTTGAATCACTTCACGCTTAACATTCAATCAGGTAACATCAAGTGTCAGTTTTGTCCCCATATATTCAGTGCTTCCTATTGATTCAATTCATTTACAAAAATTACACAGTGCAGAAAATATATTTGTCATTTTATTTGTGTTCTAAGTTGCGCGTGTGTTTTTTTTTATTTCGTTTTAGTTCAACATGTCAACGACTGGTGAAACTACGGCTGCTACAGCGCCAAGAAAAAAGCGATACAAATTTCAAACGAATGCGCAAAAAGAAAAGGATGCTGATGATGATGTAAACGATAATGGATTGTTCGCGATTAAAATGCGCCTCAACACAATTTTGCGACCAGAGTTCAATCACATTGTCAAACCGTGGATCGAACAGAAAAGCATAATGTCAACGAAAATCACCGTTTTGGCATCATTACTTTTCTTGGATAAAGTGAAATCGGCACAAATGAATCGACAGTGGGAGTTTTTTAAAAACCGAACGTATCCGGCCAAAAAAGGAAAGAAGAAAGGACAGCTCGTTGAAAAGAATCGTGGCGAAGAAGTGATTGAGCAATGTTTCTATGCCGTCTTGCAAAAAAACAAAGAAGGTGAGAATATGGAGCCACATTTCCGTCAGTTTGTCGAAGAGCTCAGTCCAGAAAATAATTTCGCCTGGCCCAAGAACGATTATTTTGGTAATCATTTTAAAACGCTGTGCCAAAATCACACGCGATGCTTGAAAACCGGTCAAAAGACACACTGCAAGAAGAAATTGAAAAACTATCTGCGAATGCGAGCGTGGCAATTCAACGCAGTGTCTACCGGTTGGAAATTCGACAAGAAGGACATTGACAATGCAGTCGATTTGATGATTCGAGGCTACAATGCGATCCGTGACACTCATCAAAATGCAGATTTCAAACGACACAAGCGAACATTACTTACTGGCATGGTTACTGCAATTGTTCGAGAAGTTGGTGGCCCAACCAATGATCACAACATCAAGGATTTTTCAAAAGGCGATTATTGGTTCAAAGCAACTGCAATGTGGCTCGTTATGCAGACAGAAATCGATGAGTGGCACAATTGGGCGCAAGATAACAATGTGAAGATACCAAATATCAAAAATCTCTCGGTTGTTCCATTGCCTGATTATCAACGAAAGGCAGTGTTCATGTGCAATGATGTCTTCTATCGAATGCTGGCCGAATCGAAACTACTTCCACAAGTTGATGGTAGACAAGCAACCGAAAGTTACCTTCGCCAGAACAAAGAATTCTATTGGAATCAAGTATTCGATTTTACGACCATCAATCGAAAACTGAAGAAAAACAAAGAATTCCATTATACCATCGTCAGCAACGGTGAATCTGTGTCGATTATGTATCGCATGTCAAAGCAATACGAGCAACAGATGCAGAATGATGATATTCTTCGAAAGCAATTCATCGGCGGAAAATTTGCTTACGAACTGGGAATCGATCCAGGCATGAAAACATGGAATGCCACAGTTCGTCGAAATATCGAAACAAAGAAAGAAGTAAGTGTTTAAATTTTTGGCATTATTGAGAAATAGAAAGTGATACAGTTACGTGAATAATTTTTTTCTTCACTTTTCCATTTCAGGTCAACTTGAAAACGTCCAGTAAGAAGTACCATTGGCTGGCAAAGCAGAAGACGCGCGATGTAAAGGCAAAACGATGGACGAAGCAGTTCACCCAAGAGGAGCAGGACGATCGAAATAATCGACAATTGTATCAGCGAATGCCATCACCACTGGGCATACTCTGGATTGATTACGTTCATCATCGTATCAAAATGCTCAAGAAAGGAATGGCCGTGTATACAACACCGAAATACACGCTGTTGCAGTTTGACAAGTACGTCGAATCGAATCGAACCGTTGATAAACTCACTGGGAATTTGGTCAATCATAAAGCCGCAATTATTCACATGGGAAATGCAGAAATATCACCAAACTCGTGCATTCGAATCAAAAAGCATGTGAGAGCTCCAGGTACGCGCAAACTACTCAAAGGCTTTCGAAAACGTCGCAATTGTCGTGTGCGCAAAACAGATGAGTGGGGTACATCGCAGCATTGTGCAAAGTGTGGGCGACGATTTAATCCAGCCACAAGGAGCCATCGATTCAAAGTGTGTGAAAATTGTGGAGCGGAGCCCGATTCAATTTTCGCCGAATATTTACCATCAAAAATCGTAGCACAGCGCAGCAAACGGCAATTGAGGTACAACAAAGATGAGGTTGAACTTTATTTGATGCGATTTTGGGCAGAAGGACTCATGACTGAGCAAGAATTCGATATTGCTGCTGAACGTTTACTGTCTAAGGTGGCCGTGTATCCAAAAAATTGGCAAGTAAACACAGTGAGTGGTAAATTGGAATATGCTCAAGTCAATGCTGATGCACCGTATGCAACTGTTCAACAGCCATATGCAGTCGATGATGAAAATGAATTGGAAATCGAAGACGAGCAACTACTAATGGCTGTACACAAGACATCTTGGGATCGTGATATCGTCGCCGCCAAATGCATTCTCATCAAAGGTATCCCGAATGAAAAATGGCATTGAATTTTTCAATGCGTAGTGTCAAACGGCATTTAAGCAATAAATCGACACCGCATGGCTATAGCGATGTGGTGTATGCACTCAACGTGCGCACGGACCATGCGGTCTCGATTTATTGCTTAAATGCAATTTGACACTACGCATTGAAAAATTCAATGCCATTTTTCACTCGGGATGTGTATTAGAAATTTGCATTTGCATATATTCTACATATTAAATGAAATGCACACTATTTGAATGATCTATTTTAGCGCTCGATGATAAATATGTATGCAATATTTAATGACATTTGTATAGATTTAAGAAAAAAAATCATTTCTGCCAATAATCTATACATTATTTCCGTGTGTGTGTTTACTTTTGAATAGGACATTGTGAGCTGTTTGGATGGGATATTCCGGCAGGATTAGACAGACGATCACCGCGACAGCCAGCAGTTCAACCGAATCAGCAGCCTTAAGCATCACCAATCACCATTCGTACTCGAAAATTAATCAAAAATTAATATTGTAATTTGTTACATTAACTGAGACTGACTGTTGTGTCTCAGCATTTCGAGGAAGTACTTCTAGGTGTTTTTTTCTGTAAGTATTCTTCACTATGAGATTTTATTCATATAATGGAGTGATTGATATCCATATTCAGAGGCAACAATCGTTTTTCGCTTCGGGAAGTGTTGATATAAATCGCTTTGTTGTATCGATGCTACTAACCAGCATAGAATTTTGTCTACTTTCAATTAAAAAATACCATTTTTCTATTTACAGATATGGGAAACACCCTAATGTATACAGATAAATGACATAAAAAGCATAATTGGTAACACAAAGGGATACAAAGTCCATCCATGCCGTCTAAGGTATGCCGGTATTTACCACATTTCACATTTATCACGCGGATTCATCGGCGAACCGATTGGACAATTGAAATCAGTTGAAAATTCTTTTAAATTCGATAACGAACCAATGACACGGAATCGAGGTGGCGAATGTGGATCTTTTTCAATTTGTAAATTGGTTGTTTCATCGGTAACCGCTGAGCACCATACCTATAATTGAATTTTCGAAACGATATGGGTTATCAATTTTTGGTTTAAAATACAAATTTAAATGAAATAAAAATGCATACCTGAGCAAATGAAATGAAAAACAGTTGACGATGCGTCATATTGATACCAGGTAATGGATAAACATCAACTTCATCGACATTCTTTGATTTTATGTAAGCATTGTATGCAGCCTTCAAACCACCATTGTCGGCAATATTTTCACCTGTAAAAACCAAATTTATATGCTATAAACATAAAGATATCACGAAACAGTATCGAATCGGGTCGTAAAATCAAACATGGAAGCATCAAGAAGAAAAAGAAGTAATTTTTTTCTTGTTATGCATATACACTTGAACTTGGATTTTTATTCAGCTGTTTATTAAGCGTGACGATCATAAAACCGCCAGCATTTCATCGAAAAAAAAACATACCCAATGTTTGTTTTCCGTTCAAATGTTTTCCATTGATACTGTACTGATTATACTGTTTGATGAAGCAATTGGCACGTTCCTTAAAACGTTCGATAGTTTTATTATTCCACCATTGATGTAAGTTGCCGTTTTTATCATACTCTCGACCCTGATCATCAAAGGCATGTGTCAGCTAGAAGAACAAAAAAAATACTCACATTTTTGTTTATTCGATATTAAAAAACAAAAACAAACCTCATGTCCCATAACGACTCCCATGCCACCAAAATTCAAACTTTTCGGATTCAAAATGTCATAGAAGGGTAATTGAAGAATTCCGGCCGGAAAAACGATTTGATTTTTAGTTGGTGTATAGTATGCATTGACCGTTGGCGGTGTCATTCCCCATTTTGTTTTATTGACTGGTTGATCGAGTTTTTCCAAATTCTTTTTCAAATTGAAGATATTCAATTTAACATTATTTGCAAAATAAAAATTGGGATCGATGTCCAGCGATTTGTATCGTTCATCTAACAATTGTGGATTTAAAATATAATCGGGAAAACCGATCATATCGGATATTGCATCGGCTTTTTCATTGGCCAATTTTCTCGTTTCCGTATCCATCCAATCAAGATTTTCTAAATTCTCTTTGAACGCTAACCGAACACTATTGATCATTTCTTCGGCTTTTGGTTTTGCTTTACCTAAGGGAAGAATCACAAAAGAAAAGAATTAATTTAAAATAATCGACAAATAATCGTAAAACAATCAAAAATAATAAGTAAGTAGGCTTTACCATTGAATACTTCACGCACAAACATCGCACCAATCGCAAAACCAATGGCATTATTTGTATCAGACACACAGTAACGCCATGGCTCTTCACCACCATCCGATCCAATCAATGCTTTACGTAAACCTTTGTACGCATCACGAAATGATTTGGATAAACATGCAGTGAATGAACGAACCGTTTGCCACATTAGGTAATTGTTTAAAACTCTGTAAATAGAATAACGGAAAATTGAAAAGATGCGACAAACGTCTTGCTAGATGCGGCAAACTGTCGTGTGACATTTGTACATACACATTGCTGTGTTCAGTTTGTCGTGGCAGTTTCAAACACAATGTCATTGTTCTTAACTAAATTTGAAAAACAGTCGAAGAAAAAAATACAAGAGCATTTGTTGAATATTATTTTAGAAGCCGTATTCGATTCGAAAATTGAGATTTTAGAAATAAATTCAGATAATATAAAAGAAATTGAGAGTTACGTCAATGAAAATAAAAACCTTTCACAAGGCACCGTTTACAGTGATTATATTACGAATTTCACTCAATATTACCAAAAAAATATCAATTCGGCTTGAATCTCTGTCACCTAATCTGTCACTTTGACTTTTTGAATGTAAAAATATGGCTTTTCATATGCGCCATCCACAAAATGTGTATGAAAGATTCGACACCGTCCGCAAATTTGTATGAAACATCTGCCATTATTCGCAAAATTTGTATAAAACATTCGCGACCATTCGTTTCCATTTGCAAAATATATATGAAAAATTCGCTCGCATATGGAACATTCGTATAAGTCGGAACCCCCTAGATTTTATTCAAGAAGATTTACAAATTTTTTGGGCTATTGCCTATTCGATAGATTGAATCGCAATTGAACTGAAAATATTTATTTTCGTATATAAGAGAAGAAATAGGACATGAAAGTGCGGCCTTGCGTACAAATTTACATAGCATATGTACTTTATAGCTCATAAATGTTTCTTTGCAAAAAAAAAAAAAAAACGTTCAACGCATTTTCATTACAAATACAATGATTCTAAAAATCAATTTAATAACCAGAAATAAATTGTTTTTTTTTCTCTCGTTAACTCAATGTGTTCAGGCAGAAAATTAAAAATAACAATGGTAACTATTTAGGTCGTATTATTGTATGAGGAGAATATTTATAGACAACTGAGCCAACGATGTCAACCAGTGAAATCAATATTTAATTAATTTTCCACCGAGATTAGTCGAATTCAACTTACATTTTTCCCTCGTCCGTTTCTTGGTATTTCTGTACAATTTTTGTTAATTTTTGCAAATATTCTGGTGCATAAACGACAACCCGTTCTTTTTCCGTAACTTTACGTTTAACTATTCGCAATGCATCTTCAAAATGTTCACGCCAATCAATCAATGGTGCTTTCTCTTGTAGTTCCTTCAATGTCATGGGATGATATAACAGCTCTTCATCTCGTCGTTCATCTGTTCCAATCAAATTCACAATGAATCATTTTTGGTTTAGATTTTTTCTTTTAAATTCATATTATTTAACAAAAAAAATGCTCACCCGGCGAAGCGGTAATTTCGGCCAATTTTGTTTCAAAATCGATGACAGCTTGCATTTGTGGTTTGGCTTCTGTTTCATTGGCGCCGAGTAAAACGGCCACTTTAACCATATAATCGAGATAGGCGGATAAAATTTTTGCGTGTGCCGTTTTATTAAGGTAATTTTCTTTGGTCGGCAGTGTTAAACCGCCTTGATCAATTTGAATAATATGTCGCGATGAATTTCGATCATCTTCGCCAACCGCCCAACCAAATAAACCGCCCATATTATATCTATTTTGTAGAATTTTAAGTGTTGATTCCAATGACCAATTGCCAATGTTAAATTTATTGGTTGAATTGCTTGTTACATTCCAGCCGCCAATCTTTTCAATTAGCTCAAGCATTGGTGTTGCGCCTAATTTTTCAATTTTTTCATCTTCATCCAGACATGATTCATAATAAAGTTTTGCTTTCTTTTCGGCTTTTGATTTGAAAAATGATTCAGGTCGTTCGAGAACATTTTTTATCACAAGCTGATTGCGTTGCTCCAATTTACCAAATGTGCCCCACATTGATTTACCGTCGGGAATTGGATTATTTTTTATCCAACGATTACAGGCAAATGCGTAGAAATCATCGCATGGACTCATTTGTGGATCGATTGAATTCAGTATCTCACTAGCTGCATGAATACATGGCTCTTGCAAACAAGGCCCTGAATAATAAACAAATAATTTATGAAATTCATCGATTTAGCAAAATTGTGATGATGATGATGATGATAAAAACGTGAACAATACTCACTAATTCCTTGTTGAAATTGCGTGTGTGCATCGTCATTGTTTGACGATCGAAGACATAACAGTAAAACGACAAATGCGATAGCTAACATACAAATTGCAATAATTAAATACTTTTCTAACTTGGTTCGTGTTCGCCATAAGGTAATCCCCTGTGTTAATTTAGACAAAGATTGTGAATGAATGAGATTGAGAAATGAAAATAAAAGTGTAACACAACGATGATAATGCTAGTATAATACAAAATTCGTATGTTTATTAACATATGAACCGCTATGTTGGCAAAGCGATTACATATCGGATTATACTTTGTATACAAATGTGGTGTCGCATACAACAATAAGCACATCGGTGCATATATCAGCTGATGCTCTCTATTCGCATTCAAAATATAATCCGATTTTATTCCCGGAATGGGATATCGACAGTGTGCAACAAAAAAAAAATCGAGAGTAATAATGGTATATTTGCCTATTCAGTTTCGATTACTTACTTGTGTTGTGTGATAGCGTATGTGCATTGATGGGATGGTTGTGGTTTCATTTAAATGTATCGACCTCGAGCCAATGCTGCTCGTGTCTTCATCAGCGAAATCGGCCTGCTTATAACGGGTCATCTGTTTATGTTTTGTTCCAAGTGGATTCAAAATGCCAAATTATTCTCACATTACATGCGCTCGGGACTTTTAATACACCGGCTTTCAATCAATTTGATCAATTTAAATATTTCACAAATACTCACTTTCACCGACATGCTTCAGTGGCACCGCAACACGTCCTGTTTGGTTGTCCAAACGTTGAATAAACCAATATATCTTCTCTTCTCTCTCTCTTTTGCTCACGAAATATGGAATAATTTGTCAGATAAATAGGCGATTAAATGATTCCCAGTTGAAATCAAGTGCTCTGTGTGTGTGTGTGGAAGCCTTTAATTTTGGAAAATGTACATTTGAAAACTTTGTCTTTGGGGTGGGTTGTTATGTAACGCGTGTTATACGATTTTGATGTCAACTCACTTATCCATTCATGGTTCTAAAATAGGTGAAAATGTATATTAAAAAAATCAATGAAAATTAATTAGGCCATTCAGTGGTATTTAAGCACGTAATAAGCTAGACATAAATTTCGGTGTCAGCTACACACATTCAGCTCGTTCACAGGTCAGTGATTTTAACAGATTGTTTGCATCGCATAGATATAAATCAAATTTCCACAAATTGGAAATTCAATTTTAATCTTCACAGTATCGCAAATATTTTTGCCAAAATTTAATAAAAAATAATTATATGAAAACAATTGTGTGGAAGTTTTAAACGGTACGCATCGATCTATTTTCGGCATCGATTGGAAAATACACTGTGATACAAAGTGTTTCCTTTCGAGTGGTTTGTAATCGCAAATTGAGTCATGTTTTCATTATTTTAATGGATTACGAAAATGAAACAAACAAAAAAATATGAGCTCTGTATCATATGTCAGTTAATTGGATTGAGTGTACGCACAAATAAGCACGTTTGGTGTTTTCATACCCTTCACATGCGGTTCGCAACAAAAAATAACATTTATACAAATATTCAGACACTGATTGATGATTTGGCAATGTTTTATCTGTTTCATTGAAAATATTTTCGATTCTGTAAGTGTTTCTTTTTCATCACCATGCAAATAATTTGCATCCAAAAAGAAGCCAATTAATGGAAAATCGAGACCCTTTTTATTTTTTAAATTTATTGGATGTTAACGGAGACGAAGAGAGAGTAAGATGGGAGAAAATGCGCACTTTCATGGACGTTGCCAATATTTACGTCTTGTTTTTCCAGCATTCGTTTTTTATCTCTTCTACTCAGACATCCATGTAAACAAAAATTGTGTTGGCGATTTATTGAAAACATACGCTCTTTGATAACAAATGTATATCATCGAAATTATCTTTTTAATTTCATTTAATTAAAATTGAACATAAAAACAGACAAAAAACCAACTCGTGATAGAATCGTTTGAAGGAAGAGAGAGAGAGAGAAACTTGTCTGCACAGACAAATACAGATGGCAGAAGAATGTAAGAGCTGTTGAACGAATTATATACTTCATTCAATTATTTCCAGATGGAAGAAAATAGGCGTTATCATGATTGTTAATAATGCAATCCACCACTTGGATGTGCTTGCTTTAGTTTCTAGAATATATTAGCGTCACAATATTCCGTCCTCGTAAAACAGCACAATTTTGTTATCAGCGCCAGAGATATGATATTCTCATGAATAATAATGAGAATGACACAATTATAATAATGATGCATTATGAAGCGCACTTGAACATTTTTGAAGAAAAAATGAATCTCAACGAAATGAATGCAACGTTTTGACATGTATTCAATTCCACATTAAATGCCGATGGACCACAAATCATCAATACTTTACGGAAAATAATTAGCATTAGCTTTTTAATGGTTTGAGGAAACACACACACACACACACACACACACACACAAAATAAAAAAGTCAGCAAATTGGAAGTTGAAAATTCGACACTCTCAACTCACTTCGATGGGAATTACACACGAAATAAAAGAAATCACTCTCAATCAGACATGTCAATTTCGAATTTGAATTATGCAAATAAAGGGAATTGAACACACACACATACACGACAAATGTAAAAAGGATACAAATGAGTATACAAACAAAACCTAAAGTGATGTATATATTATATAAAGAAACTCTTCTTGGCAACTAGCAACGGCTGTTTGTGTAAACTTGAAACATAAAAAAACCAAATCAATTCTATTTACAAAATTATGTATGACAATTTTCTTTTTTTTTTTATATCCATATTCGTTTCCTATTTATCATTTCGCTGCGATAATTGAAACAACAGCAAAAAACACAACTCTGACAACATTTAATATGCACGCACCAAAAAAAAGATATTGTTCGTCACTTTTATTTAGATGAAAATATGAACAAAAGAAAATGAAAATGAACACGAGAGAAAAATACAACTTGTAATATATCCCACCGAAAACAAGAATCCTCAATGAAAATGTTCATCGTACGGAATTTTCTTTTGTGTGTTATTACTTCTTGTTGTTTATTCCTTCAATTGATGCGTACATTTTTAACTCGGCATCTCTTACTGGTGTTCATGCACATTGGATGGCAGACAGAAATATAGCTCCATGTACGAGCGTGTGAGTGAGCTACAGCAAGCGATATGCAAGAATGAGAAAAATGCGAACAGGCAACCGAACGAAAAGCGTTTTTGTATATGTATATATATGCGTGTGTGTGTGTGAGAGCGGGAGTGTGTGCACACGAGAAAAAAAAAACACAAACCGTGTATAGAATGTTAGTGTGTCGTGTTTTTTGGGTAGCGATAGCTCCTATTGAGTTACAAACGCAACAAGAATGATACGCGATGGTAATGTAAAAGCGGGTATCGATTGCGGGATATGTAGGCCTTTGCACTTCATGTATTTGTTTTTATTATGATAAGATTTGCAATACACGCTACACAATTACCAAATAACACACAAATTGGAAAAATTCCCCGTTCACAATAAATATTCACTGCACGTCATATGTTTGTTTCTGTTGCTGTTGCTTTTTCAAAACTTCTATGATTTAATTTTGATTGTGGAAAATGCGCAAGTAATAAATGGTCAATGAATTTTGAATTTATTTCATTGTTTCGATACGATAAATGCACAAAAACACGTTCTTATTAGAATGTAACCGAGATATCTGTATGCTTCATCGGTGTCAAATGCGAACGAGGATATGGATTTCTGTTTTGGGTTAATTTTACATCGCGAGAAGCTTACATCTTTCTAAGAAATCCACAATTGAATTTAGTGATCGAAAATATACAACGAAGATTTCTCTCAAGTGTGTGTTTGTGCTCATTTGGTCAGAAATATTCCTATAATCATAAGAGATTGAGAGCGAACGCATTGGATAAACACATATTTGTAGTCGTGTGCAAATGATGGGCGATTAGATAAAAAAAAACAGATTTTTTTATATGTATATATATGAGATTGCGAACGAAATAAGTACCTAGAGCAAATGCAAGTGTAGGAGAGATAGAAGTATGTTATGTGTATGACTGACTGACGACCGTACATGCGCACATTGTTCAAAACACTCTATGTTTATATAGCAAATTCTTGCTCATTTTAAAATTCCGAATTTCGACCATTTGGTCGTGTCATAGAGCATACAGCGGCTACAATTTAAGCTCGGTCAAACGTTGTTCGTCGTCATTGACGTCGTCGTTGCTGTTTTCTGTGCACATCTTATCGTTTATGCTAAATTTAAAACGTTTATTTCACATTCGTAAATCCAACGGATACACAATAAATGTATTCCGTCATTCGGATTTTTCACCGAATAAATTCTGAAATACATAAATACAATCAAAATAAATGACGTGAATCCGCAATGCAGACACACATTCGACTCACAATTTGATTCGATTTGACGTGTTGATTTGGTTGAATCGATAGCATTTTGTTGTTGCTGTTGTTTTTTTCTTATTTGCTGTGAACAAATATTCACCGTCTATTTTCGAATCCACCATTTGCTTTATGGTTAACGATATTAGCATTGCTTAAATTTTATTAGAAAAAATTGTGTTCGTCAATGTGTGTTCACACAATTCATTCAATCACACAATCGCAAACGCGTACACTTTGAATTACCACTGTAGTTTTGTATTCCATTCAGTAGTATGACTAACAATCCTTTGCATTTTGATACATTTCCCATTACGGTGATTATTTATTTGTGTGTAATTGACTCTTGAATCAATGTGATTTCTTAAAGGAAGTATCGTGTCAATAACTTGTCTCAATCTATTGTTATCGCGTGTACGACGAACTTACTCTCGATTTAACGAAAACAAAATGCATTATTATACATGACCGTATTTTATTATCGCTTCTATTTTTTGTGCAACAATGGCCCAAATTTCAATGTGTGATACAATCAACGCCATCTGTCATGCCATGAATAGACACTCATTTTGTAGATGTTTGATGAATGTTAAGCTTTTATTTGACTTTTTCACAGTTAGTTGGCAACCAAAATAAATTCACAGTTCTCATCTAGTTATTCTTACACTTTTTGTCAAATGATAGTTTGGAGTGAATTTGTTTTTAATTCGATTGCTATGAAAATTTGTATTGGGGAGTTCTTCGGCACGAGTAATACACCTGCTGATACCTTTTGCTATAAAATCACAATATAATTACCGCTAAAAATAAATTTATTTTAAATATCGAGAAGAATTTAAAAACAACTATTAAATTTTGAAATATACATGAAAATGATACATCTTTTATTGATTTAATCTTGAATTACAGAAATAAAATATTTGAATTTATATAATAAATGCACATTAATTGGAATATCTGTTGCTAACAATAACATTAAGCCATTTTTGGTTGGCTTTTAGAACATTTTCCGGAACATCAACCACACCGCGAAAAACTTCAATTTTGGTTTTGACACGACCTTTGACCAATTGCAAAAGGGATTCATAGCTTCCCAAATCGATGTCCATTACCTTTACTTCACATGAAAATTGTGTTAGATTTTTGCCGTGCTTTAAAATACGTTCAATTGTCCACATCGAAATATTTCTCCAACCGTTCACTTCTACATTGATTGTTTCCAAGGTCGTTTGACTTTTCACCATATTGAGGAGGACATCTTCGAAAATGCTTTCGACTGGACTGCCAATTTTCAAATGTTTCAATGTTTTCAATTTTAGCACACGTTCACTTTTGCCATTCGACGGATCCAATGAAACCAATGACAATTCTTCAATTGGAACACTATTTTCAGCAAACATATTAGTGATTGTGTCCAATGTAATATATCGACCGAAATTGGAGCTCAAACTCTTCAATTTGCGTAAAAAGCTCAAATGTGAAATGTTTTCATTCCATACAGCATTCGAGAAATCGGACGAACGATGAAAGAAAATGGCCAATTTTTCGATATTCGGCGCACTATTGCGAATGGTTGCAAATATCAATGGCGTAATATATTGACAATCTTTTACCTTTAAGCACCGCAATTTTGGATTTAGAGACAAAAATTGCGTTAGCATTTCGTTCGTTAGATCATTAACGCCATCGAATTCCATTTGCTCCAAGTTCGGCATTTCGTGTATAAACCAAATGTTATCATGCTCCAATGATTTCAATTGTCGGATGCTCAACATTTTCAGCGATGAATACGATCGAAAGTTTTGTGGTGATGAGTGGTGCATATCCAATTTTTCCAACGATTTGAATTCGACTTGGTCAAAGTCTGGATTGTACCTGGTGATGTTGAGTTCCTTCAATCTTTCTCCGCAGTATTTCGTTATTAAATTGAATATGTAGTCATTGCGTTCGCGATTTGATGAACATCCGGTCCATGATAGCGATTCAATTGATCGGCCAAATGTACTCAGAAGTACACGTGCCCGTTCGGATGGCACACAGTTTGGAGGATATATTGCACTATCAACTATTTCAACATGTTTGAAGCGAGCTCGAAAACAGTTTTTTGCACCCTGAACGAAATCTGGACACACTCGAGATACCGTCAAAAAATGATCCAAATACACAATTCGTCGTAACACTTCCTCGATGCAATCTCCGTTCAAAGCATCCACTATAACTTCTCGTGGCAAACGACGTGACAGAATCCATTTTCGGATATGTTTAATTAAAGCCATCTTTGCGCAAATTTCTATTCAAAATTAACAATTTCAAGCTCTATCACTTATCTCTTGCCTTTGAAAATTTTAACTTTTCGTACTTTTTTCTGATTTTTTGTTTGTATGAAGGGCTCGTTTTACTTTTTACGTTTTAAGATAAAAAATTACTTTAGCTGAGAACAAGTCTTATAACAACGTTACTGCAAGGCTCACTGTAAATTGAATGATTAGTTTGACCACCAACATCCGCTTATATAGGAGCTGTGGAAAACACAGGTAAACAAAACACAAAACATGACCCTTAATAGGCACCAACAGGCATAAATTGTAATTGGGTATCCGGGCATAAATGGTAATTAACATGCCACACTAATTAGCCAGTTATTTTAATTAAAATTCTTAAGAAAATCAATTAGACTAACAATACAATAGATACAATTAGACTGATAGAAGCAACTTGATCCTTTTCATTGAAAGAATTAGCATTCAAACCATTATGGTGTGAATGAACTGTTAGTGTGTTAATTACCATTTACTATATAGGCGATTACCTGTTGAAATTCTTATGAAAACCAATTGGGTTAAGTACAATTAGTCTGTGAAAAGCAATTTGATCCTTTTCATCATTTAAACCATCACAGTTGAAAGGCTTAACAGATTGAATTGCCTGTAAATCGTTTCGTCAGATACATTTTGAATTTAAAATGTTATGAATATTTTAATTCCGTATTTGTCACAGAGATCCAAAGTATGAGTTATAAAAGTAATTGTACATGTTTGCATTCACTAAATTCGGCGAACTACTTAGGATTATTAATCATCAAAACAAAATCTTTCATTATTCTCTAGTAAACAGACTCATAGATGTGCTATAAACACGAGCGCAAACAAATTGAAAAAATGATCGCACAAATTTCAAACTACTGAAATCCGGCCATTTGACAAGGGGGTGTTGACATTGTTCATTAAATTTTATGGTTACTTGTTGTATAACATATGACCGAGTATATATGTATATTAGGGTGGGTCAATTATTTTGCATCAAAGGCTCATCGCGATTTTGGTTCTATAGGTCATAACAAGAATTTTTGCCCAAAAAACCATATGTCTAAAATGAATTTCGAGCCTCCCAATTTTTCTATGAAGATATTTTCCAAAATATTTGAAAATCGACTTAGACATTGCATTAAAAAGGCAAAAAAACATTATTTTTTTCTATCCAAATGTGTATGCGGGGGTTTTTTGGTACGAGAAAGCTGAATCTGGCCTTTGTTTTGCTATACAATCACGTTAAAATACACTTTCCTTACAAAAATTTACATTTTTTGAACAAAAATCAAACAATTTGTAATAAAAATACAAATTTCATCAAAATTTCTAGGTTTTTTGTGGCTAGAAACATTTTTAGAGTAATAATAATGCAATAACATCTTGTATTTATAATCATTTGAACGTTCTCATAGCTTGAATATCGAGAATTCCGTAATTCTCAATGATTTTATTTACCGTATCGATTCTCATCTAAAATGCAAGAACTCGTCTTCTCAATATCAAAAAAATTCACAGGAATTCACGTAAATTCACACTTTTGAATCGAGTGGTTATTGATGAGTTCGGTGAATTCGTGTGAATAGAATGAAATGTGTCAATTTAATAAAGTGAGGTTATGATAACCGCAATATTTTTTAATTTATTATTTTTTCAATATTTCCGATTGTTTTCGATAGAAAATCGCTCAAAATTGAAAATAAAATTAATTTTTATTAAAAAAATATAAAAAACATTTACAATTTTGTTACACAAAATATAATTTAGATATTATTATAGAATTCAGTCGTTGAAAATTTTGAATTAAGCCCCTAGAATGGAATAAATGGGCATTCACATTGTTTTCAATTCAATTAATTTCTAAGTTATTGGAATACTATAAATGGGGCTTCAGGTTGTATCACTAAATCACATTCACCATTTCTATTTGAATTTGTCTCTAAATGGACGTGGATATTTTCGCTTGCCACTCGTTTAAAATGTGTCCATGCTTTGGCCGTACATGGCATTACTGTTTTTGGTGTATTTTCATTTTGTACAATGTGTAAGTGTTTCAGCTTCGACACGGCAATCAGACGAAGCATTGAATCATCAATATTTTGTGGTGATATTTTCAGAATCTGAATATGAAAAAAAAAGAATTCCAACGATCAGTCTTTGTTTGCACTAAAACTCTTTGGGCAAACCTCTAAATTGGACAGCATTGAAATTTGTTGAAGCGGGCAATGATTGACTGTCAAATTAATAATTGACAGCACTTTTAATGATTGACTTAAACCAATACTTATTTGATCCATCAAACTGTTTGCTTCGTATCTCTCTAGCACCAAATCAACTAATTCTAATTCGCATAAATTTGGCATTTTTGATAATAATTTTTTGAAACTGCCGATTAATTGACCTGAAATTTACATAAATTATTTATCTATTTGATTAAGTGAAAGAGTGAACAATGAAACTACACACCTCCGATGCCAAACAGTTTGATTCCATTTGGATCTGAGTCGAGTGGTTGATCGCAAGGAAATTTAAACGTAAATTTACTAATATTGGACGACTGATGAAGCTTATTTTCCAGCATCTTGTTAAAATACGATTCAAACACTACGAACAACTGATACAAACTGGCAAAATGTTCGGTTTGCCGAATATTAATCCATCTGAAATGATGGCCGATTCGATGTAAACAATTTGTTATCTGGCCATAGTCCAAAATACGACTGGAATGGATTTTGCCCACATCGCAGCCAATTGGTTTCGTCAACCAGTATCCGTCAATGTCGACCTTTCGCCACACCTTTGGCAAATCAAAACACAGTGACCATCGTTGACAGACCTTAAATGATAAAATGTTATCTCTTTTTGTCACACCAGAACACTTCTTTTTCTTTCTTTCTACTTCATCGACTGTCTGTTACGACCACCAACATGATCATTAAAAGATTTTTTTTTTTTTTTCAAATTTCAAGGCGAAAAATAGAATAACATACCATGCTAGCGTTGAAACGATCTCCAATCGATAGCATTGTGAATATTTTTTCCATGATCAAGTCATCCAGAGATGTCCAATCTGATTCCATCGTTGCTTCAATGTAAATTGTAATCAGAAATAGAAAATTGTAACAAATCGAAAACCACTTGCTGTGAATTTTAGTACAAGTGATTCACATTGTTTTTCCAACGAACTACTGAATTTAATGAAGAAAATCTATTTTTGCATTCAAACCGCTTATGAGCGATAGTGAGCGATATCGCAAGAACAGCGAAAAGAAAATTTTGTTTTTCACTCTTGCTAAATTCAGCACACATGCGCACATATTTTCGAGATATTCCGCTTTTTTCTAAATATATACAGAGAACATTTTCGGACGCAGTACTTACACTATATGGCGACCAATTTGTTTGTTTCATTCGACACAAAAACGTTGGCTCATTCATTTTCACAATATCAAGTTGATTCTATGATCGCAATTCTGTATATGTTGTGCAAGTCTTAAAACAAAATTGAGCAATCTAGCTTGAACACCCAAAGTAGTGTAAAAATTTTGATTTGGATTTCATTTCAGACGTGTATAATAAACTTGATAGAAAAAATAGATTCTCAAGGAATATAAATTTGCTTTTTGCATTTTTATTTGGTCCAAGTAAACTGATTACAAAACTTCATTATATCTATATCAAGGCGTTATCCACCAAACTAGGAATACCAACTAGAAAACTACTATCAAAAACTAGCATTCAGGTTTCTATCAATCAGTTTGGTTTTTCAGATAAATCGGTGATTAGTCGATTGTATCCTACATTATGATTTTGGCAATAATCATTGTGACGCTCGGTTACTATTTCTAATCCGTTTACTAGCTAAAGCCCAATATGGTCTGAATTGACCATCAATATCTCTATTTATTCTTTTATTGAATGGTTTTATTGATGGAACCGCGATCGATTTACTATCCAACTTTTCAATAATGCTTTTGTATTCGTCGATAGTAAAAAATGAGCACGAGCTTCCGCATTGGATGAATTCCTTTAAGGTCATGCGGTCGAAATCAATAAGCTCGAAACATTCACCAAGTTCAGATCGCAAATTTTGCGGTATTGGATCGATTGACTTTTTTTCGCACGATTTTTTGGCCCATCTGATGCATGCATCAAATATTTCCTTTTCATTTCGTGTCAAACATTTTGATCGCATTATATATTTCAGTGTCGTTGAATCGATGTCAAAATTTTCCGATACATCCAAAAATTTGATGAATATCTTCCTTTCAGCTGATATTTGTAAATCATCCAGGCCATATCTCATGGCAAGCTCGAATATCTTGCACAAATGATCACCAATCATGTGGTGTTTGTCAAGAACCTAACAATGTTTAACAAAAAAAAAAATACTTATGCAAAAACTTGTAAAAATCAAATATATGTTATAGCAATTCAAACCTGAGCGCAAAGCATCATCACATTTGAAGCATCATATTTGTCGGCAATGCACATCACATCGGTTATGTTATCTGAGAAGGAAATCGCCACCGAAAACTTTAGCAACGTGTAGTGAAGACAATAATTATATTCGCTTACCCATGGTGATCATATCGGTCTTGAAGTAGACCACTTGCAAAAAAAATTCGAACGCCGTCGGTGATATGTCATCAATTTTAACGCTGCCTATTTCTTTCATTGGTCCATAAAACATCGCTTTGAACACCAAACTTTCGTTGGCCAGAACGATTTTATGTGCCGATATTTTGACCATTTTGCAATTCTGCTTAAAAACGAAATGTGCGTCAAACGTTTCTTTACTTTCGTACAAAGATTGTAGTTTCTTAATCGCCAATTGCTCTGCGTTCATTGTTAATGCGGTCAAGTTTTTACGTGATACAAATATATACTGTTTATTTTGAATGTTTTTGTATTTTCTGGAAAATACTGTATTTAATGTGTTAAATTCGATTGTTTTGGTAGCAAATGAATCAGATTAGTGAAAACGCGGGATAACGAGCGTCATTTTTTGCCGGTTTATAACTCAAATATTCTGACAGTGCATATTTTCTGTTACACACATTGACATTTTGGAGTTTCTCGCCAAGTTCTATTCTGTTCACTACTTTCAAGCATGTGTGTGTCGGCCAATTTGGCTGTAATATCTGTTTATTTTATGTTTATGTTAAATGTTGGGGATGCTTGTGTATTAGCGAGACTCTCTCTCTCTCTCTCTTTCTGAGTTGATTATAAACAATAGCAGACAATATTTTCAGATGAAATTTTCAAGTATACCATTTGTGTTTGTATTTTTTGTTACTGAAGTGAGATGACTTCATACTTACGTCGAATACTAAACGACGATCCTTTGTTAGTAACAACTTGTTATATATCTTACTGAAATTTCATGATTATAATGATTATGTTATTCCTTGAAAATATAATGGAAAATGAGATATGAAGTAAAAATCAAATTTTCTTATGAAAAATGAAATATAAAAAGCAATAAGAAGCAGTTAGAGACGGGAGGGTCAAATTCTCACTTTGACCTGAAAATTTCAAATAAATAAAAACAATTTTCTTCTCTCCTATGGTGAATCTTTTATTGTAATTGCAATAAATTTGGTCTGTTTGCTTCTTTTCCTCAAAGATGTAACTGTGATTGCTTAATTTTCTTTTTATCTTTTAAATATATACTGATCAACATATATACTGATTTTTTTTTTTATCCTTTATCTACTATATTCAAAATATAAATCATTACTTCTCGTCTATTGGATGGACTCTAACTGTCTTATATTAACTCAAATGAAATCTGTTACTTTGAAACAAGAACATAAAACATTGTATGAACAGTACAAAATTTAATCTGCTTTCTTTGTTTGAAAACATTTCATGTAAGGCGCCGCTGTTGCTTTTTGCACTTTACTGGAACTTTATTTATCTTCGCCATGATATTTTTGTATTCGTCGAATGAAAACATCGGATACAGTTCCTCGTACTTTATGAATTCTACTGCACTCATTTGATCGAATCGAATGTGCAATAATGCTGAATCAAGCTGTTTTCGCAAATTTTCCGGTGTCAAATCGATTGCATTTGTGACACATGAATGATGGGCCCATTTGAAGCAGGCATCCAGTTTATCTTTTGCACTGCAAAACACGAACTGGCTTTTAACGATATGTTCCAGTGTGTCGAAATCCATTTCCAAAAATGATGGTGATTTTAAAATCGTTTTTGAGTGCAATGCCATAATGGAAACACATGATGACTCTAATGCAGTCAACCGATAACGTAGAGCCTCATTAAGAATTCTGCATACATTGTTTGCATTCGCATTCAAACCGAAGAATTTCTCGCAAAAGTCCATAACATTTTGTTCATCGTAACGATCGGCCAAACAAATGACGTCGTAGATATTTTCCATGTTCACTGCATCGAAATGTTGATAAATTGCCTTCACAAAAGCAACAAATGATTCGATGGTTGTGTCAGCCATATTGATTTCATCCTTTTCCTTCATGGGCCCGTAAAACATTGCTTTGAATACGGGAGATTCGGCCGCCAAAATCAGCTTGTGCGCCGAAATTCGCTTCGATGGATCATTGTCGAATATAAAATGGACATCGACTGCTTCATTGTTTTCTCGCATTTCGTACAACGACGTCATGCGTTGAAGTGCCAACTTAGCCAAAAAATCCATTTCTTTTTGGATCACGTTTAATGTTCACTTTTTGATTTTATTTTTCGAAAAAATCTTCTTTTTCGATTACAAAACTATTTACGATTATAGTAGTACAGTACTTATACAAAATGGATCGGTTGTGAAATTGTTTTGTTTGACAACAATACAAACAATCGAATGCGCTCATTGAAAATCAGAGCATGGATGTTGGAGAATGTTACACATACACAATGATCCTTTGCTATAAACTGAGTCAAGTATTCAACATCAACACCAATGTAGTTCGCATCGATAAAGTTAACACGACTCTCTTTGAGTATATTTGTGCAACGAAGTGTGCAAGGGTTTATGACAGAACCAATAGAATGACACATTGACCGTTAGGTATTGTGAGTCTTGAAAATTGGTATTGGCTGGTGCGTTGGCAAAATCACCACAGAAGAATACGGTTTATCTTGTAAATTCATGAATAAGTCTGTTTGATCGTTCGTATACCATAACATATATTTGAATAAAAAGAGAACAATCTGAAATGTTGAACTTTTGTTCATTTCAAATTTGCACTCTTGTGCTTGTTTTTCTCTTCGTAAGAGACTAAAATCAAAAACTATAATCGAAATAAAGCCACTTTCTGATTTGATGTAATGGTCAACAATATTTGATTTATTGAAATTACTCAACGAATGATATTGCATATAAGATTCCAGATAAATTCACGAAATCCATGTGAAATAAATGATGACTACGCGTGTTCACCAAATACGGGTGTATTTGGTACATCATTGACACCGACCGCTTATGATCATCATTTATGTGAAAATTTGCAAAAATTGTGGCTGCACGAATCGACGGCCGACATTCACTTTGTCATTGAGATCGATGAATTTTGACCACCGATGGATTTTTGCAATGCAGCCAAAATGTTCTGAAGCATATTCTATTGTCGAACATACAGAATCGGTGAGTGTTCTAAGCCAGAACAACAAACCTTTGTTTTTACGGACAGTTAAAGGATCACAGTATATTACAACAACGAGAAATTTCCAAACGAATATCAATAAAAAATTTAATTGCACCATTTCCACAGTTCATAAAATGCTAATTCGACTGAATGTTTCCTAATTTCAAACAAGACTGATAACAACTAAATTGCTGGTTCACGAATTGTTTACGGTTAATTTCAATATTTTAATTGACTTTCAGTGATAAAAATAATTATATTTTTTATAAACAAATGTAAATAAATGCATTGTGAATGCCATTTATCCTTGCGCAACTGCATCATGATAAACTAAAAATAAATAAATGAATGACTGTCACAGGTGACTGCACTCACTTAAGGATAATTATAAGGCCTAAGCATAGCTTTTGACCAAGGATTTAGGAAATTACTCCTTTACAAATTGAGAAAAATAATCGAAATTTGCTTAACAAGTTTGAAAAAATAGGAAGAAGCTGGAGATTTAGATAAAATGGTGAAGCTGAAAATCTGTGTCTGTGTACAATACGCACGAGCGACCAGATATTATCTACACACAAGCTTCCTTTAATTTCAACGAGAGTATACTCTTACTATACTTACCTTCTGTAAAATGAAATAAATAAATAAAAAGCACAACCGTTTTTTCTTCTCAAAATCAGTTGATTTGTAGTCAATTTAAATTATTTTTATTCTTAATATTTGATATTTCCAACTGGATTAAACCTCTGTTAAAGAAAAAAAAAATATTCAATTTAATTCCATTTATTCTTTCCCTCCATATAATATCAATAAATCAAATTTGTTCTGATATCTGTCTGCTTGTTTTGATTTTATTTATAATCAACTTGCTAATTGATAAATTTTCTTTGTTTTCTTTCATTTTTTCCCTATATATTTAATTCCTTACAATGTATAAGGATTTGTTTTTTAATAAATTTGCTAGGGGGGAGACACCAAGAAGAAGAATAAATTCCGAATCCAAAAACACAAATGTGGAATCGAAACTATTTTTCCACTGTTTCCGTCAAAAATGTTAATTCTGCTATTCCAAACTATTCCACTAATCCATCAATAAACGTCAAAAGAGATGTCAAATGGATTTGAAGTGAAACAATTTTTGCTATTCCATGCACTGTTTCGCTATTCCACGCGAATCCATTCACATACGTTGCTATTTCATTGAAATTTCTCGAATCTTTACTCTAAAAGTCTAATCCTATTCCACGTGTCTGCCCCCTAGTAAATTTGTTTCTCTTTTTGTTCTTTTCGAGATTGCTCTTCTGCGTGCCAATTTCTTATTTAAAAAAATAGTAATAGTAGGAAAATCGTTGAAAATTCATAAATACTGTCAAATAAATACCGAATATTCAGAATTGATTTTGCTTTGTGCATAAAATTCAATATTTATAATAAAAGACAAACACAAAAAATACATAAAAATGCAAAACATTTCACAACGAAGACTAATCTACAAAAATGTTCAAAATCGGGCAAAAAAAACCGTTGTTAAACATTATTTATTCACGTTGAATCAAATTAATACTGCTAGTTTGTTGAGATTTACGAAAAGGTTGTTCATTAGGAAAAAAAAGGAAACATATAATAAATGCTTAATTGCAATATTTTTATACGGTTTTTAATAAATGTTTGGAATGAAGAAATATTAAATGGACGCGAATTTTCTCAGAAATTCCTACTCAGAAATGGATAATAATATTGCTTTGAATCGAATTTTGTTTGTCAATTTATTCATTGCCAATGAAATTTATACATTTATATTCTTCAGAAGAACTTTTTGATATTTATATATTATTATTAAAGAATTTGAATTTCAAAATATTTTCACCATTTATATTTTGAAATAAAGTTTGTTGCTTAAGTCTTCGAATTTGACTATGACTACCAATCAAATTTTTCGTCAAATCGGATTCACGATACCAACACAAGTCATGTGGGTGAAAAAATTGAAATTGTTCTAATTTTTGCTAAACAATACTGGTTACGTCACAATTTGATTTTTTTTAAAATATTTTTTGAAAGTGAATTTGTTAATCGAATGAATAAGTTTTTCCATTTATTTGTTTGGAAGAATTTGGCTAACACATCAAATATTTCTACATTCAATTTTTTTTTATTTATTTACATTGAAAATGCGATATCGTTCCATTTGCTAAAAAAAATGGCTGACTGTAAATTGTGAATTTCCAATTTACTTTATTTCAAACACTTTCACCAAAAATGACTCGGTTTTTTTAATAGTAATTTCAAAATGTGAAATGAATTGAAAGTGAAATAAATATATTAGATACATTTCCTTAACGCGAACAATATACTTTTTTTTTTCATGAACTGTATACGAGACTGTGTCATTATATATTGATATAGCAAAGACAAAAAAAAAATTGACAAATTAGTAAGGCTGTGTGTTGCATAGAGATTCCATGTGAATATCGAAGCCGAATCAGACAAATCGTTCCAGAAATGTGACTAATTCTTTAAACAAATCCAGAATTTTTATATAAAATATATATTTTTCATTTCATTTTAATGTCCATTTTCTTTTCATTCGGACAAAAAATAAACAACATACAATAAAATTCGAGATAAGATGATTGAGACAGAAAATTTGTTCGTTGATGAACGTAAAATAAACTAATAATTTCATTCGATGCTAACAATTCGTGATTTTGCATTCAGATGATGGCATATTTTACCATATTCCAAAATCAAATTAATGTTAATTTCTCTTGGTTTATGTTTCCAAATTCCGTTCTGCAATTGTGAGCGTATGTATGCATATGTGTGTTTGTGTGTATCGTCAAAAATGATTTAATTTAATTAAAAAATGAACAGCTTTTGGCCAAATGTTGTGCACACGCAATCACAAAATCATCCTCTTGAATAATATGAGAGAAAATGAATAATCCGTAATGCAATTGACTTGATGCGTTTACTGTTTATCATTCTGATTGACTTTAATACGAATCGTATTTGAATCGTTGAGCGGTGTGCTACCATTTTTCGTATGTAGTTTTGTGGGTCGATATGCAGTTGGAACAAAACTAATCGGTTGACCATTCGGTGATGTTGGTGTTTTTTGTAATTTTCGGCTGCTCAAACTGTTGTTGCTGCTACTACTGCTGCTGACTACTTCAATCGGTGGCAAAACCCGATTTAATTCATTTAAATTTGGTGATATATGAATGGTTGGCGATGTTGATTTGGTGCTAGTTTTTCGTTCCTGTGGACTATGCATAATTGGTATGCGTGATGGTTTCATCATAACCGGTGATTCGGGTTGCGATGCAACAATTGAATAAATATTATGCGTTGGTGATACGGGCGATTTGAGCTTTGGAATGTGTGATGTTGCTGGTGGCAACGGTGGCGATGATTGTAACAATGGAATTGTGTCTGGCGAATTTAAAACGGACTTACTATTTGGACTAGATGATTCGTCAGATGATTTTTTAAGCTCTTCGTCACATGTATCGTATTCGTTGCTGGTGCCATAAAATCGTTTATATTCTTTGATCGATGTGCTTTTGTGTGAGATGCCTGGTTGCGGTTGTACTGTTCCAGCTGATGCTGTACCACCACTGCCGGCCACTGTGAATGTTTCGTACTGGAATAGACTAGTTTCGTTGCCACTGCTGTTCGGACGACGTTTGTTCAATTCTTGATATTCACACTCTTTTGATGATCGACGCATCGATAATGATTCATATTGAACATTACTTTCGCTTACAAATCGTTTGCTGCTTTCAACCGTTATTGGACTTTTGCGTTGTCTTGATTCGGCCGATTTATATTTATAATATGAATATGAATAGTTTTCATCATCGTCCGGTGAGTATTTGTCGTGTTCATCATGATTGAATTTTTCATCGGACATGCTATCGGATTTGTATCGTGTTGCGGCCAATTCTTCAAACGATGTCATTTTCTTTTTTGTTTCACCATTCGAATTCAATCGCAATGACAATGAACTATTGCCCAAGTTGGATGATGATGCCATTTCATTGGATGCACCTGGTTTATCTTTTATTTCAAAATTTATGGACGATGAATTGGATTGAATTGATAAGCGTCGCTTAATCATATGACTGCATTCCATTAACATATTCGATTCGAACATTGCTGATGGTGACTTTCGGCTAAGACTACCGCGACGTGATGATGACGACGTTGCTGTACCGCCAACACTTCCACCGATCCCAATGTAACCAAGGCTATTATTTGTGCTAAGCGATGCATCCGCAAAACTTTTCGCTAAATCATCGTCCGATTGATTGAGTACACAATGCACTGGTGTTAAATCGCCCGAACCGTAAATAATTGAATTTTTATTGCTCACATTTGTTTGTGTCAAACCACTAAGCGTTTTTGGTGGCATTGACTGTGGCTGTGGCTGCCATGCTGCCATTTGCCCAGAACCTGGTGATGGTGTTTTAATGTGGTTCACATTACCATTGCTACTTATCATCTTATGATTATTGTTATTTGAATGTTTTTGAATATTATTTGCTTCCGATACAGATATACTATTTGGCTTTGAATCTTTGGTGCTTGGCGACGACATGTTCGATTTCTTTATACTATCTTGTTGATGTTGCTCATCGGGAGGTGCTGGTGGCACATAGATTCGTACAATATCTTGCGGCGATATGGTTCGCGGTGTTGGTGTAACCATTGTTGTACGTCCAATCACACTTAACGAACAGAACGCTGACCTGAATGAATTTAGGATTTTTTTTAAAGTCAAAATTCAACCATTTTGTCAAAATTAAAATAAAGTTCTACTAACCCCGAACTACTTTGATTTTCTGCATCATCTTCGCTGAGGCTTCGATTGTCATCAATACATATATCATATGCCTGTTGAGATCGTTGTCCGCTCGAAAACACACTCAAATCAGCCGTTGATGTTACTGATGTATCGGCCAATGATTTTCGACTACTTCCCAATAACGATCCACCATCTTCTGATTCTGGAACATTGGCACCTAATTGAATCACATTTCAAATTTTAAATAACATTTAACTCAAATCTACTAGTTAGTCTATGTATTTGTGTATCACAAGGTAAGCTTTAAATTAAAATCCACCCGTGTAAAGAAAGAAGAGAGATAGAAGAGCGATGCATGCACCAAAAAAAGACAAAATTAATTGAGGTCACCACTTCTTACACCACTAAAATAAGTCCAAACTTAAAATAATAACATTTTTAACTGTAACACTCACACAATTTCCGACAATAAACTGTGTTGTACTGAATTTATTCATTACAGTTTGTTTCATTCATTTCATTTTATTATAACTGAATATTTAAAGTGTATTTCATGAACACAAATTGATTGAATTAGATTTTTCTCGTATAAAAAATGTCTAAAAAAATAACTGTTTTTCGTTCTTATAATTTGTGATTCGGTTTAGTTTTTAAGTATTTTCACCATGTTTGGTTTGTGTTGAATTCATTAAGTGATTTTTTTTTTCTTGTATTCATATTGAAAGTCGAGGCAGCACTAAGGAATAAAAGATTAAACATCGATTTTAGATCGAAACAACGTTCAAATAAAAATTTCTTCTATGCAAAATGTTCGAGATCTGTGTGTGTGTGTGTATGTGTGTGTGTGTGTGTGTGTGTGTGTGTGTGTATGTGTTATTATGAAAATAAAATTGATAACGACAAGGAGCCGCAAACTGTTCATTATTCATATGAATACAGAATTTCAATATTCTTTTTTTATTTTTTATTTTTTGAATTCACCGATTGAGATGATTGTTTGTGACATAATTATTTGAAACTCCTTTTAGATGTGTTCGAAAATGGAATGATGTAAAGAGAGATAGCAGAAGTAGAGAGCGAGCAAAAATAAAAAACATTCAATATAAACATTTGCAATAAGTTACAACTATGATGATTCGAACAAAGCTTCTGTTGTCTAAACTTGTTGTTTCTGGTAGATTTTGACACATTTTTAACACAAAAATATTCAATGGCTTTAAAACGGAGAGCAAATGATTTCAATTCTATACGAGTAATTATGTGTTTAAATTTTATAAAATATATCATTTAAATTGTTGTTTCCGAAGGCTCCAAACTGAACGAAAAATTCAGAAGTTTCAGAAACACTACAATAGACAATGTGATATTTACTTCTGGCATAAGTAAAAGGGTTGTTAGCGAGTTCTGAACAAACATCGATTCGAATTTAACCAAAGCTCAAAAAAAGAAATGAAAGAAAATGTCAAGTAAATCGGGTTTCAGTGATCTGAGTGACCTCTGTGTGATATTCTGTCAAAAGAATCACAAAGTGCTTGAAAGGCACATTTCAAATTTGGGTACTCAAATTATGTGCAAGTGAGGTGCCAAGGACTTAATCAATAGACATTGGTCTTAGTCGGAGACGCATTTCTACACGACGTTGCTTAACTATCATCAGAATTTGCGCGGGAAACATCATAGCTTGAAAATAGCTACTTTAAGTAAGTGTTAACATTTAATCCTTTCGGATTTTTTTGATGAAAATTCCAAAAAATAATTACTTAATCCCATCTATCACTAGTTGTAAAGTGCATTTTCACCTGTGCATACATTTTAATAAGGTTTAAAAACAAACAAAGCAAATTACATTAAACAAACAATTCAAATGAAGATTTACAAAATATTACTTCAAATTGTTCACTTTTTTCACGTTCCTATATCGATTGATAGGTGAAAAAAAATGTAAGAATCAAATCCAATGAAGTAATATTATGCGCATTTGGATGAAAGCGAACATAGAAAATATGTAATTATGTGAGTTGTGAAAAAGATGTGCGTGCGCATCAAAAACATTCGTGTGATTACTTTAATAAGAAGAATGTGCATGAAATTTATGTTCAAATCAAATAATAAGATAAGAGCTTACCGATATTTAAATGACCATTTGAACCATTCATTGTCAATTGTGTTTCAGTTGCATCCTGTGCCATTTGTTCGCGCTTCAATATTACCTAAGGGGAGAATCACAAAAGAAATGAATCGAATTAATTTAAAGTTATCGAAAAATAATTGTCAATCAATAATAATTAATAAGCAATTTTTAAGTGAATGCTCCTAGGTATTACCGTTTGCAAAACCTCTTTCTCTGAATTCGTAAACAATGACTTACGAATACCAGCCTGTCAATCAAGAAATCAGATAAATCAATTAAAATTAGTTTGAACGATCTTTAGAATAATAAAGTGTGGAATAATAACCTTAGCTTCAAAATTTTGCTCCTGGAATTCGCCAAATGGTTTTTGTGGTAGTTCATTTGGTGTGGGTGGTGGCGGTAAATCCATTTTTGCCTTTCGTAAATCGTCCATTGATTGTTCCAGCATTTTGATCACATAATCATCATCATAACCGAAATCACAATGTAATTTCGTCTGTAAAAAATCGAAGAAATAAAAAATGAAGAAATCAAAATTACCGAACTTGCGAAATATGCCACGGTATCCCTTATAGATAGAAATTAATTACCTGGAGATATTGTACAATAAGATCCATATCTTTTAATTTTAGAATTTTATTTTTATGCAATCGCAATATTGTATATGCCATGGCAGTGACAACACGTTCACCGTCCAATAGATAAATATCCCATACGCGTAAGCATAAACTAAATGGTATTCGTTCGATGAAAATCACAAAGAACCACTTTAACGAATATAGTATTGAGTCTAAATTGTATTGATCAAAGTGCTTTTTCAATTTTGGCATGAATCTCGAAATGATTTTGTCATGGTGATTTAGGAATCGTGTTAATTTCGGAAAACCTTCGATGTACAGGCCATGCATTGCATATTTTTTATGTGATAAAAGCGTACTCAATGCCCAAAATGCTTCCTCTTCATTCATATACATTAATAATACGCCGGCCACACCGGACATCCCCTGGCAATAACCGACCTGTCCAACAAATACCAAATTTATTAAGAATGTCTATTTTCCTCACGCGCATTTCTAATAATACGAACCTCCATGTTGTACATGCTGTACGCGGTAAGAACGTTGAATAACGATTTTTGCTTAATACCATAACGATCACGATAAATAAAATGATCGCGAAATTGTCGATTCACATCTGAATCGATTTGACGTGCTTCGGTGCTCCATTGACGTGCCACCTTCAACATTCTTTGGTACACGTCTTTGTTTTCTTTCATCGTTTGTTCGATATTCAACAGTTTTAGCCACACCTGTGTAAAATGACAAATTAACAACAACAAAAAAAAATGATTATAATAATAATGAAACAAGTTAGAAATTTTGTTGTTAACATAAAACCGGATAGAGACTGTCAATTTTATTACCATCGCTCGAAGTTTTTCTGGAATGCCTTTGTATGTGCGACGATGCAATTGTTCGGCGGTCTTTTTACTTTCCCATCGTTGAAGCATCTTCAACCATTTTTTCTCCCGTTCGATTTCGATTGAACGAGCTTTTGCTTCATTTGGATCGGATCGCTGGGGCAATCGTTCATCATGAATGAATCCATATCGATCGGTTTGATGGTAAATTTCAAAGCCGGGATCTTCCCACGGATCAATTTCAGCACCAGGTTCACGGCCATGATCATAACGTTGAAACAACTTTGCACGCTCTTCATTGGCTCGAGCCACCATTTTTTCTTCATCCATGCTTTTATCCATTGTATGGTATGCTATAAAATACATATACACATCTAATTAAGGCGGCACCAAAACAAAAGTTTTATTCATCGTTTTGAAGCATCAACATTATGTATTGTATGAATATTAAGTTCCAGGTCGAATCATTTGAAAAATCGAATCATATTTTGTGATGCTGGCAAATGCATAAAATTTTGTCGATTTACGACCAAACGGAATTTGATTTGATAAAAGTTAATTTTATACTAATTACAAAAAGTTGCAAAACATCCGATGCAAAGACCTCGTCACTGCTGAATTAAACAACAAGAGTAGCAATAACAACAATTTTTTTTATTCAATAATGGAGAGTGTGCAATTAGTGCTCTGTGTCTTCCATATGAAAAAAAAAAACGAAAAAAGAAAAGGTAAATATAGGCAATAGCATCTGTTTCTTTCTCTAATATATGCATCTATGTTCTTGTCATGCATTTCGCGTAGCATGCATGCATAACAATGTAGTTTGTCATGTCATGTACGAAAAACAACACATGTGTGGTTTTTCCATTTCTTTCTTGCTCACTCTCTTACTATTTCTGTTATAAAAATTCAACCGCCGTGAAAATAATAATTCATAATTTCTTCTTTTCCACTATGTATGCAGTTAGATGCGCACATAGACTTTTTTTGCGATCACACACACGTTATATGTATACAGTTTTTTTGCAACAAAATGAAATAATGTTGAAAAAAATCGCCGGAAAAAAACTAACATTAACTCAAAATCGTATATCAAAATTATGCTGTCACATCAACAGCTTTTTCGTATTCGACTAAAGTGTTATTGACTTAATCTACTTTTTTTTAATCATCAATCCACAACACTCAAAAGCCAAAAAAATGGATGGTAGTTAAAACGATAGTAGTTAGATTCTGTTTGCTAAAATTATTGGCCTCAAAACCAAATGGAATCGCGTTTTTAGCTTTATTTGGCATACTCTTTCCAATTATGTTTTAATTTTAGAAGTGTCATGTATAAATATAATGTGATGCAAAACACCGTCAAATCGACGATCGACGATTTGATGATAGTCTTCAATGCTCTCGCTCTCGCCAAATATATCGAAGTGAAATGAAAGAACCAGTTAACTGTAAAATTGAATAAGTTAATTTGTATTCTTCATGCGCATATATGGTACAGATTTAGCGATTGGCATTTGTGCTTGATTCTCTGTCATCATCAGCGTCGGCGGCTATAACGACAGCTGCGGCAATATCACCGACCATGATGGTGTTGAAGCGTTCAATGTCTGTGACTTGTTTTCTACCAAACACAAACGAAAGAATGATGAAAAGAAAAACCAGCGCCAGATTTCGAATGTCAATAACAAGAAAATAGAATCAAACCTATGCGACAGAAATCGAATTGTGAAATTCCAATTACTTAAAATGGCTAACAAACAGTTGTTTCTCTTCTTTAATAGCTGAATCTTGTTTTCTTTTCGTCGTCGTCGTCTTTGTCTCTTTTCTCTTTTTGCTATGTGTATTTTGTATAATTTCTTAGTAAATTTTGCTGGATTCGACCGCTTTTGTTATCAATACATAAAAAAAATGGAAAGAGCGTTGACTAATACCATTTGCAATTTAATGAACATCATCGTAAATGATGTGGTTCTTCTATTTTTGAATTCTTGGCTTGTGTTCATTGCGATTGCTCTTTCTTTATATTCACGTGAATATCAATCTCTCTTTCACTCTTTCTTTACACTAACCGTTCTTTGAACCGTCCTCAAAGAACTATGAGCATTAAAAACAAACAACAACAGCTACAAAAAATGCGAATAAGTGCTAAAAAAAGTGTATAAACAAAACGAAATTGGCAAATGACAATCTCAGCTTAACACAAAAGCCTGCAACATATCAGCATCGCACATGCACACACACAATCAAATGCATAAAGAATGAAGAAAACAATCTGAGAAATAGCAAACGCATCATCGTTCATTCGTTTGGCTTTTGTTTTCCACATATAGCTGCAATTTTAAGTGAAGAGTGTATTATTTTTGATTGATCGAATGATTCATTATGTCTTTCTCTCTCACTCTCTCTCCGTATTCGGCGTGATTCAGGTTGTTTTGTTTAATTTAAGTCATTGAAAGGCGATGCATTGTGCGAGTAATTTTTGTAGTCTATCTTGGTTGATGTAATTCAAGCCATGTTTGATTAACGGTTTATATATTTTTTGTTTTGTTTTTGAAATGTCTTTCAGTCGATATGATTTCGGCTCTCTTTCTCTCCTTTCTGACCATCTCCACTATCATTCCACACGATTTTAAATAGATTCATAAGGGTGATTGATACAAATGACGATTGAGCGGTTTTATAGTATAATTGAAGAAAGTTTTTGAGCCGGTCGGTCAATTTCACTATTATGCATAATACTTCATATTATATAAATCTTGGTATAGAAGGGAATAGAATGTACGTGGTGTGAATACGAGCGAATATCATCACGTAGCATCAAAAATTGACAGTTGTTGTTAAGAATATCAATAACATCGTATTCAAGACTATGTAAAATAGAGTCGCCACTGTACACACAATTATTCAAGCAATTGGTTTTTTGAATGCCGGAACTTTTTCTGAAAAACACCTTTTTCCCAAACGAACATTTTACCGCACATTCGGGAATTTATCCAAGAAGAATTCAAGAATTCACGTAAAAATCTTCGTTCGTGAAAAAGTATTTTCGTAAAATGTTTCGGCATTCGATTTTTTTTTAGAAGTTTATTGTGAATATCGCCGGGAGCGCCAATTTTAGGGAAAGCGCATTTCAATGGTAAAAAAAGCCAAAGTCTTAACATAGATTACGGTGGTATTTGAAGAATATTCACGACACACTTACACATTTCGAAACATTCTTCCAAAATGGAATGTCCGAAAACAAACACACGCGTCAAACCAAGCACGTCATATCTGCATAACAGATTTGTTGTTGGATAAAGAGTTTGCCATGAATTCAAATGAAAAGATTTGAAACAGAAGTGTTATGTTATACTCGTGGCTGTTCAAATCAAACCACAACATAATTGGATCTTGTTTTTAAAATTTAAAAAAAAACGTATAATCCCGTTCAATTTTTTTTCATCCACTCACGATTTTTTGCTTTTCTTAATTTTTCTCTCTTGCTCTTTAATACACACAATTCTGGGAGCCAATCAATGTTCTATGGTAGAGCGAGGGCGAGAGATGGATAAATTAAAAAGAGAGAAAAAATTGTTTGGAAAACTTTCTCTTAGTCTGTTACAAGAGATTGAGAGCGGCACCTCTTGACAATACACACATTTCATTTCTTCTATAATGGGAAACACATGATGCGCCGTGTGCAAAAGTGTGTATCAATAAAAATCACGGGAAATTTGAGCCTCTGACTTTTATATTATATTCTATAGAGAGCAGCAAACAAAAACATACACACACATTCCACAATCAATTCAGGTCACATGGAATGCATGCATTTTCAATGGCGGGCTTCTCATTAGAATTTTTCTTATCGTCTCTCTCTCTCTCTCTCTCTCTGTATGCCTCTTTCAAAAATACCAATCCGAAAATCGTTTCATTTGATTTGTTACACATTTGAAGTGATGATCTGCAGATTTCATGCGAATATGCGGTGTACATTGAAAAATTATGGGCTTGTAAATGCTCCAGAAATGAAATGCAATAGAGTAAAGAAAAAAAAAAAAGAATTATGCAAATCCCATAACTCAGTGTTGCTATTGCACTTATTTCGTTTTTGTTTATTGCACAATAAATAGCACAAAGTTGACTTCGATTTCCAAAATGAAATTCAACTCAAAATCACTGTCACTTAAACATAAAGGTAAGATTTTCGAAAACAAAAGAAAATATAAGTAAAAATTCATTACATCTGTCAAGTGTGTTGTGATCGCTGCGTTGAGTTATTGGTAGTTTTTTTTTATTTGTTTGACGTTGCCTTTGGTTAGGTATTTTATTGATAATTTCATTTGGATGTTATTTTCACATTTTCACCTTGTTTTATGTGGTTGCTGTTGTTTGTGGTTTTTCAATTCTCTTTTGCTATTTATTGTTGACCAATTATTGTTTGGCCAATTTCATTGATAATTGACGTTTCGCTGGAATTTCGTTATTCGCCTGTGATATTCCATTAAAATTGCAATGTATGTAACGTGTTCAAATGTGTGATTCATTTACGTTGTTACTGTTTCTTTTGGGATGTGTTCGATCTGATTTGTTCGATTTCGGAAACGAAGAAAATCGATTTGGAAGCTATTTAAACTCGAGATGCGTTTTAGTTTTGCCAATCCTTTTTCCAAATAACCACAAACAACATTACGTTTCGTTTACAAGACACTAGAATTTTTTTCGTTTGCTTTTTTTTCTTGTCATCAACGAAAACACATTCGATTCACACAAAATAGACACACAATATTTACAACGAAAAATCAAATGTTAGGAAAAGAATCAAATTTTTATTCAACTTCGTTCACGGTGTGGTTTATTTCTGTTGTTGTGTTTTTTTTTTCTTTGCGAAAAGATTGTATTTGCTGGTACCCTTCTTGCAATGCTCTTTAGTATGTATACAATTGTTTTTCGGTTTGATCGGGTTCAAGTTGGAAGCTTTGCAAAAGTGTCAATTTTGTGTTTTGTTTATCCAAATTATTGTGCACACTGTTATTAAATTTTATCACCGATATTTGTTGTATGCTGACATTGATACAACTTCTATGAAATTTATATTCTAAGCCACATAAACACAAACGCGAATACACGAAACTCATTCGCGCAACGAATGCACTTTCATTCAATCCCTTTCGGAACTACATTGAAATAAAATATCATACATTTTGCGTGTTTTTTTTCACTCCACTCTTCGCTACTTTTCGCTTCACACAACAATCTCACTTGTTTCGTTCGTATGTTAAATACGACATATGAAAAAAAAAAACATACGAACGAACGAAGAAGAAGAAGACAATGACGACGACGTTGAATTCTTTTCCTAACGCGCTCTTTCTCTCGACAGTCGAATGTGCTTCGCAATTCCTCTCTTTTCCGCCTAAAAAATGATTGCTGCGACTTGTTGTGTATGTTCATCTCTGATACACACTCTCACTTACTTAAATGGCGGTTCACTTGGTAGGTGCATGTGTCCATGTGAATGTCAAAATTGTGTGTTGATTGAAGCAGAAGCAGCAGCTGCAACAACAACAACCTAGAAGCAGAAGCAGCAGCTGTGTGTATTGGTATTGCTTTTTTGACACAATACACATGAATGTGTATCCATAACCGTTTTTTTTATCTTACTCCAACGATATACTATTATACGGTATGTTGAATACAATACTTTGTTTCCATGTGACCGTTATGGCTTCTTCGTTTCATGTATTTGTTCAGAATACCAAATGCGTGTTGGACATTTTCTCCACTTTTTCTTTTTCTTCTGTTTACGTACACACACACTTCATATTACACTGTCACTTACGTTTTTCTCTATATATTTTTTATTCTGCATTCATGCAATCATAATTGATGAAATAAAATACTTTTCAATGTTGTTCGAACTGCAATTGCAATTTTAATCGAATATATTTGACTTGATGACGTTATGCATGGAATTGGTTCATCAATTACATCGCGGTATTTTTCAATTAAACAGATTCTATATGTGCCCCATTTTTTTGTTTTGAATATCTTAGTTTTTGAAATTAAACGGTAAAATCATACATATTTATTCTTATTTTGAAGTTAAATACACTTGGGTGAAAGAAAAAAAAAATAAAAAAAAAATATTTTTAACTGTCACAAAATGAAAGGAAAGGCAATTTTATTGTGATCTAAAATTGTTTATTCATCAAATAATTTTCCCATTAAAATCATTGTCCAACAGAAATCGTTAAAATTTATTTTCAACGAATTCCGACACATTGCAAAGTTAATTGAGTGTAGCGCGATCTGTTGTAAGTTTTTTGTAAATGGCACATAAACTCAAATAACTTTCGTTGTTTCAGAGGAATGATTTGTTGGAATTCTGTGGATCATCAAATGTTTATTTGCCTATTCGTCGATGATTCAATATTTTCTTTCTAATGTTATAAATCACAAATTTTTCTACTCCAAAACATTTGAAAAAAGTGATATAATCTTATTTAAGTCAAATTTACCAATAAAAATATTTAAATTTTCTCGAAAGAATTTATGAATTTTTGAAAGGCCTACTGTATCAAAGTTTATACTTTAACCTTTAAGAAGACCCCCCAAAAAAACCATTTTCACATTTTTCTTCCATTTGTAATGGTCCTTACTGAGGGATACTTGCAAATCCTCTTTCCAGGGGGGTCATTTAACCCCTTGTATCTGGAATCATGAATCGTACTGAGCCAATCGCAAAAAGTTTCAATATGGAAATATATCAAAAGTGTTGATTCAAAAGTTATGGCCAGAAAAAGAATTACTAACAACTTACCTAATCGAACTAAGCGATTTTCGTATCAAAGATCAAAACAAAATTGTTTTCTTTTCTTTCCTCTCGTTTTTATTTCGAATATGGATAAATTTTGGTTTTCGTTTGACAGAAGAAAAAAAATTATATGTTTACAGCAGTGTTTTTTTTAATACAATAAATACACTCTGGACATAAATGTTCTACAGACTCCTTTCATTGTGTTAAATACATGTATACAATTATCTTAGTAGCTCCTAAATTCTTTCTTTGTTTCTCTCATTGAATTCAGTATCGTTTTATATTTGTACACCCTGCACATTAATAATTTTCTCCGTTAAATACTCTTTAAAATATTTTTATGAGTTTTCTTTTGAAGTTTTTTTTCTCGTTTTTTCGAAATTTTTCCGGTATCTAGCGAAAAACGTGAACATATATTGTGTATGCATGTATGTTTGTATGAAGAAGCGTGGAAAGGGATGGCGTTGGATGCCGAGGATGAGTAAACTCAAATCGAAAATGATATATTTATTTATTTTTTTGATGTGTTAAGAGAAACATGAAAGAAAAGAAAAAGAAATATATATTCATTCAAATGGCAGCTTAAAGTCTCATAGTGTCGCTCGGGATTCGGTATGAAATCGCGCGTATTTTTTCAATTATAATAATTATAGTAATAATAATGATAATAATAAAAAAATATAATAATTATAACCGCGGTTATTCACTGATGGCCGTTATATTCTAAACATTTTGTTTTAAATACGACTAATTCACTAAACTTTCCTATTTCGATATAATAATTATTTGATTAGAATTTAATAAGTAACATCATCATCATCATTATCATTGTTATTAATCATTTTATGTATATTTTTTTATCTCCCTAAATAACTTATTCAGTTTTTTTTCTCATTTATGAATTTTTTTTTAAATATTTTTTGTTGTTGTTTTCGTTATTATTGTTGCCTTCCTGGGCTCAATTTCACCAAAAACCATGTTGGATTTTCTCAGAATGTGGTTTTTTTTTTTTAATTAAGAAAGGGTAAATGACATCTTCTCAAAAACTTTTTTCAAATAATTTGTCGTCAAGAAGATTCATTTGATGCTCTCATTTAAAATGCATTGTAAGAAGTTCTCAGTTTTACACTTTTTGGTGAAATTGAGCCCCATATGCTTCTCACATTTGTATGCATTTTTATTATTTTAGGTGTGTTTTTTATATATATAGTAATTAGGAGCGACCGAAGTGAAACAGTCAATGTGTGTGTGTGTGTGTGTGTTAGAACGAGTTGCATGTGTTAATTGCACTTGAACGGATATTTCGATATCGGCCAAGTGTTTTATCGTGTTGATCGGTCGTTAGTTTTTCTTCTTTTCATTCACAAAGGATTCAACAAACCATTTCATTTTACAAATTGTGTAAATTCTATCATATTGTTACTCTTACTTTATACATTCATTGTTGTTTTTGTGTGTGTGTGAGTGTGTTTCCCTCTTAATTCGTTAAAATTGATTTGATTAGAGTGAATTTTTTTAAAAGTGAGAAAATGAAAGAGAAAATGTATTGTTTGGCCATCGAAATGTATAATTTAACATTTGCTTTGGCAATCGATGCTGGTCATCATCGTATGGGTTTGTCTGCAACAATCATCGACTGCTATTGCCCATTTTTAATGTTTTTCCCATTGTATTTGATGCATTTGTATTGCTTTGTGCTTGATGCTGCTGTTGCTGCTGTTGTTGATGTTGATGTTGATGTTGAATCTGCGTCTTATTATTCAGCTTTTGCATTATATTCACGCCAATTGATGCGCTGTTACCGCTTCCGCCGCTATTATCAAATTGATAGTTGGCCGTTACACGTTTTCGTTTGGGCATCTTTTTATTCTTTTGATTATTGACATTATTTAGGCTATTCGATGCACCGTGATGTAGATTTGGAATGACTTCCCGGCTGCTGCTATTGCTGAAGATGAAAAAAGAGAATCGTTTATAACATCAAATCACCGTGTGTTGGTTTGAGCTTTTTTGTTGAAATTTCAGCTCTTTCTCATATGAAATAAGTGTCTCACCTGCTACTGTTATTGTTCATTTGTTGTTGCATTTGCGATTGTTGTTGTATGCTATTGGTCGGTGACAATTCCTTTTGGCTAGTTGTACTGGATGATGAATATGTATTTGTACTATGACGACGAATCGATTTATTGTTTTGCCGTTGATTTTGCATTAAATTTGATTTATTGTCATGGTAATTGTCGACATTCGATCGTCGGCTATTCAACGGCGATACACGATCATACCGATCGGATAGTCGTGGTGCCGTATATAAAGGCTGTGTTTGATGCTTTTGACGTGGTACTTCCATCTGAAATGAGTAATTATTTAGTTGTTTTTATGTAATTTTCTAATAAAATAACAGCGGTCACTGGCGGTCATCGGCGGTCACTTACATGTGGAGCACGTACACGTTCATTTTCGTCTGGTGAATCATCAATGACGATGATGGGGGTTTCTTCATCTTCAATCGTTGGAATTTGATCATTTTGTACTTTGTTCACGTTATAGGCTCGTTCGTGTGTTGGTGATATATCACGTGACATGGAATTTGAATCACCATTGTCCGAATCCATGCTCTCTTCCGATGTTTCAACACTTGATATGCTACCTTTGCGTCGCCGTTGATTGCACACATTTGATGAATTACCCGATGATGATCCATTGCCATCTGGTGGACTAAGGCTTTCCGGTGAGATGAGCGCATGTTCGAACATGTTTCGCACCCAATTTCGATATTCGATCACTTCGTCGGTAACTTTAACAATTCGACCCAATATACTGTTTTTCGTACAATCGTTTGTACCTAAGGGGATAATCACAAAAGAAAAGAATAAAATTTAAAATAATCGATAAGTAATCGGAAAATAATCGAAAATAATCGTTTGTACCATTGGTTATAGGTGATACAGCCCTTGATAATGTTGTGTACGCATATTCGAATGCGTCCCTTACATGTAATGCACCATACGATGATCGGCCAATATCATTGCCCGGTGTCAATGGATCTTCGATGCACAAGAAACTCGGTCGATGTCCATCGACCATTTCACGTTGTAGCTCTTCTTTGGGTAAATATCGACCACCATTTTTAATGCTAATGCCAGTTTTCATGTAGTTAAATTTACATCCATAAAATTCAAAAAATTCCATAAGCAATACACCCAAATTTGACTTTTCATTCTCCAAGTCCTTATTCCGTGGATGCATTTGCAAGAAGCTGATGCACATTAAAATTAGGGAATATGATGAAATGCCACCTGTAAATCAAATAATTTGTAATTAATTTATTTATATCTTACGTATTTTATGGTTATTTTGCACGCATTCATTTACCTGTAAACACTTCATTGAGATCACGTTGCAGTAAGAATTGCTTCAATACCAAAACCAGTTTTGATAAAACCGGATATTTGCGTTTATAGTCTTTGATTAATTCCGCTGATCGTACACCTGATTCCATGTTAAATGAGATATCAACTTTGACTTGACTTTCACGATCGGTTAATTTAATAATTGGAACGCTTGCTTTGTCCAGTACACGAACGGAATTTGGTTCGGCAATGCCACATGCCAACAATTCACTTTCCAATGTTCGCAACGGCAACTGTTCCCATATACCGAGCACCACCAAATCAATATCACTGGTCGGTAAATACAATCCGGTACGAAAGCTGCCAAATACTTCAACATGCGAGTCTGGCCACATTTGCAATACAACCGATTCAATTCGACGCACAACCTTTACACGTAACGCATGTTCTGTTCGTGTCGGTATCATGTGTGCATAAAATTGCTCGATTTCCGTATGTAATCTGTATGAAAAATTAGAAGAAGAAGAAGAAAAAAATCAACATTTTAATAATGACCGAATGGTATTTGTGGTTGAAAATTGAATGAACATAAAATTTGAAAAACATTCATTCTCTCAATCGAATCGACAAAAGAATATAATTTCAGACATTTTTCTTTTATCTTCATTCATTAACAAAAACGAAATGTCATTCACTCATTTTTATATCATTCACATGCTGCGACACGAGCAGCATCGATTTTAAGTGTCCCATCTACAAATATAGATTTTTATCATTCCATGCGCGAATCGAAACAACGAAATTTTCATAATCTTTGTTTCTTTGCCAGAGATCGCCGAGTGTGTAAGTGTGTGTGTGTGTGTGTCACAACCTAAGCACTTCCATTCAATAGACAAATGAAAATATGACATTCTATATGTAAACTATGTATGATTCATGCATCATCTCACGTTCACATTTTGAGAACACGAGTAGGTGTATACACGCATTTTGAAAAGGACGTACACAACATTTGAAGGGAAAAAAAGAAATAGATATGTGAAGAACATTAAAGTACCAAAATGTTCAACCGAATATTTGTGTGTTTGTCTTTATTTCGTTATCGAAAAGAAACCCAACGTTTTTTTTTTAAATGTTAAATATACAGTTCAATTGATCGTTTGTGTGAATGTGTGTCGTTTTAAATGTTCGAAATGTTTTGCATAATTTTCATTTGGCAAAATCACGTTTTTATGCCAATCTCATAGCGAAGCACATTGTTGCTTCTTTCGTTGTCACCTTGACATTTATAAACACTTATATCGTGCTTATAAAATGATATCCAAGATACATAAGCTATAAAATTAGGCAAAAAAAGCTTGGCCAAACAAAACTATTCATGAAAATGCCGAAATAAATATGTATGTCATGCACTTGCACCGTGCTATCATTTCATCAGTGCTCATTCTATCTAATGTTCTGGCAATCGACAGTTGCCTTTAATCAAGATTCTTCTCTGACATTTTTTCAAGAAAATGTAAACCAGTTTACATTTTTCAGACAGACACTATCCCTTGACGAGACGAAAGTGTACCAATACATTTAAATAAAATTAAGACAACTCATCGGATGATTGGTATAGCATATTCAAAATACATGATTACATAATTAGTATTCTTTTACGGTGACACAACTACCCAACGTTAATGTGAATGAATGATTTTATTCCTATTCAAATCGAAGCAATTTTTTAGAAGATAAAAGAGATTTTTTTTTCTTTTAACGATTTAAAAAAATGAATGACATAAAATATAAAATATGCGCTTGTACAAAACGCGAAGATCATATGACACAAAGAATAATACAGGAAAAAAATATTATTAATTTGTTTTTGTTGTTACTGTCAACATCTATCTAATGTAGATTAGACGTTTGCTGGCGGTGGTCGTAACAAATTATGCAGTTCTAGCTAGTTTGCGTCGAAGTGGTTGTGTCAAGCAAACCAATGACAATCCAATTCGTCTCCGAATAGCACAAAACTAGATAAAATGTCTCATTTCGCAGGTGTATGTTTCGTTTTAAGAGGAAAAAATGTGAAAACATTTCAGTAAATATAATTTCGCAAAATATATATATTTTTTGAATTGTATTTATTTGCAGTGACAGTGACGAAATGAAAAATATCACAATACAAACGACAAATATTAAATAAAAATGATATACTTAATGCGTAAATAATTTACGTCATGTGTTTTGTTTGGTAACAACAAAAAACGAAATGTGTGCTTCACGTTTTTTTAGGAAGCAATAGAGAGGTGTTTTTTTTTAATTTGAATATGATTAGATATGAAAGAATCGCAAGTTGAAGGCAAATTTCTTATCTGGATCATTCACATGTACTTAGTTAATCTTTTCGTCCGCTTTTACAATGTATCACACAAATTTCATTGAATTGAATGAAAAAAAAAATGAATTGGTTTAGTCGGATAATGAATGCATTCAATGTGGGCGAAAAAAAAATGAATGGACAACTTACCCCAGAACGCCCGGTGGATATACAAAACCAGCTGTTCTCCATGGGCAGCCGTGGTGTTTGCCAATAATTTTATTTTGATGTCGATTCATGTTGTATGTACTGGCTCTGTTTTCATATAAAGCCGCTTTTCTCCTAGATGGATTATAATAGCGTTCTATGTGTTGTTGTTGTGTATGCTGTTGTGGTGGATGTGTTGAATTATTTTGGCCATTACTATTATTTTCCATCAAGACCGTTGACGAATTCAAACAATTTTTATTAGTCCCTTTATGTTTTTGATTGTTGTCTGTTGAAAATAGATCGAATATGAAATTAAAAATCAAATTTATTATTTTGAATCGAAATGAAAAATCGATCATTTGTGCATTGAGTTAGTAAATGTGTGTTGTTTACCTTCAATAAAATTATTGGTATTATTTGTAATCACAGCCGGTGCTTGTGGTTGATTATTGAACCCTATTGAGGGTGCGGTATTATGTGTTATTTGCTGCTGTTGTTGTTGTTCCATTTCCATTTCCTGAATTGTTTCCCAAATACTTAACCAAAGTCTTTTCGATGGCCCTTCTTGCTCTTCTTGAAACCAAGCTATGGCTGGATCCATTCATCCACGCTCGTCTTTAACACACGCACACACAACAAATTTTTATTATTAATTTATAATTTATTACAGTTGATTTGTTTAGTTTTTGCGATAGCGGGTTTGTGTGTGTGTGTGTGTTTTTAATATGCAGTTAAAACTAAGTGACTTCACTGTTTTGTTTAAGTTTGTACAAAAAGTCGCGTTAAATATTCGACACAATAGATGAAATGCAATGTATTAAATGTTATTAATTTTTTTTTTTGCAGAATGAAAAGCTACGCGATAGATATATTTGCTGCGAAGATTTATCACAATGTAATCGAGTTTGTGTATGTTGAGAGAAATGTATCCGAAAAACAAAATATTATATATGCACGAATATCGATATACGTATATATTGGATGATTAGGATAAAAAGCAAGCACGATTTAGATTAGACGATCTCTGTGACAATCCAATTCAATTGCAAAAATTCTTTTATTTGTTTTTATTTTTGCTTTTTCGTTTTGATTTTGTAAGAATGTGAGGAAGAAAAATAAAACTTCTGTATCTCTGCACTTCTTTTACCAAAATGAAAACTTGAACAGCGAATTGTATTGTTTGCTTTTAGCACAAAACACACTGATTGAGTTTTTTTTCTATCCTGCTTCGGTTAGATATGTGTGATGAATTGCCTGAGCCCGAGTAATTTTGCGTAAATTCGTAAGTATAATCGTTTACGTTGAATTCGTCAAGAATTCGGTTATTTCGCAATCGGTTCCAATAGATCCACTATTTCCGTTTTGTTCAGAACAATTCGATTTGTTCGGATGCTCTTGAGCAGCAATCACTTTCTTCGTCTGTGTTGTATTGTTATCATGTAAATAATTCTGTGGCTTCTTTAGATCCGCCACTATTGATTTGCAAAACGTCTCCTTTTTCTCTCTGTGTGATGTGAAATCGTCTCTCTTGCTTGATATTTGTTTTTTCGGTTCTCTCTCCCTTTCTCGCTCTCTGTTGTGCTTCTTCTTCTTCTGATATTTGAGTGTTTAAAAATCTATATCTATCAGTGATTTGCATATACACGTTGAATGGCGTAACCTTGATGGCTTTTGTTTTTCATTTACCGTTTTGGCTTCACTTTATTTGTTTGCAATCTTTTTTTTTTCTATTCTCACTGTTTCTGTTTCTTCTTTTGTGCTTCTGAATTAGTAAGCAGTTGAATTTTTGCTGACACTGTTCTTGTTGTTGTTGTTGTTGTTGTCGTTGTCTTCGATCTACAACTATTTCTCTTGCTTGCTTGCTATAATACTATCTGTAGCGGCGTATGTAATTTGCGTCTCTTACTTCATCGATATTCGTATAACATGATATGAACTTCGATTTACATATTTGTTTGTTTTTTATTGGTTTCTAATCAAAATGCTTCGTAGTTGCACGTATTCTATTATTCGCATATATGTTATAATAGTTATTATTTATTTGCTCGATTAGATGCAGCGATGCTTTGTTAAGTATATGAGTTTTATATGAATGGTGGTGGTTGGTGGTGGTGGCTGGATGACACAAGCTGAAAATATGATTAAAACATTGTATGGCATATATTAATTATTTTTTGTCACAATATGTTATATGTTATGTTTGATTGTTATATCAAATACGATTTATCTATTCAAGCGAGACTACCGTTTGCAAATCGTTTCGATCTTTTTCGCATTCCATTCATTCGTTCTGAATAAATAGCGATCATTTTAAAAAGCGAATCAATAAAATCGGCGAATAATAATGGATTAAATTCGATTTGATTCCAAAAAAAGCAGACGTCAAAATAAAAACAAATGAAACATAACGTTTTCATAACACTTGGTTATGAAAAAGAAATAGAAGAACAACAACATCAATAAGAACATTGAAAAATATTGTTTATGTTTTTTTCTTTTAAATTGCCAGCTACTTTCCTCCCTTGCCAATTTGTTTCATCATGCTCACGCTTGGAATAATAAAAGTAAAGTATTCCATAAAATAAATATAGGAAAAAAATGTGTGTTTTGTTATGCTATGTGTATTATTATTTTGTTGTTGTTTGCTTCAGTCTTGAGTTTCATGTCGTACTTTTCCACAAACACACATCTGTCAAATTGTTCGTCGTTTTGTTGACGCACAACCATACATAGACACATAAAAACATGGTACTAATGTCATCAATCGAAGTATGTATGTGTGTTCCTTTTTTAGGAGGCAAAATTCACACTTTTTATTTTACCGATTTTGGCATTTTTCGGTATTTTTTGTTGCAAATGACCATTTAAATAACCATTGTCACAAGTCACAATATATTCTCGAAACTTTTATTATTATTTTTTATATTATTTTCATAAAGCACCAATTTTTTCCCATGCTTCGATCAATTTCTAACCTAATATTTTCTCTCTTTAAGTTTTATAGTATCAAATCTGAAGACCAATATTTAAATGTTTTTTTTTTGTTCGATGTGCTACGAGTTTGAATCACGTTTCCTGTCAAAGTTTCTATTCTTTACATTTAGTAATGAAATGATGACAAAGAGAGGAACAGAGAGAGAGAGAGAGCGATATGGATACAAAAGTGACCACGAGCCTTAAACAATTCATTAAGCAAATAGTATATGCGAAACATATACTTGCCACTCACACACTCACACCACACACATAACTACACTCAGAAACGGACGAAACCGAAATTGGTACAATCTATATCTGGGCGCTGAAATATTGCCACATTTCTACTTGAGAGAAATGAAAATTTCGTATTAATGTGCAGTAAAAAAGCATTCGTGTTTTCTTTAGTCTGCAATAGAAACTGTGCATAAATCTATAGCATCAAAACTGAGTTATGAAAATCTGAATTGATATGCACTATTTCTTATTTTTAAAATTCGGTTGATCGTAAACCATTATTTACGATTTTTGGCCAACATTAGGAAGAAGGTCCAATCATAAAATGAAAAAAATACAATAAAATGCGGTAGTTTGACTTGAAAATCAATACAGTGATTATGACTCACAAATAAACTTTGTCGTTTCTTTTCAAAGAAGAACATTCGAAAGAATAGTAATTTTTCTTTTTGCAAAATGCAGACTTTTATGGTAAAAACAGGTTGTTATCATGGGATGGTACGGGAGCCACAAGAAGAAGAAAACACACGATCTGATGCCGTCTGTCAAAACATATTTCACACACTACACAACCGAAAATGGATCGCAATTGCATTTAGTTTTTGTCACACACTAATCAAACGAGAAAAAAAAATTCCGTTTCTTGGTCAGTTTGGTTCGTAATAAATCTACACAATTCCATCCGATTTGACACAAGAATTATATTTAAAAACACGCACTTTTTTTGTATAAAATTTCAATATATTTGCAAACACAGACCGTGTAAGAAAAACTCAGGCAATCAACACTAAAAGTGAGATACTAACCAACACACAAATATAAACTAAAAGCAGCCAGCGAAGAGAAAAAAAGATTGTTCTTTCCGTTTTGTTCTGGGATGTGTTTCTTCGTAACAAAAACACAATATACAATTCAAATTGAGTAAAATGTGTGGAGGTTAAAAAAATAGACAAACACTAGTTACTGTCGTATCTCACATTGGTATGTGTGTTTTTTTCTCTCTCGTCTAATTCTTTCGTTTTATAGGAATCACACTTTTTTGGTGGTGTCACATAACGACGATAATGACGACGACTATAAAATAATGTAGATTTTACAAATCATAATCAAAATGTGAGGAAAAAAAAGGTTTCAGATGATGTACGCACGCATTAGACACAAACACCTAATTTGTGGTCTCTAATTTCCTCTATCAAACACATTCATACAGAGTATCACAATACAACTATGACTTTCATTTCGTTTACACCGTATGTGTGTGCGTGTATTATGGCCGACATCCCAAAACGTACAATTCAATATATACATTAAGAAAACAATGGGAACTAAACGTCAAAATTTGAATGCAACTGTCAAACATATTACTTGGCGCGCGCTTGTTGTAGTAGATGCACATACACAAAGACGAAATACATCAGTGTACTACAGCATTGTCAAGCTCACGCGCCAATACACATGTATATAGTACAAAAATTTACGTTATCGCCAATGCTCTCGCGGGTGCGAGAAACGATTTAATTGGTGTGCGGTAGTTCAGTTTTTTTTTTGCCGATTAAATCTATTGAATGGAAAACGTGATTTAGCGACCTCTTGCGAATTGTCAAATTATATGACACAATTTTTGTCTCGACATCTCTCTCTCTCTCTTGAATTGAAACTCCTTGACAGCAAAATGTGATCACAGCCTTTTTATCTTGCTTCTCCATTTTTGGTTGCGAATAATTGTCAGAATTTGCAAAGAGATAGATCCAAACAACTGAATGTCTAGCGAATGACAATGTTACGTGCATATGCTGGCTGAATCAATGACACCGATAGTTAAACGGTACCTTTTTTTTATCAAACATTCAATACAAAACCGATTTTATCGGAGGGGTTTTTTGTCAACGGTTGCATAATGTTTACAATTTCGAATGAAAAACACATTTCATTCAAAATCAGTGCAAATCAAATTGTTTTCGTTTCGTTGATTGATCAGATAAGAATCAATGGTCGTTTCCTGAATGATTTTTCATTTGAAATTTAATGTTTTGCATGGAATATTTTGATATCTATCGAAATTTCGTCGGAATCTAAACGTTATTATTGACGAGAATAATAAAAAGCGATAGATAGTGAGAAATGACGACCAATTTTAATGGTCTTTTGTTGTTTGTCTCTTTCCTCTTTTTTTCTGCATGCAAAAGATTAAATGGCATAAGCCGAATCAATAGAATGGAAAGCGAAAAAATAATTAAAGTAATATGTAATGGTGATGAAATGGGTTATGGCGATTATGACAAACAGCTGTAGTTTATTTAACTTTTTGGAATTTGTCACGCGCTCAATAGATAATTAGAATCACATACCGCATTTTCACCGTTTACAATTGGGCCAAGAGATTGAGTAAGAGGCAGAAAGAAAAGAAGTTGATGTTCGTAACAATTTTTATAATGTCATCCCATAAAAAAGTGTCGGTGAACGGTAATTTGAAAAGGGGTATGTCGTAGCCAATTAGAAAATATGCGCGTGATGTGACAAAATGATTCCCGTTTCTTTTTTGTTCCTTTCTCATTCCTTTCATATGGTTTCCGATTTGTTTAATTATTTTGCATTGTTTTTTTAGAAATCCATCTTAATTCTATATAAATCGATAAGACAATTATGACAAAAATCTTACAAAAGAGTGAATGTTATTCAAAGCGGTTTATTTCACACAAGTGAAAAAAAAATTGTATGAGCGACAATATTTAGGGTTAGCTTATATGTCAAGAGCAGCGCACACGAAGAATGATTGATATTACGACTCGTGCTTATGCACGACGTATGAAATGAAGGAGAAAAAAATTTAGCGGATCGGTTAATGATATCAATGTTGTTGATCGATGGTTTGAGGGGATGTTTATTATAAGAGTTAAATAGCAAACTGTTTGAATTTTCATTCTGTCAGTGTTTTTTTTTTAAACAATGATTCGTTTTCTCTGTGGCTGCTTCATAAAATGTGAGAGTATTTAAAGCCAAAGAGATGAAATACATGAATCTTACACTTACGGTGCGACAACGACAACAACAGCAATAGCAGCTATAAAATACGAGTTGCTATGCGAAAATGATCAAAAATGGCAAGCGCAATGTGAGAAAGCAAGGCAATTTGTTTTTGTATTCATCTTCGTCATGATATGAATTCTATTTGTTTGTCTCTTTTCGTTTCGATCAGCTACGAAAACACACTAAAAACTAAAGAAATTTATACCAAAGATTGAATGCAATAGCTACCTGTTTGTGAATAAATTTCGTGCCGAGAGGGAGTATGCCTTATAAATATTCTCTGCTCTTGTTTCTTCTTTTACACAAAATTAATTTTGAACGTGTCACAAATAATTAAATAATAATATTTAAGAAAAAAAAACAACTGAAATTCTTCCGCAGTATTATCGATATTATGTTATAACGATTCGATGTATTTTCTTATCATTCGTGTCTTCAAATGGGATTTCGATTGGTATATGTATATCCTTAATTGCTCCCTTTTTTTCGTAACAAATTGAAGAAGAAAAAAAACGAACAATTAAATTACCGGTGAGAGCTCTTATTATCTATTAATCTTCGACAGTCTCTGTTTCTCTTTGGAATTATTTTTTATTTTGTTTCCTTTTATTTTATTTGAATTATTATTTTCCGCTACACACCGTATTACGTACGACACTCTCTTCTGCTTATTATTTTTTTATTCTTTTTTTATTCGCAGCACTTGAATAGCTCTCGCAGAGGCTCACTTGATTTTATCAAATAGTTTTCTATCAATTTTTTGCGCTATTCTTCTCTTTTTTCGCTTCAATTTTGATACAGCATCGGCTATATTATCTGCTCTGTTTTTTTAAAATTTGGTTTTACTTCAGGTAGTTAAATAATCCCGAAATGAATTCATTTAATTTTTAAAACACTTAATTTTATTGATCGAGTTTTTTTTTCGGTCATTTATTTTAACTAAACTCGATGGAGGATTTTTATTTTATTTATATTTTTCGCTGACGTTCTTTGAACAAATTTTTGAAAGGGAAAAATTATCCTATCTGTGTATTTTTTTTTCTCTTTGCGAATCACTACAAAGTTTTTGACTGTTCTGAAGTAGTTATTTGTCAGCGAACATTTCAATCTATGTACGTACACTGGGCTATGCTTCTATACCATTGTATTTTTCATGTATGTAAGTGTTTTTTTTTTTCATTCTGTTGCGCTTGCTGTGCCGTTAATATTCCAATACATTCACAATTACACTATTGTTTCTGACCAAACTGTCATCGTATTATACTTGGCTGATAACCGCGTTGTACCTTTTTACACACACACACACACTCACTCGCGCGTAAATTTATGACAGTTTTGCTACTACAAACACGTGCAACACCATTACGATTCGAAAAAAAAACATGACCATTTCAATCAGAGAGATTTTTATGATGGATGGGAGTATGAATCGTTTTTTTCTCACTTCGACATCGCCGAAAGTTTTCAAGCAAATATGAAAAAAAAATATCAAAATTATTGCTTATTTGTATGCATACACTTTCAACCGTTAAAATGTTAAACGCCCTCTGTAGGGCTCTATTATGTTGAACTCTGTTTGTCTTAATCCAAATCCGGTTTTGAATTGTCCTTCAAAAATCAACAACAAAAATGCAATTAAAAGTATGCAGAATGTTACGTTTATTTGGTTCAATTAGCAAGCACTGTTCATTCGGTAGATTTCTTCAAATGATTTTGGTTGGCTTGCATCTTGAACCAATTAATAGTCGAAATAATTTTTTATAGAACGCTTCTAACCTATAATGCATATATGAATGACATGAATCAACGTAATTGATTCTACGTACAATAGATGGCACCACTTTTTTTCTCAATTACATCACGTTCGAGTTAATTTAAATAAGTTGAAACTATCAATAATCGGTATTGTGCCAAAAAGAACAAATCCGATGCTCGTCTAGTGATGAATCGATTTTCGGCACGCATTCGTCACAGTATGTCGTTGCTTTGTTGAAAATAATCGCATATTTCCTCATTGGCACAAATACCACCGATCACCGAAACCATTTATACCACCGAAAACCTTGAATTTTATTTCCAATTTATATTCTCGATAATGCACGATCTGTGAATGATTTAATAATTTTGTTTATTTTTTTCACATTTGTTTTTTGACTCATTCGAAGTAGTTTTCTAATCTCTTGATTTTGTCATTGAGAAATGAATAAAGTTATTTACAAACATCAGAGACTAAACTATCAAAATCAAATGAATGACATTTGTTGCGTTTTTTTTCTCTTTAAAAATGCTGATTTTGGATGTAAATTTAGTATTTTGTGTAGAATTCAATTTCTTCAAGCAATTTATTTATGAAAACGAAAGTTTTTCGGGTGATTTTGATTATACACCGATTAAATGTGAGCCGTTTTTATCTGCGCGCATACTGGCTACTACGCTAGGTTATGGGCGAGTAGTGTTTGGAGGAGGAGAAAAAAATTCTTTCGATTTACTAGGTTTTCTTAGCTAAATTCTGCCCTCGCAATTACTTTTGATCCGAGTGGAATCAAAAACTCCGTATAAGAATGGAATTGTGGATAAGTCTTTTGATTTGCTGGAAAACTTTTTTTCAGAGCTAAAATTTCCCTGGGAAATTTTTTTTACACTAGAAAGAATTGACTTTTCAAAATTAGCCCCCCACTAGAAACTTGCCCTCGCACACTTCTGTCGTAGGCCAATGGGCGTTGAATTATTATTATACGTTATTGCACGTATTGTAAATTTAAGATCTAACAAGCTTTTGAATCAGTCGATTTTGATCGCTTGGTACATATTGTATGTTTTTCGCGAAAAAAACGTGTTTTTAACACAATTTTTTTAAATATTTGTATCGTGAATAGTGAGAATTCACATTCGGAAAAATTCATTTTTCACAAAAAAATCAGTTCATTTTTGTTTTATTTTCCACTGTGTAAAACATGGTGTAATTATTTATTTATAATATTTTAATAATTAGTTTATTATCTTATTTAGCAAGTTTGCAAATGGGGATGATAAAATAAATACAAAAATGTGAGCATCCATTCTGCAATAGAATGTACATTGTAGAATTAACAGTGCGATAAGCGCCAACAAGCGCCACTTGTTGATTAAATACAAAATCATTTACTGATAAGGCTGATTTGAACTACTCAGTTGCATAGTTTGTTTCCCATCAAAAGTTGTTTCTTACTTAAAATATGATTAGCGATGTGAACTGTGCTTGAGGTTTGCTCATTGGACTTTGTATTGTATATGCACGGATTTATATGAATCAAAATACAAATCAAGATTTCGGTGCATACATTTGGTTCACGATAACGGTATATCTCTGGTTTTTGTATTTTTACCGAAGTGACGAAGTTTCTTCTTATGGATATCAAATCGTTATATACTGCAAAGTCTTTTCCCACCTGTTCAAACAACACAATATTTTTTTCTTGAAAATTTGCGTCGTAAGGTATATGTCGCCGAGACACATATGAATGGGGTAGAATAAAAACTACTTCTCAAAAAATTGGTATTTTAAAACGAAACCTAAAAAAAATTTCAATAAAAAGTGAATCAATTTTTTTTTGTCCAATTGAAGTGAATCAAGAAAATTTTGTTCAATAAAAGTGAACCAAAAAAAAAATTTCACTCGGTTTTTTCAGTGTAAAATACACTAAAATGAAAGTTTTTTTTAGGTTTCGTGTTTAAACATTTTTCGAGAAGTAGTTTTTATTCTACCCCATTCATATTTATTTTCGATGTGCACATTTTTTGATTTCATATCACACTGAGTACATTACGGCAAAATCAACTATATCAATATACCATTTTGATAAATACTATAAATAACAGTTTATTTATCGGTCGGCGCATATAACATAACTAATTCTCAATGCAATGAGAATGATCGACAAAAATTCGAAATAATATTACTAATTTTCAAATGAATGTGAAATATCCGTTTTGAAATATGATCAATTGACGAACATCATTTGAAAGTTTCAAATTTAAATCACAATTTCGATTTACTACTGATTTTGCAAAATATTTTTTTTAAGTTTTTTCCTTTTTACGGTACAAAAGAAGTGACGACCTTTTATAGGTATTAAAAAAATCGAATATCGAAAATGAACCAATAAAACACTTTAGAGATTTGAAAAATTGATTGAATATAATCATTAAAAGTGTGTTCGCTTTGATGTGTACGATTTTTCGCTTGTTAATACATTTTAATCGACTTTAATAGTGAAAAAATGAGCATTTCTTTGAAATTCATATCGTTCAATTCCAAAGTCCATACAATGACGATGCCATAGCGCCCACTTGAATCATATCGGTGGCTATCATGAATGCGTTTATTCAATTGGTAAACAAAAAAAAACATTTACTTTAGTTTGAATGTAAATAATACAATTTTGATGAATCACATGGGATTGAGTATCTTTTGGAGGCTCGTCTCGTAGAGACATATGAGTCTAGTGTGTATTATTGCGAAACATGTTTTTTTATCTCTCTTTCGATTTTTTGGAATTTAATGTATATATATATATCATTTTAATGGTGTCGTTAAACAAAGAAAAACAATTTACCGTTGAAAGCCAATCGAATTAATGAAACATGTTTAAATTATTTGTAAATCAATTAACGCACCTTATCTCTGATTATAGAATCAATTCAACATTATTTCTCATTTTCTTTTTCTATGTAAATTGTGTAATTGAATTTGTACAATCAAAGAATTTATTACAAACGTTTTGATTTCTCAAAGACGTTCTGCCGTTAAAATGACATGCTTTTGGGGAAGAATCGTACGATCTTTCGGTGGAAAATAGTGTGGTCAAAACAAAACACATACACAAACATCACATGCTATTTAGTTTGCATACATTTCAATATCGAGTGTTTCTATCCTACTTTTGTGTGTTTGCCTTTTCTCTTTCTTTTCTACAGGCTCGGTCCATGGTCGTTTTTGTTAGTAAGTGTGTTGGGGAATACGTATAGAAGCGCAAGCGCGCCCCTGTATTTCTCCGTGACAAATTTCATTCAAATAGCATTTGGTTATATCATCAACATTACATTGTTGTTGCTGTCTTAATTTTTTTTTGTAATCCGATTCGTCATCAAACGTCGTTTTATTTTGGTAGACATATAATACAACTTTGTATTTATCTATGCTATCCTTATCTATGCTGTCACGCCAATACAATTTTCTGTTTATTTTGTAATAGTGTTTATGTTAATGTCGAAATGGAAACTCACTAGATCGGTCAAGTGTTTAAGCAACAATTACGCATTAGATTTATAACGAGATTAAATTAAAACCAAAACAAAGTGGCGCGGTTTGGTCAACATTTTGTGCATGCCGAATAAAAAAAAATTGTGCGTGTGTGTGTTGCATATATATAAACAAAAAAATCGTTCATTGTCTGTGGTTTGCTGTCATTGTAAAATTATATAAATAAAATAAACGACGATACGAAACTCGATTTGGAGGTAAAGTGCACATTAGACTAATTATCACCAGAAATATCTAATGTAAATACTGTGAACGTGCTCTTCTCTGTCATATTGTCAACCAATACACTTACTTCGTTCCATGTTATTTGAATTTGTTAAATATTTTGAGTCTTATCTACAATCCTGATGCGATAAGACACAGTATACCACGTTGAACTGCCAAGAATACTTTTGTAGAAGTCAGTGTTGATCTTTGTTTATGCTGTGTCACATTTTTAAATGCAATACGAAATTCTTGTCAAACTTTCAAAATCAAAATTCCTTATGAATTTCAACTAAGCTATTGGCAAGTATATTTGTGTCAAACAAGTACAATTTTCATTTGAATTGTGTTCATTTACGCAACATTCTTATCATCCAGAACCAAACAAACAATTTATTTCGATTCGATTTTATGCATATTTATCAAAATTGCTACCTGATACGCAAAACATTGCAAAGCACAAAAAAACAACCAGAACCAGTTGGATCATCGGTTTATTTATAAAATAAATATTATTTTTGTTTACTAAAGCACATGCACGGTGATCACTTCAATTTGAAAATGAAGTATATGAAGTATATGATACATGTGCGTGATATCTGTCTATCTCTCTTGCAAGTCCACATGTGACATGAGAACACTATGTGCACATGACGAACCGAACGACGTAGTGAGTGGAATGCACAGTAAATGAGAGAGATCTTGTGTGTATTTGGTTTTGCCATAATCGGCGGTCAATAATGCACCCAGTTTCATTTTTGGTCATAACGTCGTCGCCTATACATTATGGCGCATATTGCGCGCGTACATTTCATTTACATTTCGAATGGAATTTTAATGATTTATTTTTTTGTCGCTGAAAATTCATTTTACTTTGAATAATTTGTCGTCGTTATTTTATATATTCAGAATTTGTGGGCTAATGTGAATTTTGTACTGACTTTATACGTTTCTTTTATTTTGCTATCACACCATATCGGAATTCGGTTGTTATTAAAGAGAGCCAAAAAAAATGTTTGACAAAGGAAAATTGATTGCGGTCATCGACGAAGGAACAAAAACGGCACGTGTTGTGGTAAGCAATGGTAAAAACATTTCTTAAATGAATTTTAATAAACCAAAAAGAAAATGTGTTCGTTAGATTTTCAAATCGAAGCCATATTTTGAAGAATTGTGCTCACATGCAATTGAAATTGAACAAATTCATCCGCATGATCGCTGGGTGGAACAAGATGCATTGGCCATCTTAGATGGTGTAAACAAATGTGCAACGGAAGCGATTGGAAAATTGAACAATCTCGTTCCAAGCGTTTACAGTAAAAGTGATATTGCAGCTGTTGGCATTACAAATCAACGTGAAACAGTTTTGATTTGGGACAAATATACCGGCAAACCGTTGTACAATGCAATTGGTAAATTTTGCACTTTTTATTGTATACATTTTTTTTATTCGTTTGATTGTGAATTTCTTTTAAATATGAAAAAATCGAAATTATATTCTAGTTTGGAATGATGCGCGGACGGAGGAAACAGTGGAAAAGGTGTTGGACAAAATTCCAAATCGTAACAAAGATTATTGTAAATCGATTTCGGGTTTACCGATTTCACCCTATTTTTCAGCATTAAAAATAAAGTGGCTTAAGGAAAATGTACCTGAAATCAATGATGCATTCAAAGAGAAAAGATGCCTTATTGGTACCATTGACACATGGCTAGTTTGGGTTGGTTTAAAATTCAAATTCAAGTGCTTATGAGTTACTCTACTCTATTTAAATTGTCTGTCTTTTGTATAGAATTTGACCGGTGGACCAAATGGTGGCCAACATATAACCGATGTTACAAATGCAAGTCGTACACTTCTCATGAACTTGGAGACACTCCAATGGGATACGGTACGTATTATATTGTTAAAAAAGTAAACATTTCAGGAATACTTTTTTTTAACACGAACAATGTAAATATCTGTAGGACTTATTAAAAATATTCTCAATTGATATCGATGCACTGCCCGAAATTCGTTCGTCATCCGAAATGTTTGGAAAAGTTTGTAATGGCTCTGCTTTGGATAACATTCAAATTTGTGGTGTAAGTATTGACACATAATGTCGTTGGAAATGGAAAGGACCAGAGCTGAAGCGGCAGCTTTTTTGTAAATGCTTTTCTTTGTTGCACTCAGTTGCGTCACTTGAACAATTATAAGTGCGGTCACTTAACAGCTCTGGAAATGTCACAATTTCATTATTGCACCAATTAAATTGTTGATTGATTTATGTATATCTTCCAGATAATGGGCAATCAACAGTCGTCGTTAATTGGGCAAATGTGCTTTGAAAAGGGTCAAACAAAAGTATCATATCGAAATGCGTGCTTCTTAATGTGCAACACAGGCGAAGAGATAGTACATTCGAAACAGGGTCTTGTCACAACGGTTGCATATAAAATGGGCAAAAATCAACCGACCATTTACGCATTAGAAGGTTCGGTTGCAGTCGGTGGTACCGCATTACTTTGGCTTGGCAATAAACTTGGCATACTTAAGCCACATGAAAATTCAGAATTATTAGCATCAAGTGTATTTTCAACTGGTGATGTTTATTTTGTACCAGCTCTAAATGGCCTATATGCACCATCGTGGAAAAGTGATGCAAAAGGGTATCTTATTTGAATGAAAAGAAAAAGATATTTTTTTAGAAAATACTAATCCACGCTATTTTATTTATCACATAGAATAATATGCGGTCTGACGGCATTCACAACGCGAAATCATATCATACGTGCTGCTTTGGAGTCAATTTGTTTTCAAACGCACGATATTCTAGAGGCGATTGAATCGTGTTTAGGTATGAAGGTGAGAAAACTCAATGTTGATGGGCCAATGTCAGAGAATAATTTGTTGATGCAACTACAAGCCGATCTCAGTGGTTTACCAGTTTGTAAGTCGTAAAAAATCAATATAAAAAATGAAGAATGAAGAAACTTGTCTCATTAAATGTAATTATTATTTTTTTATGTGTTTTCACTTGGACAGTACGAACCAAAGTAAACGATACAACAGCGCTTGGCATTGCACTTGTAGCTGCACACTCAGCTGACATGGAAGATGTGTTTTGCCCGCAAAGCAACATTGGAGATAGGTACATATAATTTGAACATATTATCTTTGCATTACATTGTTATTGATTCCCTTTTTGTGTCGATTTTCAGTCTGGAAACGAATAAAATCGTGCCAACTTTTGATATATTCCATGTACTTACGTCGGCCGAAGAACGTGAGAAACGTTATAAAAAATGGAAAATGGCAGTTGATCGATCATCTCATTCATATGAGATTCAAACGTGAGGCACGTTTTATAAGCTAAATGAGAAAAATGCAATCAAACATCGTTTACAAATTATCGACGAAATAGCACATTCATTTGAAACTTACTGCTTTTTTTAATTATTTTTAGAACAATTTATAGCCAAAAACATCAAAATTTCATTGTAATTATATCCTTAGCGTATATTTTACTTAGTTAGTATGTGTCTTAGGTTGGAAATTAGATCTTAGTTGCATACTTTCTCCTTGTACTTACCTATTTTCGAATTGTTGTTGGTATTGAATGACAGCAATTGTATATATATATATACAAATTTATGGTCGAATGAATAGAAATGTTAAAAGAACGAAAGTTTTTTTTTTTATTCAAATATAAAATAATTGTTCATTGATCTGTGCGTTTCTCACAAAGCTCAAGTGTAGGAGAAAACATCATAAAATTCGTGAAATATGTCCTCACCTTCTTGTATATTGTATTATGTTGCTGACGAAAGGGCCGATCATTCATGCGATGCAACTTTCACACCGTTGAGTAGCACATTTTGCGAATCGATGAAAACTAAAGAGATGCAAACACACAGAAACTTTTGAACAACTGTACACGTGATTGTAAAGCAACGATTCACCAACAAAATTATTGTTCTAAGAAAATTGCATCAATATAACACACGCAGACTAGATCTTTAGTTGCAGTTACCAAGCTGCTTACAACAATGAATACTAGTTAAGAACAAATAAAACCAAAAGTTTAAAAATTAAACCCGGTGTTTCTGTTTTGAATCAATAGAGAAAACGTTCAAACCAAACTCTAAATAGAAATAATTTCACCAAAAATTAAAGGGCCTGCCTTCAAACATAAAATGTTCATACTCTGGAAGATAGCAATTATCACGTACATTCTGAGCAAATAAAACCTATGTGTTTTTTTCTCTGTGAACATAAATAATCTGACGATTGAGCTAAAAAAGAATGAGATTTTACATAAGACATTACATATTTTGATTTTATTTTTTTTAAATTATCGCAAATAACACTGATTGCTTATCTGAACCATGACATTGTTGTCGCTATAATAAAGTTGATAATGCATTGTCGCTCTTTGTACGCGTTACGCTGAAATTAAAGAAGATTTTGATTTAATTGATTTGTAATGCATATGATTTAGATGTCGAACGTTTGGCCATTGAATCAGCAATGACTTAACACATCTCATCATTTGCTTTCACTTTGATTTTTAAAATGCCCGAAGCATATTTGTTTCACATTTGCGAATATTTCCTCAAATGATGGAATCGGAATTGAAGCAAAATATCGTTCGGTTAATAATAACAAATATCATTGCGTTTTTGATTGTATATGGTTCATTCTTTATTTGGGTTTTTAAGTATTTTTAATGACATTTTTTTGATTCATTATACTTCTTGGGGTTTTCATGTTTCTGTTTTTATCGTATCATGTCATGAATCGTCTTACTCAATTCTTACTTTCCGATGGAAGAAAAACCACATGAACTATTTTTGTATGTGTGTAAAGTTTGTTAAAATAATAAGACATTATTTAAATTATGGAATGCAATTACCAAGCAGCACTCACAAATGGACAATACAGATCAGCAGACGTGTAGATACAGAATGGTTGGAGCGTTTGACTTTTGAATTCACATTCATTTTAAGTTTACCACTTCTTTTACAGTAGAAAAAAAGCAAAACCTGAATCTCTCTGTCATCCCAGCATATCAAATGCTCAGCCGAACTATTATGCGAAATTCTTCACAATCAATGTTTTCAACATAAAATTCTGGGCAAATATCCAGACATATTAAATAACATAATAATATTAGAAATAATTATGATACGTGTGTATTATTAAAATCAAGGAATTCAAGTAAAATCAAAAATTTAGCACATGGAGTACTTTTTAAACACTTCAATGCAACAAGTATCTGAAGAAAAATTGCCAAAATCGTCAAAACTTAATAAATATCCCATCTGGATATGAATATATCCGGTACCTTGAAAAAAAAAAATGAATTCTAAATAGACGCTGGAGCCAAGGCACAATGTGTTGATATGCTTGCATATAATCGCCGTAATGTCCATTAGCGAGAGCCGTTTTTATTTATCTATATGTATGTGTATATCTGTTTATTTATGTATTATATGTGAATATCCAATTTCGAGCTTCTAATCCATGCTCTCCCCTATTTTTCGATCATTTAAATGACTAAAAATCTACCGTCAATAAAAACAATCAATTAAAATGATAGAATTGTACAAAAACACAAGTTAATATTTTGTTAATTTTCAATTGTTTTGTTTTGTGTTTTGATTTAATCTAAAAAATTTAAAATAGTTTTATTTTTGTCTAACTTCATTGACTTCTTTATTTCACTAAATTTAAAACAATTCCATGTGCGTAAAGTTCGCAGAAAGTGTGAATCTCTTATTGAATACATTTGTTACTGTGTGTGTATGTGTATGTGTGTGTGTGTGTGTGCATCGACACAATCAGTGATTACAGTTTAAATGTTTCTTAACAACATATTGGTCTTCCATCGTTCATATTTTATAGATTACAATTCAATTCAACTAATTTGATTAGGTCGTGCGCGAATACGAAAAGATGCTATTATATTGAACGTTTAACATGATTACTTAAAAATTAATAGATAAATGCACAGATTTTTAACAATTAAAATCGGTGGTAACAGTAAATATAGTTTTCGTGTTCTGAACAAAATGTAAGAGATTTTAAAAAGTTTATGTGAACACACAAAAATATGAATCATGAACAGAAATATTTCTACTTCGGATGTGAATTGATTGTAACGAGGGTTAAAAAATTACTATTAAATAGAAGGAAAAAAAGACTGAATCAGTTTACCGGCGGATTGTTAATTTCTCTTTATATGTTTCATATGTATGTTTGCATCACATTCCATTTGCTTGTTTTATTTTTTTAATTATTATATTTTTGTCCTAATCATTTTCTCCTGTATTCGGAAGATGTCATCACTCTTCGTCGCTATTCATTCAATTGCTGATTGTACTTATACAATCTAAATTGATATTTTCCATGCTAGCATCCCATTGACTTATCGATGTTTTGTAAATGATATCCTCCAGTGATAATTGCTTTGATAAGCACACATTTGATGATTGTAGTGTTGCCGTTGATACACCGGTCGTTTGATTTATTGCAACTGAATTTTGTGGTACGGTGGAATTGTTTCCCGTCACCGAGCACAACAATGGAATTGTATCAGTGCAACCGGGCGTTTGATTCACTTCATCGCTTATACTGAAATTACTATCAAATTGGCTCAACTTTTTGCTGCTTTTCAAATTAGTTTCGTTTGTTTTTTGCTGTGGAATTATCATTGGGCTTATGTTTGGAAAGCGATACAAAATGTACCAATTCTGCAAAATAAACGAAAGCCAAAACATCTTCAGCAAACTCTATCAATGCAATAACAACAACAACAAAAAATGCACATGAACTTACCAAAATGTTATAACAAACAATGAATATGACAGGCATGATGCAAGATTGTCGATTTTCCAATGCAACAACACCTAAAAACCAGCAAACTGAAAATGCTGGCTGAAAAAACAATGAAAATTTGATGGCTCGTTTGAATTCGGCAAAATCCTGCGTATCACTTGAACTCTGCAGAGATAAATCGGCAATTGACAATGCGCCCAAATCGAATTTCGAGTCATAAAAATCGACAGTTTTGAGACCATTATCACAGGTCATCTGAAAATAAAACCATATTTTTCATTCAATTTTTGGTTCAAACAATTGGTTGATTGAGTTGCAAATGTGGTATATTTTGTTACCTTCTCCATTTCATCGCAGCACTTGTTCGTTGGAATGTAATCAGTGTTTATGTTTGAATCGGGCGCCAATAAATTAACTGAATTCACCGTTGCATCAATATTTTGGCATTTATCCAAAATATTTTCAATACTTTCGACAATGACTTGTCGTTGCTTTGAAACAACCGCTCGCAATGTCATCGTACCAAAAATGGTATTTGATATGATTAAAATCGATGTTGGTATCATAAAGTTGAATATCATTGACTTCTGGACGGACATCCAACAATAATCGTAGATTTCATAGCTGTTACTCGATATGGCAAATGAAAACTTGAAGAAATACAAAAAAAAAACGATTTTAATTGGATAAATACTTCAAGTTGCTTGAAAATAGCTGGCAAAATACACAAATTAATACCAAAACAAACACAGCAGATGCACCAAACGCCAGCAGGTTATTGTATTTGATGACTGGAATGTTTTCATTGACTACATAATCATAGATGGAAAATGAATGGCACAGTCCCCAAACAGCGGTCGATAAGTGGAAATAATGCAATAAAACTGCAATCATTTCGCATTTAAATACATTTTTTGATGTTTGCACACCAACAATGAACACCAGATTTGAAGAACACAGTGTTAGTAGTAAATTCAATGAAATCGTTGCCAAATAGTTTACACGACGAATTTGACTACGAAATAAAGAAGAAAAAGACCCGATAAAAATATGATTTAAGGGAAAATATTATTGAAGAGAAAAACTTTCATTTCATTTTGATTTAAGTCATGTCTGCCTTATATTTACGCTGTAAAAATTAGAATAATCGAAGAAATTGGAGTCGAGAATTACCCCCCAACCAAGGGTCCACTTCGGTTTCCGATAAACATTGGGACTTTTAATTTTATTCAAAGTTTTTTTTTATTAAATATCACTTGTATATGCAAAAATGCCGTTCAATTTCAGAAACTGCGAATTCACTTCTAAATTTTAAAGTTCTATAAATATACGAAGCTGTTTCACATTTTTTTAACGTGAACTCCTTGGAACTTTGTTTATAATTCTATTATGGCATGAATTCAATTCTTAATCATACTAATATGAACAAAATACAATTTTATCAATACCGCATAGGCAATATCTATAAATATAACTTATTCTGACGTTCATTTATTTACTAAAGCATGCACGGCGAAACTAAAAAAAAAAACAGAATCACATTCTCTGAAGACGGTGGTGGAGATGGAAAAAAAGGAAAAAAAGGAAAAAAAGGAAAAAACTTGTAAACCTACCGATTCCTCAGCAATGTGAAAATAATGGCAAGTATTTGGGCAGCCAACGCAAAAACGGTGCCAACAATAATAATGCTGCCGCCCAAGCTTTTTCGTAGCGCAACATTCGATCCATAATAAATGTACATGATGTTATCGATAATGTCGTGGTCACGAAGATCTTCGTTCCTCAATTCTTCCATTGTGTGTCGAATATTAAAATCGATGCTTTTTCCTTTAAAACTTTTGTCAATATCATTGTTTGCACCAGTATTGGATTTTATTGTGGTGGTTGTTGTGATGGTTGTCATTAAATCAACCGTGCTAATTATTCGTTTAAATTCATCAATTCCATAATTATCATTATCATCGTCGTTCATGGGATTGTTTAATTCTTGTAGTTTATTAAATTTGGTTGCACCATTTTTACCGTATCCATTTCGATGTATTGTTTTCGGTATGTCCAATGTATCATATGGTCGATTCGATTCGATGGGTTGATTTTGATTGAAAATAAAATCGGGATCGGGATAGATGGATTCTGGTGCTGATGATACTTCATCAACATCATAATATTCAATCAATTCGGGCGATGAATTTGAATTGTTTGACAAACTATTTAAGTATTTATTTGAATCATCATCGGAATGTGCATTGGTTATGTTTTCTAGGGAAATGAAAAATTAAAATTTGCATTTGTCACCGCAAACTATAACTATGTAATATTTACCAGCATTCATGAAAATCGCACTACAAATTAATACCAATGTTAAAATAACACAGTCAACACATTTGGACAATTCCATTTTATTTTATTTTTTTGCTTAAATTTTGTTTTTGTTAGTCTTTATTTTAAATGCAATCTACGTTTCAATGTCGTTCGTGTTGTGCAAACAAATAAACATTCAACTTTTTTGCAAGATACTTTTTCGGCTTCGTTTATTCCCGATTTAAAGATCTTTCGTTTCTTCACTTTTATCTGATGATTAATAATTTTATTTCCTTTCCTTTCCGACAATAATCGGTAGTTGATGGAAATTGGCGAACATCTTTAGGTTGGAATTTGACTGACTTTCCTTTTGTGTCACACAATGAATGTACTTCGTTTTATTCGGTATCCAAATGAAAAACCAAAGATGATGATGATGATGACGATGATAACAACAACAGAGTAGTAAAGAGCGCATTCCCTACATAATTTATGTTTGATGGTTTGTGTATGCGCGCGTTTCCACACATCTCCGATATATATGGAATATACAGAGATGAAAATGAATTTTCTCTCTCTCTCTCTCTTCAACAATGCAAGACAAAATCTATTCAGCATCAGCATCAGTAGCCATATCATTGTTGTTACATGGATGGACTTTTATGTAGCTTGCGCACTCAAAAAAGCTTTTTTCGTACAAGGACGACATGAAAACATCACACACTGAATGGTACAGCCGCTACTGTTGATGTTGCCACTTACTACTGCTGTGTGATGAAAGAAGGAAGAAAAAGCAAACGATGATGGTAAATGCGAAATTTAACCAACGCAATATGCACACATAGACATACACACAGAGAGACTGTTTGTGTGAAACGGCTTTTGCATGAAACATTATACCAACGAAAAGTTTTTGATTACAACTATTTGATGCCGAATTGGCAAAGCGAAAATAAAAATGATCGAAATAAAAAAGCGGATAAATTGTGTTTTTTTTTTTGTTAATTTTGTAATTTTTATTTATGTTTTTTTGTTCAATAATTTTTTTAATTTTTTTTTTGGTTTTATGTTTTTTTTCTGTTTTTCGTTCTTATTTTCATATTTATTTCTCTTCATATTTTTTCAATGTCCATAGTCCTTTGTCTTTTTATCGTTTGAGTTGAGTCATTATGATGTGTTTGTGGTTGTTGTTGTGGTGGTGATTGTTGTGATTGTGTTTGCTGTTGTGTGACTTCAGTCGATGCTCGTTTTCTAGCGCTTGGTACCGATGATGGTGCATTTGTCGTTGTCGGCGTTGGCGTTGAATCGGAACTCTTTCGATTAAGTATCTCTTTATCGAGATAGACATTAAGCTGTTTTCGGCGCACGTGTCGTGCCTCAATTTCCATACCTTCTTTTTGTAAACTAATGCTTGTCGCATGTTTATGTACTAAATTCGTAAAGTTTTGAATACTTTCGGTGAGATCGACATTTAAGTTCTCCGTTTTCTTGAATTCCATACCAATAAACCACATTGAACAGTATGGTGCGGTGACCAATTTATCATTTGCATCAGTTATTGAACCATTCAATGTGGCTTGCTTCTCTTGACGATCAAAACATTTTGGATTCACATGTGCTAAACTAATATATTGATTACGCTCTAAATTTCCAACCAAATAACGAACTTTTGATTCAACTAAACCACACCACTCTAAATGATCTTCTGCCGTTTGTGAGCTCACCAAAAGCACAAGAAAATGTCGATATCTGTAAATAAAATAAAATTACAATATATTAGCGGAAAATTCAATAAAGATAAAATTAACATAGTTTTTGAAATGGCAATGCTCGAAACCCATATAACTCATTTGCGGAGTAATTTTGTCGATGGCGGGACTGTGCGAAGTTCGGCGCAGATAGCATGCAAATGCTGTGTGTACGAGTGCAACAGCATTCTTTGCTGTTCATAGATTTATTTTGTCCAAACGAACATCTTAGTAGCCGTACACACAGCTAAGTTACTAATCATCTGCGATCATCTGCGTAAGAATGATACACATAGAAGTGCTGTTACCCTCGTACACACAGAGTTTGTATGTCATCTCCGCTAAACTCCGCACAGTCCCGCCATCGTCAAAATTACTCCGCAAATGAATTATATGGGAAATATAAACAAAAATAGTCGTCAAAAAATCTTACTTATGAAAAAAGTTTGGTTCTTCGAATAGCTTCTCCCATGTAGCTTTTCCCATCATAATTTCTTCGGTAATTTGATAGCCACGCTCAAATTCCATTTGAATAACCCGTTTTGTAGATGCCGATACATTGAATGTTGAATTTTGTTGTGGATAGGCTGGTGTAATAATCGGCATCTGATGATAGCGATCGGCAACACTTGTTCTCGGATCCCATACTTGAAAGCCAAGATTTGCATTGTCAAGTGGTTTCAAGAGAACAGGATTTGGCCATGTCCAACGTGAAAAAACTAAGAAAAATTTATGAACAATTGTTGCGGCTGCTGCATTTGGATACAATTGACAGGTGCGTGCGACAAGCATTGCCCATGACACACCACCAAAATATCCCAATGAATTTGAATAGATTTCACGTCCTATAAAATAAGAAAATAAACAAAAATGTAAATTAGTACAGAGTTATTGAATGATTTAGAGTGTTAAACAGAAAGTGCTTGTTTTCATACTCACTTTTCGCCCATAATTTGATTGCCCGTAATGCAAGGCGATAGCTTTCAATGATCGGTACGAGTCTGAGTATTTCGTCGGTTACACGGCAACCATTCAAGCTTCGTACGCATTTTTGATCCAAATTTTTCAACAGCATGTCATCGCTTAAATCAAAATCATCCGGAATTTCTTTGAGCGCAAGACGTGCAAATAACAAATCAATTTCGATGCCATCAAAGTTCATTTTTACGACCGGTACAAATGCTTCTTCAATCGCACGACATTCGGTCACTTCTGGTTGTTTTTTCAACACATCTGTAAATAATGTGAAGAATTCTTCGCGTGTCACATTACGTGGTGCAACGCATAATGCATCAATATCAGCGCCCGGTGAATGTACGCCAAGCCGATATGAGCCGAATGTATGAATTCGTCCGCCAAGCTTTGATGCCATTTCAACCGGTACATTTTGATTTATCGATAAATCTTTTATGAATGCATTGGCCATTGTATTTAATTTGGCCAAAATTTCCATACGATGATTTAGTGCTGTATCTGATTCAAATACGTTAAAACGTTCTAGGCATTTTCGTAATTCATTGGTCGCCTCAATGTCTTCGGGTTTCGGGGATGCGATACTAATCGCCGATGTCATGCCATAATTTCGTGTCGCATTGCCATTCTGCGCTTGCGATGATGAATTTTGGCCCTGTTGCCGTTGCGAATCTGAATTCCACATGGTATTCTCTTTTTGCGTTTTAATCACTAACATGTATTGCCTCAAGACGCTGCAGTGTCCAAATGATGTACTGGCGCTGAAGAAATGTTTTGTTTATTTATCACAACTCTCTGATTCAACACTTGGACTAATGTAGTTATGTCAGTGTAGTTCACGTTTTCTTCAGGTGAGATCTACAGATCTGTGAAAAAATAATATAAAAATCAGTTGAATTAGTAATTTGTTTGGACTTTGTCAATAATTAATGACCATACAAATACAAGTGTAAAGAATTTGGATATGATCCCTTGCAAGATTTAGTAATTAGCAAAGCGTTTGATATTTTATATTTCATTTAAAAATAAATTTGAAAGTTAAAAAAATTGTTTTTTTTTTCATTTTTTGTGATTTTGACATTGAAAATGCATTGTCCATTCTAAGGGTTTTTAGACTTGAAAACACCCATCAGATGATAATTAAGTGTCAATTCATTTCGCTATATATGTTTCTCTCTCTCATTACCCTCTCATTTTGATTTGAAGCAATTGGTTAAAATTTACATAATTTCAATCAATCGAATTTTAAATTAAAATTCAATTTGCCACACCAAAACTGATTGTGATTTATAAAAATCAAGTCATATATGGTGATAAAATTGCTCCAACAATAAATCATACTCACAATTTTCCAATGAAAACCAACAATTATGCATAAACAACATTATTCGAAATTTGTTTTCGTATCTTTTCTTCTTCTTTTAAGGTTTTTTTCTCTCTATTTCGGCGAAAGATCTCGTGTTTTTTTTGGTCGGTCTTTGTTATTTTTTTTTTTTTTAAGTGTCAAACATTTAAATTATCGCACGTAAAGAAGAAAATTCGCACACACCATTCACAATTTCACTAACGACAAGACGCGACATCAATAAGCGACGACAATAATGACGATGATGATGAAGAAGAAATAAAATATAATGTCGAGAAACGCACACAAAATTTCAAACAAAATGTTGTGTCAGACTTTTCATTTGGCCGAAATGAAAAAAAAAAACACTATATAGAATACAAACCGAGTGGCGAAATAGAGAGCGAGAAATTCAGCCGTTTCAGTCAAATCATAAAGTAACACAGAAAAATGATAATAAACCGAAAACAAAAACACAAAATTATGAATAATATTTTTGGATAATTTCTTTGTCGATGTTGAATGTTTGGATTTATTTTATCGTTGGCTTCTGGTTTCAAAAATAATTATTCTTCTTTTTTTTCTTCTTTTTAATTTCAGAAACATTCGTACACGAACTACCGTACGCAAGCAAACACAATTACTATACAAAAATACATGTTTTTTTTCTCTCTCTCTTAATTCGTCGTTTGTCGTTACTCCAACTTAGCTTGGCTGAACGTCTACTGTGTGAAAGTGTGTGTGTGTAATGTATGCGTGTGTAAATGTGTGCGTTTTTATGCATATGTATTTGTGCACAAAGTGCAGACAACACACAAATTGAGAAATCACGTAGCTTGTCAATGCCCTGAATTTGTGTTTCGGTCGCAATGTATGCGAGTAAAGTTTTTCTTAGTGTGAATATATAGCGCATTTATGGCGATTGAGAGAAAATATGGTTTTTAAATGTGTGCTTGTCATATAAAAATGAATGAACTCAAAGAATGAAACAAAAGACCAAATAGAGCGCTGTTCTAAAGGCTTTTTTTCGCAAAATTTGTATTTCAATTATAACGCGACTAGTGGTTTATGCTGCGAAAAGCCTATCATGAACTAATTTTTTGCCGTTAATGTCGTCTCTTTCACTCAAAAACAAATGTATGTCTTTTCAGTCATAAAGTCTTATCCATTTTATAAATTTCGAATTTGCATGCATCAATTTGAGCGCATTTAATTTCACTATCAAACCATTGCTGAATTCTTAAAATCTTGAACATGGACCACGAAATGGATGACACACAATTGCCAAAATTTGTTTAGATAATAATTTGAGGTAAAAAGCCGGTAATATTTAAAAGAAAATTAGAACAACATCCAATCTCAAATCAATGTTTTCGGTGTGTATGTTTTTTTTTAAATGAATAAAAAAGTGCGCTTACCTTTTGATAGTTGTCGGTTGAGTAGAAGAATTGCAGATAAAACAAATAAAACGCCTCAATTTCTTGAATGGAGTTGTCTTCAAATCTAAGTATACTATGTGCCGCTTTCAACTCGTTTTCTCACATTTGACCGCAACGGAAATAAACAATCAATTTTATGTTCTCACTCTATTTTCGAATATATTCTATTTTTTTCGTGAATATTAACTAACTTAACTATGAAGTCTTTTGTTTTATCGCAAATAAAATGCAAAGAAATAAATTAAAATGACATAAATTTTGTATAATACGTTTAAAACACCACTAAACAGAAAAATGCCGGCAGGTTGATATATCAAGTGTGCCTTTTCTCTTGCTCTGTCACTTGTTTGTTTATAATATTCAATACAAATGCACTGTTTTCTTTTATCGAACGGTTCTTATGAACAAAATTGTCTCTATATAAAACGAAGTAAATGACACCAAATTTTCTTGTTCTCGTTCTTATTTATCTTTTGTTTACTAAACAAATTTTGTGTGATTCGTAATTGTTTGTGTTGATGTCTTTTTTTTCTACGCCGCGCACATAATCACTCAAACTGCTGAACAATGAAATTTTTTTACAAAATTCTTTTGCAGTGTATTGAAATGTCTTTGAATTTTTTTTAGTTTAAATAAACACAGATAACTACGAACTTATTGAAAATGAAAATTCGAATTTTTATGTTTATTTTGACAATGATTTCGGTACCGATTGAGGAAAAATACAATCTGAAACGAGCATGTTATGCTTGACACTCAAACTTTTGCTATGCGGTTTTTGTTAGACAACACTCATTTTATACTGCTCACACTCGGTGAGACTCATTACCAAAAATTAGTTAATGATTCTTTTGTCTCGTTCACACACACACGCGCACACATATACTCATAGCAATCTACAAAGGAAAGAGACAAAATGGCTGTTGATCGATCATCTGGCCCTACCTCACCCACAGATGTCACTAAATATGCATATTTGTTTGTCGTTTTTCTTATCCTTTCTCTGAATTTGATGTTTAAGTACTTGTTTAAATGCAAAAACTAGAAGACAAAAAATCATTTGCAAATGACTTAATGAGTACTTTAACAGAAACTTTTTTTTTTTTTTGAAGATAATTAATGAACTGAAAATAATATTGTGAACATTCTAACATTCTTCCCTGTTTTCATCTCTTTGATATGCACACATACCATGAAATTTGAAAACAACTTGAGCAAATATCAATCGACATTTGTCAAATGAATGACAAGAAAGAACGCACCCTTTATAGTTTTGATAGAATATTCTTGGTTTTCGTCGTCTATTTTTATCAGGTACATTGAAGCCGCAAACCGATAAATAAATTTCTATGAGAATTGAAATCAAGCATATCGTGTGTTTGTAGTTCAATTTGTTTATAAGAAAACAGAGAAATAAAACGATATTATATTGTGATCTCAATCATTGATGGGAGAATAAAAACCGAAAACTATGTGTGATTTTTATCGTGTATTGTTCTAAGCTGAAACGTATTAAGAAAGTGCATAAAAAATTAGAATTAGATGTTTTATACCATTTCCAATTTCGATGACATGGAATCGTGTCAAATACATTTATTTACATGAACATACGCGGAGGCCACATCAAAACATTTACTTAAAATATAGACGCATTTAGTATGTTTTTTTGCCATTTATATCAAAACAAATGAAAATGGAATTCTTATCATTGCCATAAGTTGATGCATACAAAACAAAAAAAAGAAACATCGGTCAACAAAATTAAACACATGATGCAAATGGGTTTCAGTTGCTTAAAAATCCTTATCCTCGATTACTTGTAACTTGCGTTTCACTTAATATTTATATATCTTATCGTCATTTTTAACGACGTTGTATGTTTACGATAGAGTGAAATTGAAACAGCGAACAAAGCAAAACCGATAAAAAACAAAAATAAAAATGTTTTTAAAATGGTATTTAAAGTCATGGTTGCATTTGTGGTTAGCGCTAATAGCTAGCAATACCTCATCAGCGTTAACAACAACGTCGAATCAAAACAGTAGTAGTATCAATGATAGTATTAATCGTGTGATATCACCTAGTATTCAATATGATAGTTCAAGTAACATTTCATTAAAATTCGATGGGAATCGTGGTCGAAGGGCGGCCGTTATTCAAGCCGGACTAAGATTGATCGACGAGAAACAATGTCCGGAAATTCGAAATTTATGCACAAATCTTCGTGATGGTGCCGACGATTTACCGGTACTTGAATGCATTCAAACATTTCTATCGAATCAAATAGAAAGTTTATCCGATGAATGTCAGCATGCGATTTGGACGCATACAGGTAGATATTATATCATTTAAGATTATTTTGTCAAATAATAAATTATTGGAATACTTTAAACAAAAAACATTTTATTTTCCGTATTATCTCACAGCAAATATGATGAACGACGTAAATGTATTGCAAATCATTGAGAAACCATGCCAAACCGTTTTGAATTCGATGGACGTTCAAGCGACCGATGAAGTTGGTAACGTACTTGGAAAATTAATTGATAAAAAGGGTGATATTCAACAACCGGCCTGTGCGAATTTGATTGGTCGCCTCGAAGCGGTTGCATTTTCTGATTTTCGTTTTGTATCACCATTTGTTCGTGATTGTTCAAATGACATCGAGGTGAATTCATGCGGTCGATTTCATTTGGATCGCAATGTTCTGTCACAAGGCGAAACATTGGCATGTTTGCAAACGCACATTGAAACATTAAACGATGATTGTAAAAAGGGAATTATGCATCTGTCCGAATTACAAGCTGATAATGTAAAACTTGATCGTCCGCTGTTTGCAGCATGTGGTGAAGATGTGGTTCGTCTATGTGGTTCAGTTCGACCGGCTCAGATTTACAAATGTTTATTGCTTCACAAAAATGATGGTCTAATGTCACATTCGTGCCAAGAACAATTGGCCAGACGATATAAAATCATTGCACATGATTACAAAGTATCAAAAGGTTTGGCACGATCGTGCAAAGAAGATATCAAAATAAATCACTGTCGTCGCCGTGTTTCTGAAGATAAAGATGTGCGATTGGCACAAATTTTATTGTGCCTTGAAGCGGCACATAAAAACAATACCAAAATTTCGCCCGAATGCTTGGCAGAGATATTTGATCATCGCAAATTGCTTATGGAAGATTATCAAATGTCGCCGGAAATTTTAAGCGATTGTGCTGATGATATAACCAAATTTTGTAACGATTTAGAAGCTGGCGGTGGTAAAACCATTCATTGTCTTATGGAAAATGCACGACCGAAGCGAAAAAAGGATCGTCGAGTGACCTCACGATGTCAACGAGGTTAGTATTCATTTATCGCATTTTGAAATTAAATAGCGATTAAAATGGATCGTGTTTGTTCTTTATTTTAAGCCTTGGAAATGCTTATGAAGGTAACCGATATCGGTGAAGATTGGCGCGTTGATCCAATTCTACGCAAAGCATGTAAACCGGTTGTGGATGTCGCGTGCTCGGAAACGGAAGGTGGTGATGCACGCGTTATGTCTTGTTTAAAAGAGAAAATTGGAACAAAGTACATGAAACCCGACTGTGAAATTGCACTTAAACAAATTAATTATTTTGTGGTGCGAAACTTTAAACTTGATCCACAATTGTATCGAAATTGTAAAGATGATGCCATTCGAATTTGTCATGCGAAAAAAACATGGGCTGATATTAATATCGCCGATCAAATGGAACCAAATCTTGAACCATTGATTTTTCCGTGTTTATATCGATATGCATACAGCGCAGACAAGAAAGAACAACTGAAACCGGCTTGTTTGCAGGTTTGTATTTGATCTTTCAACAAATGTTCTTTTGTAGAAATGTATAATATGAGTGAATCATACTCACGGGGTTGTCTCGTTTAATATTCAGGAATTGAAGTTTACCATGCGTCGTCGTGCGATCTCGGTTGAGCTAATTCCCGAAGTTGAAGATGCGTGCATCGATGATTTGGCGAATTATTGTTCGGAGAAAACTGGTAAAGGCGAAGAAATGCAATGTTTGCAAGACAATTTGGGTAAGCTTCAATCGGATTGTAAAAAAGCGGTTACGGAATTTACGGAAAATGAAGGTGGTGACATTGAATTGAATCCAATAATAATGACGTATTGTCGACAAGCGATGGATCGGTATTGTGAAAAGGAAAGCCATGAGAATGGTGACATGATGGAATGTTTGATCGCACACAAAAATGAGCCGGATATGCGTCAAAATTTAAAATGTCGAGCCGCACTGGAGCACTATCAAATAATTTCGCTGCAAAACTACCATTTTAGCTATAAATTTAAAGAGGCATGCCGCCCATATGTTATTCGATTCTGTCCGAGTAGCAACACGAAAAACGATGTTGTAGCTTGTTTAAGGTATTTCCATAGAATTTGTTAAATTATTTAAAACATATCACCTTGTAATTTTCATTTATTGTGCTACAGTGAGGTGATTCGTAATGATACGCTGAAAAGCCAACGACATTCGGTGTCGAAAGAATGTCGCCAACAGATTCGAGCCCAATTGTTTCAACAACGCGAAAACATTGACTTTGATCCAAAGCTGAAAACTGCGTGTCGAACTGAAATTAAGGAAATTTGCGGCGAAACTCCACACGGTGGTGGTCAGGTAATAAATCGGATTAATTTTAAATTTTTTGGAAAATATGTCTTGCATTAAACATTTTTTTAACCGTTCATTTCGATTTCGAGCAGGTTTTGGAATGTCTACAAACGAACTCTGTACGCTTGGGTTCTGAATGTCGTCATGTGATTTTCAGCGTGAAAAAGTCTGAACTAACCGATAGTTCGACGGATTATACATTGTTGAGTACGTGCCGTGATATGATTCGACAGTATTGTCACGATACGGAAAAATCAAAAGTATTGGATTGTTTGAAAGTGCATAAGGATGAAATGCTATTCGATTCAAATTGTCATTTGATTGTAATCAATCGCATGATTTCACAAAATTCGGATTTCCGATTTAATCCATTACTACAAGAAGCATGTAAAAAGAATATCGCCGAGTATTGTACGAAAATTGTGGCGACGGCCAAACAAAATGAAGAGCTCAACGGAAAGGTTATTGACTGTTTGAAGGCGAAATTCCGTGAAGGAAAATTAACACAAGTGTGTGAAGAGCGCATGACCGAAGTGCTACATGAACAAGCATTGAATTATAAACTTAATCCACTGCTGCAGACGGTATGCAAACCAGGTACAGACCTAGTTAAAAAATACAAAAAAAAAAACAATAGAAAAAGATCATACTTATAAATGTTTATGATTGAATTATTTCCAGAAATTCAGATAATATGTAAACCAAATGACGATGTTGATGAGCGTGGCGAAGTTGAGGAATGTCTGAAAATGGCATTTTTAAATGGTCACATCATAAGCCAAGAGTGTAAAAATATAAAAATTAATATTCCATTACTGAAGAAATGCCATCTATTCTTTTGAATATTGATTTATTTCCATTCTTTTCTATGTGATTAACCCCAGGTAAATTCGAAGTGGCATTATTGATTCAAGAAGCCAAAGCTGATATTCATGTGGATCCATTGTTGCAGAGAGCCTGCACCGTTGATCTTTTGAAGTATTGTTCAAGTGTCAAAAGTGGCAACGGACGACGTAAGCATTCCTTTTGTCTTCATTTTGAGAATCAGTGGGTTTTATGATGTTGTAACTTTTTTATAGAACTCCATTGTCTGCAAACAATTTTAAATGATCAGTCGAAAGCATTGGAGCCAGACTGTAAGTCAAAATTAGAAAAACGAATGGAGATGTTTAAAAATTCAGCCATGGTAATTATAAATCAGATAATTGCAAATAGACATTTCTTAATGAAAATTATATGGCATATCATAGAGAATTTGAAATTATACGGCCTCATTTACGAAAAAAGAAAAAAAACTATGACCGAGATTATAATTGCGATTCCATTTAAGCCATATAGTTTTCGTCATTGAATGCTCTTTGTTTTTGAAAATGATGTTAATCCTTTTGAATTTGTTTTGTTTTCCATTTTCTCAATAAAATTTTTTAAAGTTGGTGCTGAAAGGTCCAGAAGATTTTCATGAACTTTACTCTCAGGTCGTGGCATCGCCGTCGTTAAAATACTTTTTAGTCATGCTTATGACATTTATTGGTTTCATATTCATAATTGGAATGTTCTGTGGACGAATCTCACGTCGTACAATAGCCTTAAAAAATAAATAAATAAATCTTTCGACATGGCAATTTTCACAGAGATATAATTTATCAACAAATTTTCCTTTTTCACACAAAATAAATAGCACTATTTTCTTTGAAAATTTAAATGATAATAGGTAGAAATGATTGATCCAGTTTAGTCAGATTTACTTGATTATTGATTATGATGAGTGTAGTGTTTTAAACAGAATCTATGTAAATATGCAGACACGCCCCATTTTCTTTTCACCCATTATTTCAAACAGAACAAAGTTATCGAGATAAAGGACATCTTATGAATGTATATGGAAGCACAATTCGTGTGGGATTTGTTTGCATACTTTCGATTTGTGGCGTTGAGTGAATTGAATGTGGCAGCTTTAAAATGAATATTTTGTTATTGTGTTTTTATTTGAAACAATTATCGAAAACTTTTAGGAGCAAATATTTAACATTTTTTATAAATTTTAACGTTGAAAAATGTAACATACAATAAAGATTACAGATTTCAAATTCCATTTGTTTTATTTACTACCAGTAGTGTGCGAGTAAAAATTTTTCAGGGTGATTTTTCGAAAACTAAAAATTCTTTAGCCACGGAAAACCCTAGCAAATTGAAAGAATTTTTATTAATAGTAAAAACTACATTGATTGTCTGGGTATAAAAATGATATAATAGTTTTTTCTATAGTAAATTTTCATAGATTATGACGATATTTTTTTTAGGGGGTGATGGCAAAATTGCGTAGGGGATCCCTGGAAAAATCCATAGGGATTTCCATTTCACGATGGAAAATCCCTAGCAAAACGGAAGAATTTTTCACATTTGAAAAAAGTGAAGATACGAACGTTCAGACTCCGTATAGAATAATAAAAAAAATGATTTTTAGTCGTATCACGTCGGGTAAAGTTCATTTTACTAACCAAGGTAAGTGAATTTTACCCGATTCTTAAATTGACTTTTAACCGACGTGGGATAAAGTTCATTTTTACGAAATGAATTTTACCTAAAATCGGGTCAGTCCTCCAAAAGAAGCATTATAAATAAGAAAAAATTAAACGCTGTGCGTGAGCGTTTATTTACAACGTTTGCAAATCCTTCTTCTTCATTTGTTCCTCCGTTCTAAGTATTTCGTATACGAGGTCGTTACAGTTATTCTGTTGCAAAATCTATTGTAAATTTTGTACATAAGTTATTCATCTTAAATTCTTGTTATTACAAATTTATTTTGTGCGAAAAGAACTTTGTACTTGTTTAACATTGAATTGATAAACAAAAATTTGATAAGTAAACATTATGCCACGGATTAATTTTAGTTGAATTTTGAGCAAAATGTTTTGACGAATACAGATTGCAGGTTGTGTAAGTCAATAACTGTCAGATAGATTAAAAAACCATAATTTAATAAACACCCAATAAATTAAGCAAAAACATTTGTAAATTACATATTTTATTATAACTCATTAGCTGCATATTGTTTACAGTGTCACGATAACGCTTTATGGCAAAAACATATTCGTTTAGTCTTTCAAAAAATTAAAGAACCAAATTTTAGTATCACTTAATTAAATGATAAACATATACACAGCCAAAAACTGGCTGTCTCTATGGGTTCTAAATTGAGTTGGTTATGGTATGGGTCATTGAACGTAAACCATTTGACTTACGTATTTTGAACAATATGATAAGATAACACATTTTATTTCCTTTGGAATTTTGCATCAATTCCATTATTTTAGACGATTCATTTACAATTGAAAACTTAAAAAATGACTTTTATTACAAAAGTGTTACGGATGTTCAATTCTGATTTTTAACTTTTGGATTTTCATTTCGGCAATATTAATGATAGATAGGATACTTCGTAAACCAGAGTGATATCCGACTGAACCGAATCTAAATACTTTTATATTGGGCGGTAGAAGGAAAGATCAAGCATTTATATTATCTCCATATAATTGTTTATTTTTCAATCACAAAATGTGACGCACGGTAAAATTAGATGAAATTTGATGAATAGTATCAAAAGAAATTGAACAGAGCAAACTGAACGATAAACATTGTAAAATGCCATTTTACTGTGATAGAAAATATTTGCATGAAAACTATAATAACTGCGTACTCAAATGCGTGGTTTTGGCATACAAATGTCATTTTACAATGTTCCGTTTACTCTGTTTAACCTATTAAAATAACCTATGTCCAAAATATTTTCCTTGTAAAACACCTGAATTCATGACGAACGTAATTTATTTTGCCATTTTTGATGCCCAGTTAAGATCATTCAGTTTCGATAGAAATATCAATATGAACATGAAATATTTTAAAACTGATTTCTCACGGATATTTACGACCATGATTTTGTATACAATTGTAGGTAGTATTTTCTTTTGTCCTTTTCAAAAGCAACATTTTCACACGACTTAGAAAAAAACATTTTGTTTTCTGTTAGCCTTTTATACCTCTTTATGCCAATAGCTTATCCATTGCCACTTGTTTTGTTGTTGTTCTACGACAACCAATTCATTCGGCGGAAGTGTTTATTAATGTGTTGCTTCTTATTTGAACAAAAAAAATTCTATTCTTTCCCCTTTTTTCAAATAGTTCCGTTTAGAGGAAATTTAAGAAAAAAAAATATAGAATACACCTTATAAATGAAGTTTTTGGTTCATCACACATTTCGTTCGAAACGATTCGTGTTTGTATTTTACTTAAATATAAAAAAAAAAATCTTCATAACTATAAAAATCTGAAATCAGTTTTAGATTACCGTTATTATGTAATTTTGAAGATCGTTGATATCGAGAACTATTTGGTATCTTTGAAAGGTTCAAAACAAAAAACGAAATATTTAGTCACGATCACATATCGGCCAGATGGGATCTTTGATACAAAAAAAAGGGTTCCGTATCATTTGTTTCTTAGTCTCACTTTTCAATGGATACAGTTGATTTTATGTTGCTACGGTTGTGTTATTTAATGATAATTTGATGGTGTGTCTTATGTGTGGTCAAATTTTCAACACCCAAATAATGATTTAAATTTGAGATCAATATAAATTCCAACTTTTACTTTTCGATTGTACTGTTATTACCAAAAACCAAATCTACCAAAACCGCAATCTGTTCCATTTAATTTGTTCTTTTGAGACCTCACAAATGTGACTACATGCTATCGAAAGTTTGCTTTATTGCTTTTGACAGAACTGAATGCTGTACAATAAAAGCGAAGGGGAAGAAATGGAAGAGAAATAAAAAACAAAAATCATAACAATAAATCGAATAATAGCCAGAAGTTATCACGTATGTTGCTTGATTCATCAACGGCAGTGGTAGGCATTTGCTTTTTTTCATTTAAGATGCTTCGGTACAACCAGAGTCTCTTTTTTTTATTTAAATTTCAATGACTCGGGATTGTCAACAAATTCGTACAGCAAAATCGAAAGTGTAACATATGCACATTTGTCAAGCTGAGCATTGTTTTGTTTTTGGATTTTGTGACATATTTTTGTTTTATTGTAGAATGAGAGTATGTAATGAATTATATCCCCATTGTTTCGTTTACTTCCTGTCTGAACGTCCCTTCTTACACGAGTATGACGACCGTGCATTTACAATCACCTTTATTTTTGTTGCTTTGCATTTGTAATTGAAGCGTTATTTTCATTTTTTTTTACATTTCTGTTTCGCAGTCTAATCATAAGACTCACTCCGTTGAACACATCCCTTTCTTCTTGTGAATTGCGTATTCCTTTGCATTTCTTTTCTCGGTCCTTGATCATTTTAATTCTTTTTCAGAGTCACTGATGTGTGAACACATTCAACTTGAAAAACCATCAATGTGTAACAGAAATGCAACGTCCAAACTTATAAAACTGCCATCAAAATTATGAAATATGTCGAATAATCAGACAGGTGAATAGAAATTAAAAATCTGAACCCATTCCTGCGTTAAACTTAGATGCATAGTCTGTAACATCGCTTTAACAAATATTTGTAAACAATTATATTTTTTGTACAGATAAATCCGTATTATAAACCAAATTGAGAAGTTTTTCAATACGTAAGAAAAACAACGAAATTGAAAGAACTCATTAAGCATGGGGATTACAATAATCTCATGTCATTACCCATAATTCGAACGTCATTTAAATTCATTGCTAAACTGGGATACCATCCCCTTTTCTAGCAAATCAATTTTAAGTATTAAAACAAAAAAGACTTCCTTTCCGTCTTTTTTTTCTCATTAGAAATCCAAATGAAATACTTATATAATTTTAAAATTGTTCACATACTAAAAATGGAAATGGGGGAAGCAGGGTACGGCATTGGAAAACTAGAAAAAAAGTGAAACATTTTTTTAATTTATTCATTTGACGTTTGACTGCTCCCTCGTTTTATAAGTTATTTTCGGCATGAAAATTTCTCACCAGCTTGACTTGACATTTACTTCCTCGATCAAAACATAATCGATACTATGGTGTGAATGCCGCGTTTATAACAGAGTCGCATTTCAGCCCATACGGTGCAAAGTAATTATTTATACAGATATCGGCAAAGCACGGATGTACATACAGTTGTGTAGGTCCACTTAAACCTTTTTTATATCAGTTTTTTTTCTTCAGAGAAATCATAAAAGAAGCCAGAAATTTTACAAATGTTTAATCTGGAATATTAAATTATATTTGACTGGTGAAATGTAGACCTCCTATAGCTTTGCAGCGTAGGAATTATGGATACGTTTATTTGAAGCATTCAAATTTCAACAAAACCATTTCTTAATGGAATGAAATTGCATGTTTCGGAGAAAAACCACAGAAAAAGGATTTGCTTCCATAATGTGTCCTTGACACATTTAAATTTGCCAATAACCACAAATTGCAAAACCATAATTACAATCGAATAAACAATAAACATTTTTTCACAGAATTCAATTTTTGGCAAATTTGCAGTCCTTAACCAACTGTAGATAGTTCAGTTTTGAAGAAAATTGTAACGGAACGTACGTCACGTCACGTCTTTAACGATCAATGTTAAGTGCATGCCTTATACATTGCATGCATCATTATAATCATTGTATCATCTTTTAAATGTTACACGGATTTATATTGATATTTTATTTTATCTGCATTGATGTAAACGTATCAATGTCGAAAGAAAATACATCGTTTCCTTTTTCGTTAATTATTTTTTCATTTTGATGGTTCACGTTTGAACATATCATCAGGAGACCCATAGGAGATGTTGATGAATTATAGTTAAATTGATTTTAAATGGGTTTTGATAGGGTTGTCAGAAGATAAAAACACAAGTGAAATTGCAGGTCAAGATTTTATTTTATCAGAATGAAAATACGCAACCTTTTCAATTTGAAAATGCTTCTACATTAGAAAAATGGATTTCAAACAGATTCTCAGAGCAATATATGTGAGGCAAAGCGCTCTGAGGAGGCGATCCTCAGTAAGGAGCAAAATATTAGATATTTCTTTTAACTTTTAATATTTTTGTCATAACTTCATCTCAAAGCGCTACTTCTCACAAATATTGCTCTTAAAAACCGTCTCAAATAAAATGTCCAGCAAATTAAATTTAACTGGATTATTGAATTAGAAGGTGTGCGATTTTTTCTCTTTCAAAAAAGGAGTGACACAAAATCTTTATTACAAATAAAAGCGATCAATTTAAAAGCAAAATTATCACGAAAAGTGGGAGGCAAGTGACAAAGAGTAGTCCAACACGTTAATGGTTACAAATATATAATGAATGAATGAAACAACACCTGTTATCGAAGTGGTCACATATCGATGGCTTTTGTTATTGTCTCTTTTTTGATTTTTTTTCTATACCAAACCTTTTCATGGCATGTCCAAACAAAAAGATATTGTTTTATTCAAAAGCAAAGGCCTTTGTTATACTTTCTTTCAGGGTATTCAAAACAGAGAACAAAAAAATCACAATTTTAAATGACATTTTCAATGGCCGGAGGACCAAGAACTGATTCTCACAAAAAAATTATTTTCCCATATTTGGTTGAAATGGTTTCAATTTCTAGAATACAGAAGGAATTCGAAATAAAAGAAAAAAACTGGTGAGCGCCGTGTGATTCAATCATCACGATTCTGATCGGTGCTCTCTAAAAAACAAGCAGCTAAATTAAATCTAAATATCAAAGTTTGTAGCAGTTTTTTTGTGTTCAATTCCATATCATTGTAGCAGGCATTCCTTGACCTGAACCTTCTAGTTGAGAAAAAGTGAAGTGAAATCAAGAAATGATCTTATTTTTCGAACAATTCTTTGTGGCGGCTTTTACAAAGAGGGACTGTGTAATTAAATGGTGGCCAAAATGAAGTGGCTCAGGGTGTTGATCGAAACAAATATATATACACACACACACACACAAATACTTGTATTGCACAATACTGTTCGGATGCGAAAAGGAGCAAAGCATGTGTGGAAATGTGAAACTCAAGACAATCCATCTTCCTTAACATGCATTCACATTCTATTTGATGAGATAAAAATACCAATTATACGAAACATTTTTAGTACCCAAATGTGTATTATAAAAGAATACGTTATGCATATACGAGGAACGATAGCAAGCCCATCATTCATCTACGTATTATAATTTGGCCGTGCCAGCAAGAACCAACCAACCAACCAACCAACGAAGCAAGCAAACAACAACAGTATTGCACAGAAATGTGAGCTCCGAATATTTGGTATACAGACACGCATGTTCTTCACTCATTCCGATGGGTACTCGGTACATTTAATATATATGTATCGTGCGAACAAAAGAATGGTTCGAAAAAATTCCCATGCTCTACAAATGAAAAATTCACACATACCAAAAGCCAAAACCGAAAACTAAGCCAACAGAAGCCAAGCCAAGCGAGGAGAAATGCAACGGAGATGATGAGAGAACGAACAAGTAAAGGAAAGAAACAACAACAACAAAAAAGTACACACAACATATACGACAAAAACTTATAATGTGGAAGCATGTTCTCATACTCAAACTGCCTTTTGACGGCTAATTTCACTGGTTTTTGTATCGACGCGCACTTATACACTCGCACGCACACGCATTCAAACGCGTCATCCTTATTCCCTTTTTATAAATCTTTCTTTGGTTGCTGCTAGTTGCTATTTCTTGCCTTTTACTGTTGCTGTTGCTTCTACTGTTTATTCTTTGGAAATTTATTCACATCGTGAATAGTTTGCTGTGCATGCGATTCGATGCATATTATGTGAACCTAATTCCGTTGTATATGCATTGAGAACACCGAATTCGATTGGGGGAAAAACATAAAAAAAAAATTGTGTGTGAAAATGTATGTGCACAAGAGACGGGCGCATACGAATAGACACACACACACACACGGTCCGTTGATCGGGATTTGAAAAATATGTTTTCATGTTTTCCTTTTGTTGCCTATTCGGAGTGTGTGAATTTCATAATCGAGACTTGTGCACACTCAAAGAGTGAGAGAAAAACAGAACACACAGTCTTACTTTCAACACAGGTATGTAATTGGTTTTTGAAAAACGGCCTCGACCAACAAAATAGTTTAGTTTTCTTAAATCGATCACAGAGAGATATGTTTATGTGATTTTTATCAATACTCATCGGAGGTATCAAACCTACAACCAAGAACATCAAATCATGTTGTTTTTATGTGTTTCAACATATTTTCGCTCTCTCTTTCCCAAACCGATATCCGACAATATTTGATTACATTTCGCTGTGGATATTTCGAATCCTGAACTCTTAACAGATCATCGTTCACAATTCGATCTGATAAATGCTCAAAATGTTTTGATGAATCATTGTATACATTTTAATGGCATAACTTATACAAAAAACGTTTAAAGATTTCGTCTATTACCAACGCTTAAGTTTATCTTATTCCATTTCCCACTAATATCAATTCGAATCGTCTTAAACGTCTTGCCCCAATCAAATTCGATTTATTTCCTTTTATTTTTAGGGAAAATAACTTACTGTGGAAATAAATGCGAAGCATTTTTCCCACACTTATGCACAAATCAAAGGGACTGAACAATATGAACCAATCATAATTATCGGTTTTCTTGTTACTACTTGTATTTTAAAAGGTTTTTTATTATTCGGGTGCCGAAAATAGGAGTAAGTCATAAATATTTATCATGCGTACCGCAAAAAATACATGGAATTTTGTTGTCTCTTTTGACATTGATTTGATCAAAACATTCGGTTTTCGAAGCAAATTTAATGACAAAAAACAATTCGCATCATTTTACAACAAGTTTGCATAGATCGTTTGATAAAGTTCGTTTTTTGAGTTTTTTTTATTATCAAGATTAATTACGCTTTATTTACAATTGAAGGTTACAAATAAGGCTTGTATTTAAGTCGCTAATTTTCGGTTCAAGTTATTGTTCGTAATTGCATAATTTACAGGTTTGTTTTATTTTCTGGTTAGCATAAAATGATTTTAATTTCAGGGAATGCAGCTTGATTTAACTGATCTATGTTCATATAATTTGATATACATAAAATATTGCCGATTATTTCTGTCGACACTAAATCAGAATCACGAGGAAACTGTGAAACTTAACGTTACGGCCAATGATATCGTTATGTGTTCGTGCCCTATAGCACGCCGATCACTCTCACATGTACCACCGTTTATAAGTCAATCAACTGTACACAACCGTACATATTAACAAACAATTTCTCATGAGTTTACCTTTCTCATTTGTTCCCATGAAATACGCACACATACTTAAGCCGAAATCCTCCGAAGTGCGTACGTATGAGCGCCGCATTTTTTTTTATGTATGCGTGCATTGCGCACTTGAATGAGGATCATAGCAATATACCTGAATAGCGACAGCATTCGTGTGAATGGAGCGCCTGAGAAAGCGCTATGCGTGCGTATATTATATACACACAATCAATCCGTCGCCTGAACAGTAACCACGATATTATTGTCGGTTTTTTCTCATCGAGTGTCAGTTCATTTTGAGTGGTTGTAGGTTGTGTTTCATCCTTAGATCGAGTTAGTGACATTGCTGCATATATATATTTTATGTGTGCGCGAACGATCGTCAATATGACAGTTTATTTATTTGTTTGTTGTTTTTGTTTTCTTTGTGAAGTACTGTAAAAAGACATCATGCACGTTTTTAGTTTATTGAGCAATCGATATTATGTTGATAAAGAAAAGCGATCGTTACAAAATTTATGCGAAAAAAACTCATTGAATTTACATCGAAAAATATGATTAGTGTTATGTGAAATTTCTTTGTTTATGGAATACAATTGAGAAAAAAAATGTGTTTGTTTATTTAAAAAAAAAAAACGTTATATATCGATCCCAATTGAAGGACTTTAGAAAATGAAGAAAAAAGAATAAGAAGAGATTTGGTGCATTGAATGGTTTTGTTTTCTAATTTGTTTTCAAATTCGATTTCAACAACGGCAACGAGACGAAATTAACATATAAATATGCCACCTGTACGAAATGCGCATTATATTAATGCAGATGATCACCCAACAAACCACCTACAAATCGATTCGAATCAAGTGAAAATGTCATCGATGCACATGCATCCACATCAATCGCCGATTTCACCGGCATCAACGCTCCCAACGATATCAAAACAATGCAATCAATATGGTTTGTCGTCAGTGCAAAATCCAACAGGATCACAACAATCCATACACCAACAAACACCACTTACAAAAGCCGAACTTAGAAAGGTAAACTATGAGCCAATCATTGCGATCAACAATTTTAATCGAAATAATTCTATCTGAAAAACAAAAATATGCACACAAAAACAAAATCGAATTCATATGTATTAAAATTGATCATGCCATCGATATATGAAAACAATTGATTTTTTGGGGTAAAACTTGAAATGCCAGATTTTAAATTTGACACATTTGGTGTGATAATGTGTGCAATTTCATCACATTCTTTTTTTACTTTGTGAAAAAAACGCAAAGAGACAAATGCCAAAAGTATAACCGACTGATAAAATTGATTGAATTCTTGCCTGTTTTTTTTTTTCGAAGATAGTGAAGTTGAATTTCAATGCAAAGATAACGACGATTGCACGATGTATTCGAATTTGACCACATTTTATTTTCGCTTTTTTTTATATACTATCAGTCCAAAATGAATGCAATTAATCTTAATGAATACAAGAGGTTGATTACACGGATCACACCCAAAAGTGTGATCTACCCATAACATTTGCTAATAATATTGCGTAGAATGAGAAAAAAAAATTGCAAATTGGCCTATCCGTTCAACTTGATGGCCAGACATTGTTGATAAAATAGATTTTTTGTCTGGCTGACCTTGTGTCGCCCGTATCAACATATTCCTAGCATTTGTTCTAATAACATTTCTACCAAACTATTCGCCAAGCAGATTTTCAATGTTGAAAAGACAACGATTTTATCACTGTTGCTCTCTCTCTACGTGCTGACGTACATCGTGATTATTATAGCCGTTCTTATCAAAAAAGATGTGAAAATTTGTAATTTTGGTCATTGAAACTTATCTCAAAACAAGCGAAAACAACGAAACGTGATGAATATATGTTTTCGTGTTACCTTTTTTTCGTAAATCGCGTAAAATATTCACATTCAATATACTCATGCGCGTGCCCAACGATTTCAAGTCACACGAACAGCGTACGTCTAATGAACGAAAAAAAAATCCCCGCAAAATAAAACTGTAAAAAAAATGATGCCTGTGTGAGATCACATACACAATCAATTGAATTGTTAACGACGCAACCAAATGAGATTCGATTATCACTGAACCATGTTTATGGTGAAATAAAAAAATGTATTACCATTACGATGCCAAAAAAATGGCTTATTTATCTTAAATCACATATCGAAAATTCATTGACCTTCGTTTTATCAAAACGTTGAAGAAAAGATTACGGTGATCTTCAATTAAGTTGCTTAAACTTTGATGGAGTAAGTGCGTATAGGCTTCCATAGAATAACCAAAGGAGTCAATCAATTAGAACTGACTTATAGTCTGACTTTCGTCGAAAAATTGCAATTTACGATGCGCACCAATGCGTGTACACTTTCAAGCGAAAACGTGTGAAAGATGATGTTCATTTGATAAAGATGCGCGTGACAGTGGAAAATAACAAAAATATTTTCAAAAAAATCTGTACAGTGAGAATGAATTAAAATCGCAATCATGAATGATTTCTACTCTCGATGATGAAAATTAAATTCAACAATAGTACAACGTATATAGAATGAGTGTCAGTTGCGTTCGTAGGCGCTCATCGCACATTTTTAGTTCGTTTGAATCCCTTTTCTTTTCATTCGTCTCCTTCTCAATTCGAGCTCGGGTAAAAAATAAGACAAGATGACAACAAATAAGGAAAAATTGGCTGACAATGTTTATGATCTTTTTGTTGTAGTTTATGATTCATTTGCGATAATCTCGAATACTTACAATTTTCCATCACGATTTGGATTGCACAATAGCGGTTATTTGAAATGAATGAAAATGCTTCAAATATACGCATGTGATATGACATAAAATTAATGCTAGGATATGATTTTAAGTGTTCATAACAGTGCAATCAACTGAGATTGAAATGACTAAATCAGATTGAGGATTTTCTATTAATTGAAAAATCAATCGATTCTTAGTCGGTTTTGTTGTGTCGTTCATTGTCACTGTTTTTGTTTGATTCGTAATTGAGTGTCAATTACGTAATTTGCGATCACATCAATCACAAACATATACTTACAGATTATAGAAAATCATGTTTGCAACATTCAAACAACAAATATTTTAAATTGATGACAGAAAATGTATGCTTATCTTATGAAAAGGTCATTTAATTACAACAACAAAAGGATGGCTTCACTAGTCAAACCATTTGACTCAAACGCATCATGATGGAACCATGTTATGGTTTTGAAATTGCATAATTATGAGTTATCGAATAGATTTTTTACACAAAAAACCGAATTTTACATGAAACAGATTCGCAAGATGAATTTTTAGATATTTAGATTGAGTTAGGGACTTCGTTTCTCTTCGATGCAATAATTGGACATTTTTGTGGATTTTCACTTTAAAAACTCAAACTGTGGATGCTGCCATACTGCAGACATCACAAACTTTTTTCAAGTTTTATTTTTACTCCAGCCAAAGTATAACTATAATTTGAATAAAATATGTTTCTCTCCAATGTGTCTGCATCCATATTTTGAGTTTTTGAAGGGAAAATAAAAAAAGGTCTAACTATAGCATTGAAATTTCAATTTTGCAAAAAGAAAACAGAGAGAAAGGAGATCCGACAGCCCTATATTGAATCATATTAGTTTAGTGAATTACAACAATTCATCCATTCATCCCGATTTATTTGCAGAATAACAAGCCAATAATGGAGAAAAAACGTCGGGCCAGAATCAATCATTGCCTAAATGAATTGAAGACACTCATTTTGGAAGCTATGAAAAAGGATGTAAGTGAAGCAAATGGTTTTCATCGAAAATTTAATATTTTTCATTATTTTATACGTTAAACAGCATTAAATGGTTTAATTCCAAGACGGACATTTAAAATGCTATAGCTTCAAGTTTAAACGTCTAAAAATTTCAAATCGATAAAAAATTATTAATATCGGGTCTAGATGCTTGTGTTTTGTCATACTTATCAATTATGATAGTGAATAGTAGTCTTCATTGAACACGGACTAACTCTGTAGTCAATGTTTCAATTGTTTTATCATAATATCAAGAAGGCCATTTAATTTCTCTTCGATGTCGTGATATTTTTTTAATTCATCTCAATATATTTTTGTTTTAATAGCCGGCACGCCATACGAAATTAGAAAAAGCTGACATCCTCGAAATGACTGTAAAATATCTACAAACGATACAACGAAACCAAATAAATTCACCGAATGTACCGAATGATCCGACCGTTTTGTATAAATTCAAGGCCGGATTTTCCGATTGTACCAACGAAGTGAGTCGCTACATAAATCAAATCGACGGTGTTGATGCAACCGTTAAGCAACGTTTAATGGGACATTTAAATAACTGTGTCACTGGAATTCAACAAGTATCCACCCCATACTCAGCTAGTCCGGGTAATTAAAATTTAATAAAAAACGGTAGAGATTCAAAACTGATTTGGCATTTTTGCTCGTTTTGTTTTTTTTTGTTCATTTTGAATTCAGGTTATGCATACCGATCGACAAGCAGTAATTCTGATATGTTTGGAAATACATCAAGCAATAGTGGAACGAATTCATTGTATCAGCAATTACCATTAAACTTACCAGTATCATCGGAGATAAATAATAATAATCGTATTCAAATGGGTGGTGTTCAGTTTATTCCATCACGTTTGCCATCCGGTGAATTTGCATTAGTTATGCCAAACAGCGGTAGCAGCACACCCGAACAATGGAAACCATTTTATTCGATGGATTCACTGTCTTTGCGTCAAAATAGTTTGGAATTAAATGAATCATTGCCGCGCAGTGCATTCAGTAATGTGAAAAAAACTGCACAACATTTAGATACAAGTCCATTGAGTCCGGTATCATCGATATCTAGTATAGATGATTCATCAACGAATCAAACCGATTTACAAACATCAGCGGATACATCGAGCCCGCAACGAACACCGCCAAAATGTTTGAGTGCATTTCCGACACCACCATCGGGTGGATCGATTACTTTAATCCCAGCATCACATTCCGGTCATCATCTAAACTCTACCATTACATCAGCTGCGTCGCTGCAACAGCCTCACGTTACATCGACAACCGAACAGTCTTCTACCAGTATTGCTTTAAGAATAAAACCAATTTCGCTCGAAATGAGTATGAGGGAAAATGAATCGGAAAATGGTCCCGATGTACAATGTATCACCGCTAATAAACGAACGCATGCCAACCAATCATCCGAAAATGATGAAGGTGAACCGTTGCTAAAAATCGCAAAATCCGAACCCAACGATAAATCGGACGAATCAAGCAATGATGATCAGTCTGGAACAGACAACGGTGACATGTGGAGGCCATGGTGAAATTTGACCTCACGTAGAGTTAATTAAAATATATAAAATGAAAATTGTACTCGATTTTAATAACTTATCACTTGTATTTTCCTTAATTTATTTTAAGAGAGACATTTTCGGACTTGCTTTTTTGAGTGAACACTTTTTTTCAAGCCATCTAATTTAAGCACATCATTTTTTTTATGAACAAACCGTTTTCATTATATATTTCTGTGATTAATTTCTCTGATTTTAAGTGCCTAAATAAAGAATATTAATAAAAAATAAAATTAAATTCATCATTTTATAGAGCCAATTCATTTTGAATGAGAGAATACCGTTTAAATTGGGCACGAACATATAAGGTTTATCTCAACAATAATAGACCTTAATGCATTTGATAGGCTTACGATTGAAAAAGCTTTCCAATTTCAAACATCTACGTTTTTTTTAACAGATGTCTCACCAAAACTGTCATGTGGTGGTCGGCTTTTGATTTAAACAAACTTTTTTTTCTAATTTTGACAAATGTGATATTTTAAACACGGAGTGTGAGTGATAGACGCAAAGAAGTGTGTCTTTTTTTTGTCCATTTGGCGTAGGAGAATATATTTTTCAAAACTATTTTCATCAAAAATGATGTAATTTGTGTTCAAATGATACAGAATATCATTTTTTACATGACATTAAAAACAAATTAAAATACTCAGCTGTTTTGTCGGTGATAGTGAATAAAGATGTAAACATATCCCAAAGGGTTTTATGGCCGGTTCGTTTTGTGTTTACAACATAATGATAATATCACATCCAAAAATTTATTTATCTTTATTTTAAAATGATTATATATATAAGTCGCAATTACAATTTTCGTTGAAAGTGAGCCCACAACATATCGTGTTTCGGAGAGTAAGAGAAACTTAGTAGTAAAGTAAAATTTGCCGGACGAAACACCAAAAAATCAGAACAACAACAACAAAAACCAACAACAACATACGCACGCCGAACAAAACTCGGAATGCAAACGAATGCATAAGTCAGTCAATGGTGATAATTCAGCGAGTAAGCAAGGAAATTAGCTACATAAGTGCAACATAAACTACGAGCACTACCGGAGGTTTGTTTTTGTTTTAAATATTTTCGTACGTTTCAGTCGGTTTGTTTAAGTAAAAATCCATTTGTTTGTTTGTTTCGACAAGTCAATTTTAAATTTATTGAAGTTCATAATTCCGTGTCGAATATTATAAGATGATTTGTTTTTATACAATTCAATTCAAAGAAATGCATTCATATTGTTTTGTTCACTATTATTATTTATGTGTATGATTTCGATACGTTTGTTGTTTTGTTTTTCTTATTCAATTTAACATTCAACTGTCGACTGTGAGGAAATTTAAAATTGTAAGACGACCAAAATATGATTTTAAAACGTTATGTGTGTGTGCGCAATCGGACATTATGTGATTAATATTACATGTGGCAATCAAATCCGTTAGAATTTGAGATCTTCAAAATATCTAAAGCAATAGTTATAATAATATAATATCCTCTGTTTGCTTGGTGCTTATTTAATTTGATGGTTGCGACCATTGTAGAGCATTGAAAACGAAAATTAGATTTATGCCGTCAATTGTCCGTCAATTGTTATTCGCTCTACAGTCTACATTCTACCAGCTCAGTCCTGTTGAAAATCGGTTTAACCAAGACACTAATTTGCATACATTGTGTTTTGTGTCTCTTCTTGGCAGAAAGTGTTCTGTTGAGAAAGTGAAATTGAACAAGCCAACCAACCGTTGTTAAGAGTTTAAGTTTGCTTTAGCTTCGACACACATTTATATTTACACTTCTTGAGTTTGAGTCGCTCAGAAAATCTCTTCATCATCATAAGATTGATGTGATGGTGTGATTCAAAAATGGTGTATACGATATGAAACTGTTAAATCAAAATGCTACTTTCGCAAAATTTACGACACAAACAATTTACGGATTTTCACTTTTGCCCAAAGAAAAATTGATTATATTCACTTTTACTTGTAGCCTGTCATCTTGCTTTTATCAACGATCGAAACACTAAATCCGCATGTGGCATATTCATTGAGACGCATTAGAGAAATGTACATACATTTAATGGAGAAATGCCATCAACATAAATTGGATGCAGTTGCGTTTAATTTATTGCCGTGTGACACACATTCTCATAAATATGCGGCATTTTTCTTCTTCTTCTTTTTCTTGTTTATTTAATTATACTTGCTCGAATGATTGGTCTGATCTGACAACCACTCGTTGCATCAATGTAACTTATGATATGGTCATAGATTGACGTGCACGTTTCAAGGGATAAATTCGATTCAAATGAAGAATTCAGTTATAATTATCGAATTGATTTTTGTATGAAAAACACAATTTCATTCATTTTCAGTAAGTTATTCAATGTGATTGCGTTTCTTATGTGCGGTGAGTTTTGATTATTAAATTTTAACGAATTATTATGGTGTACATTTTATGTTGAAATCAAATATTCATCGGATTTTTGGTTGATAATTTAATTTGTGACAATATGGTTTTTGAATTCAAATGATTTTTTAGTCCAGCAAAGGTCTTTAGTAAAACTGGTTTTGATTTCATCAGATCATATCTCCAGGATGTATAATTTATCGTCTGCAGTTTGCAACTTGCGTATTTTGACATCAGAACAAGTTATCAGTATATGGTTTTGGTCAAATGTTACGTATATCAAATGACCACAACACAAGCCAAGAGTTTTAATTTATTCACGTGTTTTCAGCTCAATTTTAAACATCTATTTGCATTCTATTCGTTGTAATCCACATTTATTTTCAATGCAGTTCAGTGACCGATTAAATTGAACAAAACAATTATGCGTGTAAAATATCGATATACTTTTAACTTTTATACAATGTGACACGTTTCCAAAATCATAGTATTAGTTGAATTGTATGTCAAAATTTGTTATTAAAAAAGTATGCTTATCTAGTAGCCGTAGAGTACACATTTTTCAAGAATTTTTTTTTTTTTCATGTATACATGCTTTGAATAATAGACAAATATTTATATAGTATTAGCCAGAGCATAAGATCGGACTTGAAAAGAATCTCATCGTCGGTGTATTTTATTTCCAAAAAAACCACTGCATAGCTCAAGTGTGTTAGACTTTGAAGACGTGTTTAACAAATTTGAACAAACTTCCATACGCTGCAGTAATTTCAACAAAAATATCTTGATAACGCAGAAAATCAAAATTCCGACAGTCAATTTAATTATCTGTATGATATATTTAAGACGTGTTTTTTAGTCTTAATATTTCGCCGAATTGGCACGATGGAAATCAAGATTAAGAAATTCGGCTATTTTTATTTGATTTGAAAAAATTGAGGTTGGGCCTTTCCAAAAATTTGAGTCACGCTACGGGGCTGTGAAAAGCATGATCAACGACGGTTAACTGTTAATATTTACGTTAAAGCTGCGTAAAATAATTAAGTGACCTTGTGATTTGTCATTAAAAAAAGTAATTTGTTAATGAGCACATACAAATATTTGAAAATGACAGAGATTTTCTTAAATGCGCTTAATCTTAACCTAGAAGTTCTTAAGAACATGCCTTTCTCTACCTCACATAGGTATATATTCAATGTGCGTACCGTAAATAAAATAATCTTATTCTTTATCAAAGTGTGATTATTCTATAAATAACATTTTTTAATAGACTTTTAATGAATTTTGATTTTGTATAACAAAGGCATCGTTGATCCTATTTAAGTGGTGTTAATTGTTCATTTTTTGAACACAAAGTTTATCGAATATATTATACAACATCCTAATTGTTCATGTAATTTTTGGCATTTAAAGTTAATTGTTATTATTCAAACTTTCAGAGATAAGATTCAGTGGAGTCAATGCAGCGTTATCCAGTGACTTTGTTTAGGTGTAACTATCGAATATCAAGAAAACTATAAAAATATACTCTGCAATATTCTATTAAGAAACAAAACAAACATCTTGTGATTATAAAATTTATTTGACGAAAAGAGAAGTAACAACCGCCACCATAGGTACTGCGTGCTCTTTTGGTGAGTAATTTTTCTAATTACATAAAAAATCATAAAACAATTATCTGAATTGGTTATTTTGTGGTGTGCAGATCTCCGAAACAGAGTCATGCGACGTAGCCAATGTGTTCTGAGTTTTGTGTTCGGTTTCATGATGTTTAGTACAAAAGATATTCGAACTGAGGGGCTACTATATCCGCATGAGTCTGAGACGAGAGAAGTAAAAAGTTTAGATGGAATATGGAATTTTGTTAAATCAAATGAAACAGCTCCCACTGAAGGCATACGAGAAAAGTGGTACCAAAATGATTTGAGCAAGGTATATATGGTTCTTTTTGTTTTTTTTTTGTTCACTTTTGGTGAATGCCAACACAAAAAAAATTGAAATGTAATACAATGATTAAGGTATATTTGTGTCATGCTAATGTCACTTCGTTTGTTGATATTATTTACAGGTGCATAAAACAATTCCAATGCCTGTTCCGTCTAGCTACAACGATATCACCGAAGATAATAATTTACGCGACCATGTCGGCACTGTCTGGTATGATCGGAAATTCTTCGTGGCCACATCATGGGCGCAAAATAAACGTGCTTGGATTCGCTTCGGTAGCGTTCATTATGAAGCATACGTTGTAAGTAATGCAATTAAATTAAATATTCATTTCGCTTTCGCTATCGCAACTATGGTTAATTCTGCCATAAACAACATATTAGCGTTTGCTATTTTGCCGTCTATGTTTTGTTTTCCTCTCTATCTCTTTTCACATTGCTTTCGTAAACAAATCTAGATCGTACGCACGAATGCACAATGAATTTTTAAACGTTTTATCAACGTCTCTTGAATAACAATTCTATTAATTGATAATTTCCCTTTCAATTTGCATTTTAAATGCATTTCCGAATTTAGTACATAAATGGGATAATGGTAGTGAAACATGAAATAGGACACTTACCTTTTGAGGCAGATATCACCGAATATCTAAAATATGGCGAAGAGAATCGTGTTACCGTTTTATGCGATAATGCACTCCTCGCAAACACCATACCACAAGGAAAAATTACAGAAATGTCCAGGTATGTTTCTCGATCAATCGATCACTAAACGTTCCATTAAAGAGTGATTTTACTGTAAACTGTACATTTAATATGCAATAATAGAATACAAATAATCTAATTGACCTCAATTGATTTGATTGAATTATTTGTTTTCATACATTCTAGCGATAATAATGAGACATCAATTGTACAAACATACACATTTGATTTTTTCAATTATGCGGGCATCCATCGATCGGTTGTGCTATATACAACGCCAAAAGTTCATATTGATGATATTATTACAACAACAAACATTGTCGACCATCGTGGTCGTATATTCTATCATATATTGACCAATAAGACTGTGCCAACTGACTTAAGTCTATTCGTTACAATTCAAATTCGTGATCGCGAAGGGGAAATCGTTGCAACATCCCGATCACCAGAAAATGATCTTAAAGGATATATTGAAATAAAAAATGTAAAGCCATGGTGGCCGTATTTAATGCACTCGGAGCCCGGTTACTTGTATACAATGGAGGTAAACGAATGTTTTAATTTGATTAAGCAAAATTGCCCAATTTAAATGCTATCATTTTTGTAGGTCTTCCTTTCAAGCAATACTCACGAAAATATCGATGTTTATCGACTAAAAATCGGCGTTCGTTCCCTGCAATGGAACTCCAAAGAATTTCTAATCAACGGCAAACCCATTTATTTCAAGGGTTTTGGTCGGCATGAAGATTCTGATGTAAGACACTTTATTCACGCTAATGTCACCGCACATAAATAACACAAAACAAATCTTATACTATTCTAGATTCGCGGAAAAGGTCTTGATATGGCTCTTTTGACAAAAGATTTTAACTTGATCAAATGGATTGGCGCAAATGCATACAGAACATCACATTATCCATATTCAGAGGAATCAATGCAATTCGCTGACGAACACGGAATCATGATTATTGATGAGTGTCCGAGCGTGGATACAGAGTAAGCGATTGAACTTAAATTTAATATTAAACGATGTATCCATATATTATAATCGAAATTGCAGTAACTATACGCCACAATTGCTGGAAAAACATAAAGCATCTATTGAGCAATTGATACATCGTGACAAAAACCATGCTTGTGTTGTGATGTGGTCTATTGCCAATGAGCCTCGAACTAGTAAGCATCAAGCAGACTCTTATTTCGAGTAAGTGCTCTCAATACCACCTAAAATAATGGAAATTTTAATCAAAATTTTGTTTTTTCCCCCAAAATAGAGCTATAGCGAATTTTACGAAATCATTGGATCCTAATCGACCTATCACTGCCGCAATCGCAACCCCTGCCAATGATGACAAAGCCGTAAGATTAATATTCATTATTTATTAATGATTTATATTTTTGATTGACATTTTTCCTTGAGTAGGCACAATTTTTAGACATAATTAGTTTTAATCGATACAATGGGTGGTACTCAAATCCTGGCCGATTGGAGATGATCACATCAAGAGTTGTTGACGAAGCCATTCTATGGAATGCAAAACATCAAAAACCAGTATTAATGTCAGAATATGGAGCAGATACTGTTGAAGGATTGCACTTTGTACGTATTTTTTCATCTTGAAAATTAAGTGACCATTATAAATAAATGATTGTATATTCTATTGATTTAATACAGTTGCCAGCATTTGTATGGTCTGAAGAGTATCAAAGAGAGTTATATTCAAGACATTTCAAAGCTTTTGATATACTCCGGCGTTATGGTTGGTTCATTGGGGAATTCATTTGGAATTTTGCTGATTTTAAGACAAATCAAGGTATGCAAATTTATGCAAGACTACCGATTTTCATTATTTAACACATAATTCTATATTCATTTTAGCGTATACTAGAGTTGGTGGCAATAAAAAAGGTATTTTCACACGAAATAGACAGCCGAAAGAAGCCGCACATCATGTTCGTAGGCGATATTTTTCGTTAGCAAATCAACTGGATCAATGTAAGTTGCCTGATGATCTGTTCCCATACCTAGTCGATGAAAATCAAAAAATCGATAATCGTATTGAGCTGTAAAAATGGCCAATCTGCTGGAAATACTCGAAAAACTTCGGGGATGTTTTCTTTTTGTGCCGTTTCTCTTTTGTAACTGAAATTTACAATTGTACAAATACGAATAAATTTATAAACTACATGTATTTTCGTTGAATGTTGATTTTATTTATTCATTTTATAATTAGCACCAAGTTAGATGAAAGTTTTGAACATTCAAAACCTTCTTTTGTTTTTGTTTTTATTTATTTGAAAAAATTACCTACAAATAAAAGTTTGGTTATGTTATTACATATGTTGACAGCGTTTAACTGTTTGACATTTATGATACATGTGTGCTTACATGTGTGTTTACTTAATCAGTCAGTAGAAAAAGTAAATAAACTGCAAATTGTGTCCGGCTAAAAAATGAAGAACATTAAAAAATCGGGCGGTAAGCCAGTGTTTAAGAAGGATGCATCGAAAAGTAAACAACGCAAGAATGGTAAACAAGGCGGCAGTATGGCCGGCAAACGAAATCAATTTACAGTAGCTGAAGAAAGACGTTTGGACCGAATTCGACAGCAAAATGAACGAAAAGCAGAAAAAGAAGCCAAAATGTTGATCATAAAAAAGGATAAAAAACGGAAATTGAAAATTTTCTCAAAGAAAAACACCAAAGGACAACCCGTGATGAAGGGACGTATGGAACTACTACTGGAAAAAATCGAAAAACGCATTGCCAACTGATCACACCATTCGAAATCAATCGGGTTGGATTTTTGTTTCAATTTTTATATTTTATTTTTGATTTTAATTCGAAATATGGTCTTCTATCGAAAAAATTTCAAAGAAGATTGAAAATAAATAAACGCAATACGTCAATAGCAAACAGGCATATATTTATTGTCTGAATATTCATATAGATTTTCTATTGACCCAAATCATCCTTCAGATAACAGTTGTATCTGCTTTGACAATCAGTAATTTGATTGAAATGGGAAAGATTCGGGTTAAATGATAAGTATTATTATTAAAAATTTGTAGAAAAATCTCATTCATAAATAAAAAAACACTTAAAATGTGAAATAAATGTGATTTTTTTTTTATTCTAATGGAAAATTAATTTCTTGTTTTGGTACATGAGGCCAGTTTAGTTTAAATTATTTTAGCACGATTTTGGCGATTGTCATCATTAATCTAACATTTAAAATACATAACTGTTCTCTTTAATCTTTTTTTTTTTTTTTTTGATATCATCGAAATTAAAATTGAAAGCCCAATCTTTAATCATTGTTTCGATGTCAATTCAAAAGTGGATCAGACAGTAGTTCGTTTTCCAATAAAAAGCTTTCCAATTCCAAAAAGTTAGATTCATCGCCGTGTAATGTGTCCGGAAAACGACGCAATCGTTCAAATAAACAGCCTTTTTTATACACCGTCAATACGGGAAAGTCTTCTATTTTAAAGTGATCAATGTCAGTGACACATCCCAAAATGTCAATTTTACAAAATTTCACCAATGGATGCACCAGTGCCAATGTATCAAAACAACGGTTCATCGCTTGGGATTTCTCTGATCTACTATCGTAAGAGTGAATGATAACAACGACGGAGCTATCTTCCTTCAAATATGCATCGATATATGAATCACCATAGGTCAATGGAATAACGGTACCAAATACTTTTCGTGCTTTTACTGGAATTTTTTTTTCACAAGCAGCCATACATTTCGCATTACTTTCGTCGTTCATTAATTCAGTAATTTTGACATCCAATTCATCGATTCGGGCCGCTTTACACACCTTTCCCATGCAATCGAATTCGGTTTGATTCGTTTTCTTCATATCTAGCTTCTCAAAGTATTTGTCCATTTCGTGCATAACTTCTGTTTCATATTCGTCGCTCATTAGTTTGGCCATTTTTGCATTCAATTCATCGTGCTCGTAACCTTCTGCTTCCGTGTTGTATAAATTGTCCATGGACGCCAATCTTTCGGTTTCTGTTTCGATATTTAACTCCATTTCTATTTGCTGGAATAGGCGCTCCATTTCGCACGTGAAACTCGTGCTATATTCATCGTTTATTTTTTTGGACATTTCAGCATCCAATTCATCAAGCTCGTCAACAAGGCAATCTTGGGCCACCGGTCTGCGTAATTCCCACATGGATGCCAATTTTTTGCTTTCTTTTTCCTTATCTTTCTTCATTTCCAATTTCTTAAATGATTGCTCACTTTTGCGCATCGAATTCGATTGAATGAGTTCGTGGTTCATCAATGTTACCATTTTAGCATTTAATTCATCATGCTCGCCAACAACGTTATCTTCGGCTACCGTTTTGCACAATTTCCCCATGGATGCCAATTTTTCGGTTTCATTATTTTTTTCCGTTTCTAGTTGCTTGAATATTTGGTCGGGTTCGCGCGTTAAATTCGTTCGATTTGGTTTATGCGATGTCAATAATTGCGCATTGGCTACCGGTGATCTGGCATCATTTTCAAGTCTATCGCCTTCATCCAGATTAAGATATCTCTTCCAATCGTCCAACATTTCATCGTCAAACTTTGCCATTGCGTCTTTTTTTTTTGAGATACAATTTTTTTTTTTAGACTACCTGTTAGCTGAGAGTCTTCGAATATTGACAGTTAGTCTTCGATACTTTTCTTGTTGGTACATTCAATTTTTGCACTTGTAATACACTTTTCTTCTTTGTATGTATTTAAATACAGTGCTGTCATCTAAGACCGACGATATGAACTTGACTACACTTGAATTGAACAGGGTAGACGTATAGTATACGTCAATATCATTTTTTGACATTTGATCGGTAAAATCTATCGTTTCATTTCTGAATTGAATATTTAACCATTTTTTGTAAGTCGTTTTGATTTTTGGTGTCTATATAAAGAACAATGGTATTCTATTTTGTAAGCGAAGTTGTAACGCCATCGTATACACTGTTTATGGGAGCAGAAAAATATGAAAGTATGATTGTTTACCTACTTGTAATTTGTGTTTCTATACAATGACTAAGCCATGAATTTGTTTCCATTTAGATGAAGATCTAATAAAATGGGGATGGCCAGAGGATGTTTGGTTCCATGTAGACAAGGTATGACAAACATACATCACAATTTGGTTATTTTTAACATTTAATATTGATTAAATCATCGCAGGTATCATCAGCTCACGTTTATTTACGTCTTCAGCCGGTAAGCGGATTAGAGAGCACATGTCCTGATAATTTATTATGACAACATTGATTTTTTTTGGTTTTATTTCTTCTTTCCAACAGGGTCAAACAATTGATGATATTCCATCAGCTGTAATTGAAGATGCTGCTCAGCTAGTGAAAGCAAATAGTATTAATGGCTGTAAAATGAATAACATCGATATTGTGTACACAATGTGGGACAATTTGAAAAAAACTCCAGCAATGGAAGTAGGTCAAGTGTCATTTCATCGTGATAAAGATGTGCGTAAGATTCGTGTTGAAAAACGGATAAATGATATTGTTAATCGGCTCAATAAAACGAAAACCGAAAGTCACCCAGGTAAACCAAAAACAATCGGCCATTCACTTTGAGCATAATTATTCTGTATTTCATTTTGTTTGTTTTTAGATTTTCGAGCTGAAAGAGAAAAACGAGATGCCAAGGAACGTGAAGGTCAAAAGCAAATTCTACGAGAGCAAAAAGAAAAGGCTAAAGAGGATGAGCGCCGGCGAAAAGAAGAAGCTGAATTACGAAGCTACTCTAGCCTTCAGGCCAGTGAAAAAATGCAATCCAACTATGACGATGGCAACGATTCAGATGATTTTATGTAAATTTATTGTTTTTGAAAAACAAAAACTATAAAATAAATAAACTGTAAAGGATTTTTTTTCCAAATATCAAAATTCATTTAAAAAACGCAATGTATTTATCAAAAATTTGATTTTTATTTCGACAAAAAAAACTTTTAAGTGGCCGAATTGTTTGCAAAGAATGTATTGATTGATTTCGATTTGAATGAGTGCATATGTTTGAGTCAGACTCATGCACAGAACCAATCAAGCCATTTAGATTTTATTGAATGCAGCGATGTCGGATGATTGGACAAAATCTTCGAAGGATTCGATTTTCTCTGGAAAATTACAAAAAAAAAGAGGCGATTAGAATCTCAATATAAAAAATAACAAAAAAGAGAGTTAATTGTCGCTAATTGGTTACCCACCTTGGAGTTCATCGGTTGAGATTTTGTCGTCTTCAATAACACACATGATTTGCAATTTATTGATACCGTATCCAACTGGAACTAATTTCGATGCTCCCCAAACCAAACCGTCCATTTCGATGGTGCGAACACATTTTTCCATTTCCTTCATGTCAGTTTCATCGTCCCATGGTTTGACATCGATTAAAACTGAACTCTTTGCAATGAGGGCTGGTTTCTTTGATTTTTTAGCGGCATAGGCAGCCACACGTTCTTCACGAATTCTAGTGGCCTCTTCGTCGTCTTCTTCATCTGAACCGAAAAGATCGACGTCATCGTCATCATCGGCAGCAGCTGGTGCGGCTTGTGTTGTTGGTTTGCCGCCGGCAACTTGTGGTACAGCCTGTCCACCCCATGCATTACGTTCTTGAGCAGAAAACGATGCGATATGACGATACCATCTTTGGACATGTGGAACATTACCAGTTGGTGCTTTACCTAAAGCATCAAACACCGACAAATCGGCCTTTGATGGGGTATAACTATCACCGACAAAAAAAATGCACACACAATTAATTCACTTGCATCTATATGCTCTGATACAAAATTAACCTAAAAATTTCACTTACCCACTGATATAACTGTTGTCGGCCAAGAAGTTGTTAAGTTGTTCAAGACCTTTTGCTGTTTTCACATCACCAAACGACATTTTTAAAAATTTGTTTATACGGTTTCGCCGGAATAAAAAAAATTAAACGATTTTTTCAATCGAAATACGCAAAGTTTAACTAACGTCGTAACGTTTCACCACGTTGCCAACAGAGAAAGAGATCGACAAAGAATATTACCACAAAACGACAGCTCTGTGTGTTGGGTGTCGTTCACACGTTCAATGTGCGACATCATCATTGTTGAATTTTTCTGTCAAAGTGTGTTGAGTAAATTTCGGATTCAATTATCAAGATAAAATAAATAACATTCGATAGAATTTCAAATCAACATGTTTATTGAAATTATTTTGCCAAAAATGTTTGAATTAAAGTGTAGCATTTGGGCATTTGTTCACAAAATCAATCGAATGTTTTTCTCGTAAACGAGTCATTATTTCTTCGCCAAATATTCGCATTACCAACCTCAAAATGTGTTGAAAACTGTGAAAGTCAAACTTGATTGCAGCCACACATACTGATACTGTTGCTATTTTGTGTGTGCTGACAGTATTGCCACCATATAAGTGTAAGTGAATGTGGTGGTCGCGAAGAAAAAAAAAATGAATTGGAAAATCTCTTTAAGTAGTGCAACTCAACAAACATTGAAAACTTAAAAGTGTAAGCGAGATGGCAAATGACGGTGTAAGCAAGACAAATTAAACAAGCAAAAAAGCAGCTGAAATACATGGATACATGGATACATCATCACACACAAACGCAATCACCAGAATAATAATAAGAAAAGGAATCAAATATTTTGTGCAAGCAGCACAGGTTGACAACAAAAAACAATTTTTATTTTGCAGGTTGTGCAAAAACAAGGACAGAAAATCATAAATAATTACAAAATAAAAACGTGCAACCAATAAAACCAAAATAAAAAAAAACGGAAGCATCTAAACAACATTAAATGTTATACAGAAACCTATCAAACACTCGAACTTCCAATACCGAAACGTCGAAAAGAAAAATTATTTTGGCCACACGCGAAACAAATCTCACCAATAAAATATAAAAAGAAAAAATCGAACATAAAATACACGCACAAAATTTTGCGAAAAGTGGAAATGGTTTATAATTTAATTGAAGAGCAGTAAATATTTGATCAAGAAAGAAAAAAAATACCCCAACAAAATCAACAAACAGAAGAAAATAATTCAGCTGTTCTTTTCCTTTTCGATTTTCCTCGAATACAAATTCTGTTGTGTGTGCGTATGCTGTGCAAATGTGAAATAGATTTAGTACTTAACAAAAATTCAACAAAAAGATGTAATCACTCCGGTAGATTTTTTTGTAAATTTATCCATTTTTGGCCAAAAAAAAAAGTTTAAGTTTTATGTGTAGTAAAGGAATCTCTCGTTGAGCATATTGCCATTTAACAAGAGAGAGAGATAAATAGGTGGCATTTAATACGTGTGAAATAAAAAATAATTTTCTAGTGAAATGATTTATTTCCAAAACGCAACGATTTTGTCAATGACAAATTATGCAAACCATTTTAAATGAAGTGGAAACTGGTTATAGATTCTAATTATTGTGATCTAAATAACAAATTCGTTCATCAAGTATGCTCATGTCTTAAGTGATGACATTATATAAATGTATATTGAAAATAGTCGACAAACTAATAATTCAACAAAATCATTAAGAAAGTTGTAGTGTTTTTTTAGTGAATCGTATACCCAAGGGTAATGATAGACAAAGTTTAAAATTAGACTTGCATTCGAAATCGATATCGTGAGTGAGTGTTTCAATCGAAATTGTGAAAGAAAAGAGAAAATTCTGTATTTTTACGACATTCACCGTTTTTAGAATAGACAATTTCACCGTATCTGAATAATAAAACAGACACAACCGAATTATTGTTAAAAAAAACGGCGGCACTATCCAAATCATCAGCAAAACACACAGCATGAAGAGACGAAATGCCGAATTTGGGAAGCTGAGAAGGCCCATGAAACGTAATAAAATTGCGGAAGGAATGTACGGAAGGTATAATCTCTATTCATCAGGATGGATACATGTATATATGCACGTAGATGTATTGTATCGGTTGTCGAAGGCTACATCTGCTTGTAATATACTGTATACTGTACTGTAGGATACATATTAGATATAGATGTGTACGCGTCTGTAACAGTCTGCGTTTACGTGCGCGGGTGAATCCAACTGTATGACAATGCGGTATGGAGTATAATGATTTGATTACGGTATGATGTTGAAACACGGATTCGACCATGTTTGATAGTGATTACCTTTTTAATCAAAAAAAAAAAAATAACTCAAATCAAAATACAATGATAAGAGTGATATAACACCCCGGTGTGTTAATCACCCGTTTCATTATATTTAACTCGAAATTATTCAACCGTTACGTTTTCGTCTCATGAAACTTCAGAAAATTTTCTCTTTAATTAACGCCAAAGAAAGTTAATTGATGTGATTTGGTATTTATGTTGTTTTATTTGCAGCAATACATTTTTATACGTCAAATATTTGATATTATGGGCCATTGTGATCACAGCTGATTTCATGTTGGATTTTCGATTTGAATTTTTATGGCCATTTTGGTTGCTTTTACGATCGGTTTACGATTCATTCAAATATAAAGGACTAGTAAGTAAACAATTTTAACTTTGAACCAAATGCTTAGAAAAATGCTTAATGACAATGGTGCTTTTTGTTTATTTATTTATTTTTCTACAGGCATTTACAATACTCTTTGTATGCATTGCTATCACATCAGATTTAGTATGTCTGTTTTTTATACCAGTTAGTTGGCTCTTCTTCTTGGCAAGCACCTATGTGTGGGTGCAATATGTTTGGCATGCTGGTAAGGCATTTAGTGCATCAACATTTAATGCGATAATTTTTTAATTTATTTTGCCCCCAAATCAAATCAAATGACCCGTTTTTTTTTCGTTTTCTCTCTCACACGCAGCGGATAAAGGATTTTGTTTGCCAACCATTTTATTGTGGGCTCTGTTTTTGTACTTAGAAGGAGCCATACGATGGCGCGATGATAAATCCATTCCACATGTTGATTTGTGTAGGCCATTTGCAGCACATTGGTAAATAAAAAAAGGACGATTTTTTACGCGATCGATTTGAGAGCAAATGTTGATTTTGTTGTTTACCTTTTATTTCAATGGCATATCCAGCATTGGATATCCAGTAGTTACACTTGGATTTGGAGTCAAAAGCTATGTTGGCTATCGAATACGGCATCGAAAGCAACGAGAAGTGGCTAAAGAGAATGAATTTTATATACAGCTGCTACAGTTTGCATTGCCAAATGATGAGCTTCTTCATGCACAAATGAAGCAATCGCCCGAGATTCTGCATTCTGATAAATTGGGTGATATCGATCTTCCGGTTTCATCAGCTATCATAGCACAACGAATTCAACAGCAACAGCTATTGATGATGTCCAATTCACATGCGCCTTCGTCGAACAATTGTAAGGATACGAATTAATTTTTCGTTTATAGTTTATACACACACACAAAATATTAAACATAATATATCTTTTCTTTCAGCAGCCACATCAAATGGTACATCGTCAGTGGTCAATGCAAACAGTACATCATCATCATCCTCATCATCATCATCATCATCATCATCATCATCGTCATCTTCGTTAAACTTTAATCACAATAATAATCACAACATTAGAAGGTACGGTTTTCGAGTGTCTTTCTTTTTGCTCACAATTATTAGTGGATTTGATTTTTGAATTTTCTGCATTCTTTATAGTAATGGCCACAGCAATCATAAGGTCAATGGTCACACCGGAATGAACGGATTCTCATCGTCTGTACCTGTAACGTCCGCTCAACCTTCATCAACAGGTATTGTTAACGCGATTTATGATGTAAGAATGAGCATTTTGAATAACATTTTTGAATATCATATTTAGGTACGACATCCACATTGACCACACATTTTAGTCATAATAACAGCAGTAGCAACAATAACAACATGAACAGCAGTAATTTGAATTTAACAGCGACGCACAATGGTTTTGGTGTAAACCAAATGAATCAGACACATCAAATCCATCAAAATCTTTTCAATTCAACATCGGTGCTGACATATCGAAGCAATCGACGAAGCATGGATAGAAGTGACAATAAAATTAATGATACGATTGCAACATCATCGTCAATAAGAAATACTTTGCCATGTAATGATCCAATACAGGAGGGAATATCACAATCACGTTCATTTTTCAATATGTGCTTGAGAATCATCTATAAAATGCTCATGCTTATCAATAATGGCTTCAGCAAACGCAGACCGAACACTTTAAATAATCCAAACAGTAAATTGTCCGAATCGCTGTTCACCCGATTATTGTCTCTGCTCAGAAATAAAATCGGTGTTGGCGGCAACAACACAGCCACCACCATCGATGGAAATAACTACAGCAAAACAATTCCAACTGACAGTGGCATCGAACAGTCCAGTTATGTTGAGAGTGTCGATGATAGTGATCTTTTGGTCAATGCAACAGCGAACAAGATAACACCATCATATGCACCATCCGCACCAATTGCTGTTGAATTGACAACAGGTATTTAACTTGAATTTTATGCAAATATTATTTTTATTATAAATTACTAAATCATTTGATTTTTCTATAACTAGCATCGAGTTCTGGCTATTCAAGTGTGCAGCAAACAGTTGATATGGAAAAATTAGTGTGCAAACAGAACGGACACACTGAAATCGAAACTCAAATCAATAACGTAGAGGTTAATTGTACAAATAGCATCAGCACAGAGACGACTGAACGATGTCGAGGTCGACGAAATCGGGGAAAACAAAAAGATCCACAGCAGCATGTGGCACAAGTGAACAAAGACAATCGAAATCCATCACCATTATCACAACAGATCGAACATTGCGAATCGTGCAGTCGCCTAGAAGTTGAACTGAAAAAAGTGCGCAGCGAACTGAGTCATTTGAAGCAGATTGAAAACGAATTACGCCAAAAATGCGATCAAAACTCAACGGTGAAATCGTGTTTGCAGGCCAAACAAAAAGAAAACGATGAATTAGAGAAGAAGTAAGTAGTCGTTTTAGTTTACAAACATGAAAAACGAATTCGTTTCTTATTTATCATTTCACATGAATTTGGGCAGGTTACAAGAGCTTACGAGTTCACGGCAAGCCGATCGTCAAACTATGCAGCAAACAGATCGAAAGTTAATTGACGAACGACGTCAAAGGCAATCACTAGAAACACAACTAAACAATGAACGAAAACAGCGCAAAATAGCTGAGGAAAAACTTTCACGGTAGGTGCAACTTTTGGTCATATTCGGCCGCACATGAAGCAAAGAACTGACATTTTAATAAATATGTTGTCGATATTGTCCAAACAGTGTTGATTGTAACGAGAGTTGTAAATTGCGAAAACAAATGCTGGAGAATGAATGCAAGCAACTGAGACGTGATATGTCATCAATTGAGGAGCTCAAAAAATCGGCTGAACAACAGAGCAGAAACTACGAACAAGAGGTAATGACATTTACATTGTTGTTGCTGTTTTCTTCGACACACATTATTTAAAAACGAAAATTTGTCAATTCTATTTCAGCTACGAAAATTCGAAGCAGAGTTGAGATCACGCGAAACTCGCGAAAGTACTGAAGTTCTAATGGCAGCCCTACAAGCAATGCAGGATAAGAATAATACACTAGAAAAAAATCTGTCGGCAGAGACACGAGTTAAGCTGGACTTATTCTCGGCTCTTGGTGAAGCAAAGCGACAACTAGAAATTCGTGACAGTAAGTATTTTGCCGTTTTAACACAATTTTTTTTTGTGCGCATTTTCTAATAACTATATTGTGCGGTTGCAATAGATGTCATCCGGCAAAAGGACAAGGAAGTGGTAGATTTGAAGTCAAAAATAGCCCAACTGTATGCGGTGATGCCGTCAGTGCCAAATGAATCGTATTTACCACAATGTTCATCGACAAGCAGTACAATATTACGCCTAAGTGATACAAGTCCAGCACCTCCACTATCACACTCGGATTCCATTTACAATTCAAATAATGACGTGGCATAAAGAGAACTGAACCGAACAGAACTACATAAAGAGCACACATGCACACATTCGATATTCGTTATTTTTTACCGAAATCCCGTCAAACAAGAATCTCACGATCACTTCGTCATTTGTGTTCCAATCAAGAGATCTAAGTGATAAACAATATAGTTTTTTTTAGTTGAAATATATTTTTTCCTGGTTCTTCTTCAACAAAGTTAGAACACTTTGCTTGCTCTTAATTTGGTATGTTTTTTTTTTTTTGTTTTGAAATATCATTGAAAAAAGAAATATACTATTGAATAAATGTCGATTGGATAAATATGATCGACATTAAAAAAAAATATCTTCCATTGAATTCCTACCATTTTGAAAGCAAAATTACAGAGCCAGAGCTCAATGCACAATCTATAAAATACAGTATGTTATATTTGTATATGTTGGCATATACAAACTGCAGTGATCGTGACATGAAATGGTCACGATAAATGAGCATTTTTTTCATGAAAAAAGTGGATATGAAATTGAAGTAAAATTATATGTGTATGCGTGTGCGAACATTTTCATGATAAAAAAAATTCCTTTTATTCCAGGAATTTGCAAATTGTAACAAGTTTAGAGAGAAAAGAGCACACGCACATTGACTGATTTTGTATATTTCACTACAGTGAACTTTGAGAACAAAAAAAAATAGTTTAATTTTTATACTTTTATTCATTTATCTGTGCTATTTTATGATTTTCAAAAAGAAATAATCCAGAAGAAAAAAGATATCAATTCAAAATTGTACTGTACATATTCACTGTTGATAACAAGTAACTTTTTCGAGACAGAAGGAGCAAGAGAAAGTGAAAGAGCAACATTTTTTTTCATTTGTGATTTTAAATAGGCGAACAAAAATGTGATGGGAATACATCTGCAGAAATCAAGTATAAGCATTAAAAAAATGTTTACTTTCAATCCTGAATGACTGGCATACGAAACTAAAAAAAACATTAAATACTCAATTCTTTAATCAAAATAAAGAAAAAAAACAGAAACCATTAAAACCGTCTTTAAATTAATTGCTTTTTAGACTGTAAGATTTTTTTAAATGCCCACCGATTAAAAACCCTGATGAATTTATTAAAAATGCGATTTTTATTTCGACAAAATAGATTTAAGCGACCGAACTATTTGCAAAAATGATATCAAATAATTTCGTTTTGAATGCGCGTGAAATTTGAGACCAATCACTTCAATTGGATTTTACAGGGGGAGGCAAAAGTTTTAAGCCTGCCATATAGATGGCACTAGTTACATATTGTTCTTGTGCTGTAATTCACGTACAAACTGTCACTAGTATTTTAAAATAAAAATTGAGTTGATATCTGTCATCGTTTGTTTTCAACAGCATTGCATGCGAAGTAACCTCGAGATTTTTTATAAAATGGATAAAATTGAATATCGTGCGGTGATTAAGTTTCTGACAAAAGAAAGTGTGGCACCAAAAGATATCAATGATCGCTTGCGTGCAGTTTATGGTGAACGTGCTCCATCGTATGCCACAGTAAAACTATGGGCAAAACAATTCAAGTTGGGCAGAGAGTCATTAGAAGACGATCCACGTTCTGGTCGACCAATTGAAGCAACTGCTCCAGATATGGTGGAAAAAATTGAACACCTTGTGCATGAAAATCCTCGAATGAGCAAGAAAGTGTTAGCAGCAATGTTTGACGTGTCAGAGAGAAGTATATTTAGAATCCTTCATGAAAAATTGCTCATGACAAAGGTTTGCTCGCGATGGATTCCAAGAACTTTGAACATAGCTCAAAAAGAAGAACGAATTGCTGCTGCACGTGAGTTTCTCGAGTTGTTGGAATCGAATGAAGAGGACACATTTGAGCGAGTAGTGACTGGCGATGAATTGTGGATCCACTACTATGATCCAGAGCTCAAATCACAGACGATGGAATGTGTTGAACCAGTATCGAAAGTGCCACGCAAACAAATTGCCACAAACAAAGTAATGGCCTCTGTATTCTGGGATGCCAAAGGCATTATAATGGTTGAATTTCTCTCAAATAACATAACAATCACAGGCTATTATTATGCACAACAAATGCATAGATTGCGCAAAGCCATCAGAGAAAAACGCCCTAGTCTTCTCACTCGAAAAGTTCTTCTTTTGCATGACAATGCACCAGCTCACAAATCATTGCTTGCACAAGCTGCCATCAGGGAATGCGGCTTCGAACAACTTCTCCATCCACCGTATTCTCCAGATCTGGACCCCAGCGACTATTTCCTGTTTCCAAACACCAAGATATATCTCGAGGGAAAGCAGTACAAGACCGAAGAAGAGATTTCAACCGATATTTTCAACGTATGGGGGGACAAGAGTGCCGAGTGGTTTGAGGGGGGAATTAAAGCATTGAAGCATCGTTATGAAAGTGTCATTCGTGTACATGGAGACTATTTTGAATAATAAATATACTCATTTAAAAATACAACGTGTCTTGCTATATCAGGCTTAAAACTTTTGCCTCCCCCTGTATTTAATGCAACAAAGTGGCATGGTCGAAGGATTTTTCAAAGTATAGTCACTGCTATAAATCAACTTAGCCAGCTGTAGTCGAATTAATTCATACTTGACTGGCTGTAAGACTGTTTTTTTACACATGCATTCAGTTGTGTTGCTTTTTCGTGAGATGAATCTTGGACTACATATCATGGAAGTAATTCCCTCAACAAATTTTGTAATTACCCTCCCTCTTGGATCGCCAACTTCAGAATCAATGGGGTTCTATCGTTGTGTATTAAGGTTTAAATAAGATAAATGCATGGTTTAAAAGGGATACTAAGCAGTTTTATAAAAAAAACCGTATAAATTTACATTAAAAATATCTAACGGCTGAGAGAATAATACAATTTATATTCCGGATATTATGATATATTTAAAATAAAATGAAAATGTTCAAACTTTTTTTTATTCTTATTTCTATTTTTCGACTTGGATTTTGATGTTGTACCGTTTAATGAGAAATTTTTTATGGAAAAAATGTTCCAAAGTGCCTGTGATACTCTAAACACATGTATCGAACATCGATTCGCATAAATGGTCAATTTTATTCCAATTCATCATCTTCAAAGGTAAGTAATTCAATGTGGTCTTGATGATCGGCTATTGTAATTTCGTGAATTTGTCCACTCTTGGTAGTGATGTACTTTTTCTTGATGCTCGAATCTTTAATTGCTTCCAGAACATCGACATCGTATAGCAAGAGCTGCCCTTCGCTCTCACTGTTCGTACCGTCATCATCTTTGATGATGTTGTCATGTGTCAAATATTCGGTGAGGTCACCTTCATTAGTTGAATCTCCATCAATTTGAGAATGTTCATCGAATACTTGCAGCTCGTAAACTTGCTGAGTTTGCGTTTGACTTTCATGCTGTGGTTGGCTTTGTTGTTGCGACTGAATTTGATTTTTGTTGGCATTATTTTTGTTGTGTGTGTTCATGTGGGCTTTCAAATGATGTGATTTTGCAAAACGTTTTCCGCATACCTCACAGCTAAAAAAAGAAAACTTGCTGTAAAATCTATTCGAAATGAAAATAACACCGTGACACTTACTGGTATTTCTTTTCTCCGGTATGGATTAATTTGTGGCTGGAGAGTACGTGCGAGTATGCAAATGTTTTACCACAAGTATCGCAGGCATATGGTCTCTCTCCGGTGTGAATTCTGTTGAAAATCGATATAAATGTTATCATATCAGTTGCTTTGAGCGACTTCTTACAAAATAAATACCTTTCATGTTTCACGCGACTCCCAAAATCGGAGAACCTTCTATCACAATATTTGCAAGCGTACGGCTTTTGACCAGTGTGCTAAAATAGAAATGTTATGAAATTATTATTATTTTTTACAAAAATATGTTATAAACGAAACTCACTGTTCTCATATGACGGCTCAATTCAAAGTTAATGACAAATCCTTTTCCACAGACGCTACACACGAATGGTTTTTCATTACGATGTCGTCGCATATGACTGAAAACATTATTAGAAAATGAGCAATAACTCCATCGAATGAAAATGAAATTTAAATTACCTTTCAAGTGCATGTTGATACATGTATTCGTTGCCACATATTTCACACTTTTTTGGTTGCTTTGGTTCGCCTTTAGCGTTGGTTTTTGATTTTGGTGAACGCACTAAAGATGCATTCTCTTTACTTCCATTCTCGGTCCCCTTTAATTTTGCATTGATAATTGTATTTGTTTTTCCTTTACTGGCTGTTGTATAACCCAATCGAACTTTATTTGTACGAACCGGTTTAATTTGCATGATTTTCGAGTCGTTTTCATTGGTTTTACTGGTATCGGTATGATTACCTTTACTGCTCACTTTTCGAATCGAATCCGACGTTTTTTCGGCGTCTGTTGAATCATCAAAGTTTGTCTCAATATCGTATAACATATCAATATTATCATCAAACATTTCTTCGTCCATGGTTGGCTCAGATTTTAAATAAATAGTATGCTCGTCGGCTACAGATGCCGATGATGCCGATGATGCCGATAATGCTTTTTTGGTGGCACTTCTAAGCACTTTGTCGCTGGTTTCGCTTCTCACGCGTTTTACATTTAATCCAACCGGTGGTCTATATTCATAAAGTCCGGCATCTGAAGACAAACTGACCACCCTATTGTCTTTTGACGAACGGGGTAAATTCAATGGATCACCCACCAGTTCAATGTATTCTTCACTTTGCGAATCCTCGGTCGGATTTAGAAACCTTTGTAAAATCGAATCCGATCGTTCGCAATTTTTTCGAAATCTATATGCAACATCTAAATCGCATAAACAATCAGTGCATATTTGTTCCGGAAGCTTTCCATCCGTCGTAATCTGATTTGGGCAAAAAAATGTTTTTAAAAAATGTTAATTGGTTTGAAGTAAAAAACTTGATAAAAATAAATTGTTAAATAGCCATCACATACCAAAATTGGTGAGCACATCATTATTTTTTCAGCAATATTTAATTCGGATTTTTCATCGTCAAAATCGAACAATGAATGCAATTGCCCTTCTTGCAAGCATATCCGACAAATTGCATCCCATTCGGCAATCGTTTCAATCTCCATGTTTGATCAATTTTTTATTTAAATATGCGTACGCACACAATAAAATTAAATGTATGTTTTATTTTTTGTTCTTTTCAATTCGTTCAATACGGTATTGTAACAAATTGCATTACTTGATTGTTATACACAATTCAAATAATCTCATATAGAAACAACGTTAAACCGCTTCGAAAAAAAATGTTACCACTTTCTGTTTATGTTTTCATGCGTGTGGTTCCCGTAAAATTTGTTCAATCTGAAATTATTTCACCTAATTTTGATGCTAAATCGCATATAGTGGCTTCATTTGTAAATTAAAGATGGTTCTTTTTTTCAGAAATATGGGAAAAATTCAATTTTTTCTACGCTTCACTTGTAATTTTCGATATACGATAGGCGATACAATCAAAATGTGTGTCAAAAACAAAATCAAAAATCCACCAAAGAAAAATTAGTGTTGCTACACTTTTTCGCCTTTTATTCCTTACTTTGTTGAAACACTAATGTTAATGCATCTTTTTTTCGTTTGATTTCTTCTCTCGTACGCTTAATAATCCACATCTGTCAATTCCATTCAAGCCGTTTATTGTGCGTCGATAGTACAGGGGATTTGAACGCATCCATCGACTTACCAAGCGTTAGGTGAAATGTTACAAATGCGATTTTTCTTTATTTCCCTTATGTTACGAAAAAAAAAAAAAAGAATTTTGGATCAAAAATTGTAAAAAAATGAACAAAAATAAAAAAAATACTAGAAAATTGGCGTAAAAAAGAAATCTCCAAAAATGTTCAACGATTGTATCGATACAAACACCACAGTTTGTATTGGTGTATATAGTATGAACTGTCAAAGAAAATAAGTTGTCAAAATGACCTTAAAGCACAACGTGACAATAGTAAATAAATACCGCGTGTATTTGTATTGCCAACATAGTTGAACTTTTAATAATAAAATATTTTTGGGAAAATAGTTTAACAATTAACTGTGATGGCTTCCAAATCTGCTTCTTGGCATTCGCTTGATCCGCCATTGAACAAGATTATCCTATCTGTCATCGAAAATGAATTCAAATTCGAGAAAATGACTCCGGTTCAGGTAAAAGAAGAAAGAGCCATTTGAATTTGTTTTGTCAATTTATAATGTCGTATGTTTTTTGTTTCTTTGCAGAAAGCATCGATTCCGTTGTTAATGTCGTATAAAGATGTAGCTGCCGAAGCAGTAACTGGATCCGGCAAGACATTAGCATTTGTGGTTCCAATATTGGAATTGTTACTACGACGATCAAATCAAGAAAAGTGGAAATCAAATGAAGTTGGAGCGATCATAATTTCACCCACACGTGAATTAGCTGCTCAAACAAATGTTGTATTAAAATCATTTGCAAAAGCGCTCAACTTTTCGCATCGTTTATTAATCGGTGGTAGTGATGGAGCCAGTGCCGAACAAGATACAAAAGCATTAAAAGCGAATGGTGCACAAATAATAATTGCAACACCCGGTCGACTACTCGAGCTATTTGAACGAAAATGTAACTTAAATTTATGCGGAAGATGCAAAAGCTTAGAAATCTTAGTTCTCGATGAAGCCGACAGTTTGCTGCAATACTCAACAAAAATCAATACAATTCTAAAATATTTGCCAACGCAAAGGCGAACCGCTCTATTCTCGGCAACACAGAAAAAAGAAATCCAGGATTTAATTCGTGCTGGTCTACGGAATCCGGTATTGGTTCGAATTCGAGAGAAGGCCACCACAAGTACACCAGTTCGATTGCAAAATTACTATATGGTCGTTGAGCCGGAATTAAAATTGGCCAGTTTATTAGATTTTATCGAGAGAAAACATATTGAGAAAGCGTTAATATTTTTTCCAACATGCGCTTGTGTCGAATATTGGAATGAAGTGTTGCCGGCTTTGTTGCCAAAAACAAAGTGTTTGGCTTTACATGGAAAAATGAAAGGTGGCCGATTTAAGGTGCTTGAACAATTTAAGAAAGAAACAAATGCCATTTTATTATGTACCGATGTGTTGGCCCGAGGTGTCGATATTCCGGAAATGAATTGGGTATTACCTAGGGGCAATTTACTTAAAAATTACCTTTCTATTATTCAATAATTGTTATTGATTCTTTTTCGATTATTTTAAATTAATTCTTTTCTTTTGTGATTCTCCCCTTAGGTATTACAATGGGAACCACCATCGAATGCGGCCGCATTTGTACATCGAGTCGGTCGAACGGCACGTCAAGGGCAACATGGAAATGCGCTTATATTAATTCAATCATGTGAAGATGCTTATGTTGACTTTTTAAGTCGAAATCAAAATGTGTCGTTAACAAAAGTCACGGATATTGCACCACATGAACATCTCATTGAAATGGCAGAGAAATGCCGTGACACCATTCATCGCATCCAATTAGAAAATCGTTCAATTTATGATAAATCAAATCGTGCCTTTGTATCACATATACAAGCCTACTCGAAGCACGAATGCAATTTTCTATTGCGTGTGAATGATTTGAGTTTAGGAAAAATTGCATCTTCGTATGGTCTATTAAAAATGCCGATAATGCCTGAGCTCAAACAAAAGTCCAAAGATGGGAAAGTTGTAGCTTGTGATTTTATTGCGCCAAAAATGCAGTTTGACATCAATCAAATTCGGTATGAAAAATGAGATCAGATCTCTTTACTGAATTTTTCAAACTTCTTACATAATTGTATTTTTTCCTTATCACTTTAGGTATAAAAATAAGCAGCAAGAAGAAGCAAGACAAAAGAAATTGAGTATTTTGCTTGAAACTGGCAAATGGCCCAAAGGTAAAAATGAGAAAATATTTAAAAAATCAACCGAAGCCTGGTCGCAATCAAAACAACGTAAAGCCGAACAAAAGGCCAATAAAAAGACACGAAAAGAGAAAAAGGTGTTGAAATTGAGTTCGGGAACGGCTGTGAAACGGAAGCGTGGTGGATTTACTGAAGACGATATCGCCGAATTGGCCAACGACATTAAAATGTTTAAGAAGCTAAAGAAAAATAAAATTACTGATCAAGACTTTGACCAACAAATGGGCATTGAAAGTTAGAAATACATAGTATATCCATTGTAAATTAAAAATAAATAATTACCAATTGAATAATCTGGGGTTTTTTCACTTCGAATTTATCTTTGAACTGTGGTTTTAACACAATCACAAAATAGACTAGCTGTGTTTGATCAAGTTGAACCACTTTAGATTGGTTTTTCTAGAATTTTTTTAAAAAACTAATTGCAACTTGATACTTATTGATATTTATTCGAGAGAAAAAAAGAAAGATAAATTCTTAAATGATATCCAATTAGCATAAATTGAATGAATTTCAATTTTTTGCTTCTAAAGAATAACTTTGGCAAAGGTGCAATAAAATTTGTGAACGCAAATAATGAAAGATGTCTCATTCAAATTTATGAGATGTTAAAGACGAGTCTATTTAACGATGATGAAATCGCCAAAATAACCATTTTATTTTGTATTCATTGTACAAAGTGAAAGAAAAATGATGACAAAAGATTTGATGACTAGAACGGAACATATAGCGGTTGTTTTGAATAAATTCAGCATTGTCATAAATAAAGAGAACACAGAATACTGTCGCGCTTGTTTTGTGCTCGATGTCATTTTTAAAAACAAAACTAAAAATCAGTTATTTTATTTTTTGAGTCAGCATGATGTCATTGCCATTAACAAGTGTTAATAGGTCGACTGTGTGTATCACATAATCGAGGTGAGTTCAATATATTGTAATGTTTTTTTCTTGGGACGGATCAAGGATCGTATCCTCAAAAGAAACAGGTTATTGTAATTATTGGAATTTTTTTCCAAAAATTGTCTCTTTTTTTAAATTATATCTACGCGCAATTTTTTTATTTAAACATTAATTTACTGGACTTGCAGCTAGTTATTATCAATTCACGTTATCGAATTCTCATTTCAATACTTATTGTGGTATGTGTGTTCAGTGATTTTTTTTGTGTTGTCTTTGGACTCAGACACGGAATGAGTTCCGTTGGTGGGGCGGATTTTGTATAAAACGATATGCAAATGTATGTATTAGACGAACGCTTTTTTCAATAGCATAGTCAGTTTCTTGGTGGCGTTTGGTTTGGAATCGTGTCCAATTGATTTCGTTCGAACAACGAGCATAAGTTTCGACTTAATTTTCAAGTGTTTTTGAGAAGAAAAAAAAACAACAACAACAGAAACAAAAATGAACAGATTTTTTATTGTGGCAATTAGTTGTGTGATTGCACTGTTTTGCGTTAATTTGGCTGTAAGTCATCCACAAATTCAGCAGCAACAACAACAACAACAACAACAACCGCAACAACCACAATCAGGTATTTTGATCATTATTTTGAAATCGATTTTCAATACTTTGTACAATCATTATTTATGGTTTAGTTTCTTTATTCTATTTGCCATTCAATTTTTAACTATTTATGAAATATTTTCAATATTCTAAATCGATGTTATTTTCTGTACTAGAAAGATCAGTTCTCCCATAATTAACAAGAAAAAGCAAAAAAAAATTTATCAGTGTCGAGAATAAAAATTACGTTATTGTTGTAGGGCATGCGATTTCCATTATGTTCAGCTAAACAAATATGAGATGCCCTCAAGATCAAAATATGTGATTTTTCTTTTTAAATTATAAATCACATTGAAATGTGAAAATTATTGCCTTGTAAAATGATGAGCATTCACACCGAAGTTCATCTCATGAAATTTTGTCATGCAACGTAGAAACAAATTCGTTGTTGCGTTAAGTTTGATTGGCGCGTCATATCTATTTTGGATCCGATTTAATTGTGCATGAAATTGATAATAATCTTAATTTCAATATATAATTTTAAACAATTTCGTTTGCTTCAATTTGTGCGATTTAAGCATTTATTCTAGAATTGAATCGAATACAATTCTGAATAAGGTAGTCATCTCAGCTGCATTTAAACTGGTGTCAAAGCCATAATTAGAATACACGTTCGCAATAGTTGTGTTAATGTTCGCATAAATGTATAGCCAAAAGAGAGACAGGTTTTTCTCATTTACATTAGAGAAAATTTGCATAATTTATAAGGTTATGAAATCATACACATTCGTACGCAACATTGTTGTTAAAAATACAATAGCGGTACCATAAATAACATAAGTGAAACGAGTTACCGTATCAAAAACTCTTTGCCTAATTCAAGAAGGATATCAATTAGTTGACAAACAAAGAATTGAACCGATAAATATGTTGTATTCCTAGGTTGTAAAATCAAGAGTCGGAACCAGTTTTGTCTGTAATATAAAAATCAATGGGTTTTACCGCGAAATCAAGCTTCATAATAACTTACAAGAAGCACTTGCACAAAGTGAGACCCATCTGTTGATCTTATTTATAACAAGAAATATCATTGGTAAGCACATGACCGAATCATCATAAATTATTCATGTTAAGTGATATTTGTGGCACTTGAATAACGTAGATAACCTTTGTTAACTGTTTATTGTTGATTAAGAAAATTACGATGAACGAAAAAAAACCAAAAAATAAATAAATATGTTTTTTTTTATATATTTCAGGTGAGAGTCCGGTAACACAAACTTGCTTGGGATGTATTTGTGAGGCAATAAGCGGATGTAATCGAACTGCAATTTGTACTGGCGAAGTCTGCGGTTTATTCCGTTTGACTTGGGGATATTGGGCAGACAGTGGCAAACCAACGATTGCGGGTGAATCACCAACGTCAGAAACAGGTATTTTGCGTGTCTATTTCTTTACATACACTGGAACCGGAGCAACGAATAACTATTTTACATTTGAAACAATGTTTATTTAATGCGTTTGATACGCACAGCTCTGGTATAATTAAAATAAACTCCGGTTTCAGACTCGTTCATCGACATTGCTCTCTAAACTTGACCTCTTCAATACATATATTTCTTTGTTTCCAGCATATGCCAACTGTGCAAATGATGCATACTGTGCCGCTAGTGCCGTTCAAGGCTATATGACGAGGTATTTCTTTTTTCCTGAGTGTGACTAAGTCAAATACGGTTTTATACTTATATTTTTTTTTCACATAGATTTGGCCAAGATTGCAACGGCGATGGAAAAATCAACTGTTATGATCATGCGGCCATTCATTACAAGGGTGGATACGGATGCAAGGGTGACTTACCGGAAAAATATGGCAACGTATTTAATAGCTGCTTGGGACAATTCTTAAAGACGTAACTAATTTATTCGGAATTTGCTATCCTCACAATCGCTGTTTAAATATACTTACAACAATATCTTAAACACCTTTTTTTATTACATTTAACAAAAACATGAAAGAATAAGATTCAGTATTTATTCAAAAAAAAAAAAAAAACATTTAGATGCCCGCAAGACTGTCATGTATTATGTATGAAAAGCTACGGACACACATTGTGCTCCTTTTCAGTTTCAAAATTTGACAACTTCTAAATTCTGTAAAAAAATGAAATCTTTTTTTTTTTAAATAAAAAGTAAATAAGCCATATGTGTACTATTTTTTGTTCGTATTCTTTACAATTTGTTTTTTTTTTTTCATTTCAAATTACGTCGTTTTATCTATTGTATAAAAACAAAACAAAATATTAATAGTATGTGAAATTCTTGGAATGTTATTCAGATGTTACGAGACTTGCATCTGAATTATGTCTTTTAAGAAAACTTTTCAAATGGCCACGTTTCAATAAGATGCTAAGTTATTTTGTTTGCATTTGAGTTTGCAATGCTGATGCGTAACTATTGAAGGAATAATAGAATTGAATTGAACGACTATTCAGTATGTTTTATATTTACTTACTTGTATTTTTTAATTCAACTATTTCTCAGTTAGCGAATTAAGTTTTTTCCGATAAATGATTTCAACAATATAACGGTTGATTGCTTTCATATTTTGAAAATGGTTCAAAATGGAGAAATTATGTATTTTCATTTCTACATGAAGTGTGTTGAAACTTAATTCAATCCCGTGTGCAAAAAAATGGGACTTACAATGTAAGTATTACAGTTATAAATAAATAAAGTACAGTTATAAATAACAGCTGGCTAAGTTGATTGGTGTTTAATCAGCACAGTCGTCTATTTTTGGAAATTAGTTGCAAAGTTGAATCGAATTATTTTGTTTGAATCAATCACATATAGACAGTCAAAATGTTCCAAACTAGCCGGCAAATATTTTTATAGGCGAAAGAAGCTTGAAATCGTGTATGCAATTATTGTCATCGGTACAATTGATAGAATATCATTAAACGGCTGATTAGGCAGCCAATAATTTTCCACATGGGATCGCAATATAATTGCCAGTTAGATTTTCACATGTAAAAAAATTGTCAATACATAATATTGTTACCAGTTAATAATGTTGTTACCAGCAAATACCGTTTATCAGAGCATTATATGTGAGGAGGAGCACTCTGAAGCAGAGCTCAGTGTGGAGCAAAACATTAAAAGTTTGAAAAATATCCAACATTTCATCTCAATTTTAATTTTTTCTTTCATCTTTTAATAATTTGCTCCTCAACGATTGTAATCGTGGACGATTTTTTTTAAATCGGTCTTCGATTATGAAAAATCCTTTGCCGAATAAGATCGTGAACGCTTTATAGCCATCGTGATTACAATCGTGCGTTTAGCAAATAGGACCTTCAATGCTCTTCCGATTCCTGAGGGCGCTCTGAAAAACAGTTTCAAAATATTTTTATTTTATCCGTGAAAGTAGATCTCATTGTTGCTTGTTTGACGAACACGAATAAAATGAATATGCGAAAGTGAACGGCGAGCTTATAATTTCTATTTGGATGTTGTTTGTGTTTGAACGAGAAACAAAAACATGAAATTTAATTTAATGTTTTTATTTGCCACAGTTTCCCAGTTGGCCCCAACTGATGACCGGTCACATCGTTCAAGGATCATATCATTTATAAAGCTGCCAATTTTTATGACAACCGCGTTTTAGCGTGGGGAAAACAATTAATTTGTAAGTATAAAGATTCTTCTGAATTTAATTATTTGTTGATTATTTTTCATTCTTTTCTTTTATGGTTCTCTTCTCCCTCAGGTATCTATCTACATTGTACAATTCATTTATAGATCATAAACATTATATTGGATATAGCCTTCACATGATATTCTCTAATTTGCATTTCATTGGACAAAATTAACAACATAGCTTCTATAGCTGGTAAGTGAAGATCGAAAAAGGTGTAATTAATAAAGATTTTTTGAAGGGGTTTATTTTAAATCTGTTCCTTAATGGGGGAAGACATAAACTATGATTGACAAATAAATTTTAATTTATATTTTGGACCCGTATATTTGCTTAGATTTATTTTTATCATCATTCTAAATGGAGACTTTAATACGTGTGTGGTTGGTGAGAAATACATTACAAAACCTTGACCGACACTTATTCAAATTTATGAAGAAATTACCTTCAACTGTTGTCTTTCAACTCAACAAAATAAAAATAATGTATGTTAACAAAAACAATGGATTTACTACAAGATTTATAGCATTTTTATATCAACTATTTGCAAATGGGATTGAAGGTGTGCTTCCGTACTGCATAATGCTATCATATCAAGATGAGGTGAACAATAAGTTCATTGCACTGTTGTACAAATATTTTGACATTTCAAAACATATTAGTTAACAAAGTCTTTTGCGGCAGTTTTCTGCTCGCTTGGTAATCGCAATTCGAATGGAATTATGAATGGTATCTGACGAAATGAATTGAGAAAATGAAAAAAACAACAACATGGTATAGCTGTATTTTCTCTTGCGATAGACCGATTCGATTTCGTAGTTTGTTCAGTTTTTCTGTATCGTTAATTCTGAAAAGCACAACAGTACCAATATGAGTATTGAAATGTATACATCATCATTTGAAATGAATGTAATCATAATCCAAAAAGTAGATATCGAGTGTGAAATATTCATATGACCATCTTCGGCATTTCAATTAATTTGTGTGCAATTTACCAGACTAGACAACGAAATCTATCTAGCGTTTTATCTTATTGACATATGTGTGTTAATTGGTAATGCTACAATGTCCATTTGAAAAGAAATAAACATGTCACCACACTCGCCAATATTTTGAATAGAAGTACACTTTAACAATAATAAAAGCAATAACCACGTTATAAATGTGCTAAAACACACGCTTAAAAAAAAGACAATGGCCATTCGTTGATCGGAAACAATTACGCTTAACATTGTTTCAACTTGAAATGGTTGTCGTCTGGCTGAGAGTTAAAATAATAACATTTGCCCCACTGAATAACGCGCGCACACCGCTTTTGCATTTACATAATAACATCGATCACTTGGTTTATCGAGTAACATGTTCAGAACTTTTGCACTGTTCGCGACAACACGAATCGTTTAGACTTGCTCACCGACCATAAAATAAAATTTGTTGATCAACATTTAACTAGGACTGCAACAAGACATCGTAGTGACATATTTCTATTGAGAAAACTCTTCATACAGTGCATAAAATAAGTGCAAAAGAGTTTGCTGTAATATTTTATTGAAATAAAAACCGTTTGAACAACAAACAAGTGACTTAAGTGACTCAATAGTGAAGCATCGTTGCTAAATTTGAATCATGTAAAACGAAAAGTTTTCTTCCAATCAGGATACATTTCTTTCATACTCTTTCAAATTAATTGTATCTAAGTCGAGCAAATTGTGCATCAGCGTGAATTTTCAAAAATTATCATTTACAGTTATTTTCAAACCAATTTCCGTATATCGGCTCTTTTCCATCGATTTAAAATCGCACTAAATCATAGCATATTATTAATTGTTCGGAAAAAAAAGAGTGAGGTGCCGAATTAATTTCTGAATAATTTTCCTTTTTTAAACCAATTGTCTCATTTGACAACAGATCGATAAAAAAAATTGTAACATACGAAAAAAAGACGCACATATCGTTATTTTGATATACGGGAAATGAGGCAATGATTGAAAATATATAATCTTGTCACACATGCAAGCATCGAAACAGTAAACAATAAAAGCACGAACTAGAAATCATAAACAAAAAAAAATTCACGAGAAACGATTGCAAGAAAATTGCTTGCGGATGTACAACTAGTTTATGCAGAATTCAGAGCATATCGCAATACAATGACGTTATCGGGAGCAGGATTAGCGCTTTGTTCACTATTCACGCTATATTTTGGTGAGTATATATCTATTTATGTGCAAACACAAATATGAGCAAGAAAAAAAACGTTGGAATAACTCGTCAACTGTCATTTGCATCAGAGATATCACACCATTCATAACATTTATTGTTGGTTATTCATTTTGAATGATTCAAAGAGGTATTAATGGTCATTTGTTGATTAATCATCATTATTATGTCGCAACTCAAATAAGTGTGAAATAGAAAAAGAGTCGCATCACGCGAATGATCACATTTTTGAAAATGATCTACTCTCCGATAATTGCTCTGATTCGTGCGCACAGAATATTATTCAAACAATAACTTCAACAAGATATTCTAATGCTTAAACAAGAAAATTCAATCAAATCGAATGGGTTTTAAATTTTATGTAATATCTTTCAATTTGTAAACGACGAAATGGAGATAGATTATATCTAAACATGGCCTTTGTAGTAAACAAAATTCGAATTTTTCCTTTTGGTGCAGTGACTGCCGTGTCTAAAGATGTATATTATTGTCTTTTTCTGTAGCATTGAAAAAAAAATAGTTTTTCATTTGATTTTCGGTATTATTTGCTTAACAGGCGGCTCACCAGTTATATACTCGCCAGCACCTCGGGGCGATTGCCATAATTGTTGCCCAATTCGGGAGCCAAGGGACATTAAATTCTTCTTATACACAAGGTAAATAATATCAACTACATATTGTCATCAACTCGTGTCGTCTTCTTCATTTAATTTTCGTTCAATATTTCAGATCGAATCCAATCAAAGCCGATGTACTTTACTTATCTGACAAAAAGCGTTTTGAATCATCAAACTTTAATAAATCGAATGTTCTGATTGTTTATTTACACGGATTTTCGGAAAGTGTACCCGGCGGATCTGGACAAAGTAGCCAAGAAATTCGGGACGGTATGTACTAAAATAAAAATAGATCTTTTATTTATAACAAAATACGTATTCGTAATTAATGGAATTAATTTTATTTTTTGATTGTGCTAAATCGCAAAAAATTCTTTGAATGTCAAACACAAATAGTAACTGTTTTTTCTAATCAAAATTGATTGCCACTGCGTTCGTGTTTTGATAGCGTTCTTAAAAGCAAATGACAACAACATTTTGTTAGTGGACTGGAGCCCAATCACCGCTTTGCCATGGTAATGATTCACACACACACTTTTTTCTATTACGACTACAGATGTACTATAATTTTCATTTGAACCGATGTTAAATTTTGCAAGGTATTGGAATTCTGTACAAAATGTGCCGCGTGTAGGAAGGTATTTGGCACGTTTTATCAAATTTCTCAATGAAAATGGAGTGAATATGCAACGGATTCATTTGATTGGCTTTAGGTATGAGTGATTCAGTTTTCGTTTTCATTTAATAAAATATTTCTTGTGTGCAAATATCAAAAAAAAAAAAATTGAACGTATAGTTTGGGAGCTGAAGTGGCCGGATTTGCTGGGAAAACGCTAAAAGAATGGAATCTTAGTTTGTCAAGGATAACAGGTACACTGATTCGAAGAAAAACATATAAAAGAATCGATTTTATAATTTGTCATAATTGTCGAAAGGTCTGGATCCTGCATTTCCCCTTCATATGTTCATTAATAAATCGACGAGATTGAGTGTGGATTCGGCTGATTTTGTTGATGTCATTCACACAGATGGTATTTTCGATTCGCACCAACCGTTATGATAGTCAAACTAAATTGCGTTCTTTATTTTTCAGGTGGAATTCTTGGCTATCCATGGCCACTTGGTATTTGCCATCAACATTTGAAACTAAAAATGCAATTTTTTTTTTAAAAATCCCTTTTTCTCAGGCCATGCAGATTTCTATCCGAATCGAGGTGTTCTACAGCCCGGTACTGTTGCTGTTTGTTTGTTGTTGTTGTTGTTGTTTTTATTACCGTTGTTTTTTTTTCTTCTTCTTTTTGCTTTTTTTCGGATGTGGTCATAGGTTGCGTAGCACAAGAGATATCAAAAAATCGATGGTACACTATTGTGGGTATGTTGGAAACTTTCGACGTCATTTTTATGCTAGTTTTTATGCTATCTAGTTTTGAAAATTGTCCATAGTTGGCTGCAGTCACCAGAGAGCATGGGAATATTTTATTGAATCACTCAGTCGGCCAAGTGCTTTTTTGGCAACATACTGTGAACCAACTACTGAACCAAAGTCGTTGTTACCAATAAACAATCAAACCGAAATAAACTGTGATAAAAAAATTTCAGCTTACATGGGCTTCAGTGCAGACACAAGGTAATTTGACGCGAATATATTTATTGAAATCATTTCGAAACAGCAAGACTATCTTCTAAGATTCTACTACACACTGTTTTCACAGTGTCCTTTGCTTTATTTTGGTTGTATACAATACTTCCACATTTGCAAAATCCAATTGAAATTTCGATGTATTTCAAAACGATGTGATTAATTGTAAAAATGTGATTCATTTGGTTTGTAGGTTACGAGGTAAATTCTATTTGTCAACGAATAGTGAACCACCATTTGGTAAAAATTGAAGCAGCGCTGCAAGATCGGAGAGTTTTGTAGTTGCTGAGCAAAATCAAATAAACGATCGAGCCCAAAGTTATGCTAAATTATTATTTATTCCAAGTTGGAACAACTGTCAGTCATAATACTAGATTTATAAGGGGCAATGCTTTTCATACCATATTAGATTCAACGGATTTATTATGGTGAAACGATTTATTTGCTGACAGTGACAAAATGATTGAAAGCAACTAATTATCAACATTTCTATGATTCTGCCATTTACTTTTTTATGACAATTTCAGAAAATTAAGAACCATCCCAGTAATATAATTAATTGTTAATCACAATAAACGCCTATCAAAACTCTTGAATATAGATTATCATTGATTAAAAGCATTGTATTGTATATTAGTTAGCTCTTGAGATAAGAAAACAAAAAATACAGTTAATTCAACTATCAATTTGAGGAATTCTTCTTTAAAGAATTTTACTTTTTCGAAAAGAGAAGAAAATAAAGTGATAAGAAGTGGTATATGAAAAGATTTAAGATGATGATAGTAAAAATAAAGGCACGACAATTAATTGAACATTTCAATTTTTTGCCTTGATCATTAGCACTAATTTTGATGTTTTATCTGAGGCACTGTTTCATTTTTATTTGAAATAAAGAAATTATTACGTTCAGCACTTTGTTTTTTTTTATTCAAAGCAAAAAAAACTAGATTGATGGTGTTTCTACGTGGAATGAAGGCGAAAAACTATGAACTTGATTTATGGACGATAGTCAAGATCTTCACTGGGTTTAGGTCCATTTGATGGCCGATCTGAGGGTTTAATATAAGGAAATTCCGCATTATTTTCGTAGCTAGCAAGAAATACACGATCTTTCAGAAAATCTTCGGGGTACTTCGTCAGCAAATACGTCCAGCACAAATATTGTTTTCTATTAGAAAATAGAATCATGAAATATAAACGAGCGAGAAAAGCAAGAAGAAAAAAGAGAAAGAGAGAGATCTTACCCGTCATCACTTTTGACGGCAATTTGTTTTCTCAAATAATAATGTGGATGACCTTCGAATTCATCCAACCTGGCCAACATTTGTTCATCCACTTCATAAATTTCTCCATTTATATTAAGACCGACGTCTTTTAAATCCACCAGAAACGGAATGTTGTATCGTGTGCCCATCACCATTGGATATTTATCATCCGTCGTACCATTTCTAATGAAACGTGATGCTCCATTAGCTGGATCCAACATCAAATAATGATTTGGTTGATTGATTTTCAAAGTGCCGTACACAAAAATTAGGAACATTTCTGTATGCAGCATTATTGAAATGACAGCAAAAAGATCACCGATGACAATAAAAAGACGTTTGCTGACGTTTTCGTTTGAATGACGTTTGAGTTAACGTTCGAATTTATTTGGAATGAGCGCAATTTTTGAATAACCGAATTCTAACAATTTTAAAGTCGAATTGAATGCTACAATTTGATGATTCGGTTTTATAACGGAGAGTTTATCAACATAATCATTGATAACTTATCAATGATAAGTTTGTTGGTTTTGAGTTTTTTCCACACACAACAAAATATACGGTCAAATCAAATGAAGGTGCGGTCATATTTTCACCATTTTGGCAATTTGGTGGAATGATCGTCATGTTTAAAGTCCAGATCTGCGACCGATTGGCCGATCCGTACTCTCGTAGCCACTGAGTAATTGAAACTTGCCTTAAATAATAATGTAGACAATCTGGACAAAAAATAATCGCGCACTTGCTAAATTTCCCCATTCATATTATGTCCAATATATGGTAAAGCCATTCAAAAATTGAACAAAATATGAGAATTTGTTTACTATTTCAGACCAGAATTGAAAAAAGGTACTCCCCTTCAATTTGATATAGTGTAAACACATTCAGTCTCATTCGATGGGAAATACTGCAATAGCAATCGATTATATGATGCAGGTGTATCAAAATGATGAAATGTCATCTGTTTTCAACAGTGAATAGATTGAGCTACAGCTATATCATTGCCATTTTCACAGCTTCTATTCATAGGTGCTATTGATGACTTTATGATACAATTCCGAACGAAATGTTCAAAATGTAAATAGAACAATAGATTTATTGATTTTAGTATTTTTTTGCATAAACAAATCAATAGGTCTATTGTCCGGAATTGTATCATAAAATTGCTGTCCGTATGCGTGGTTCACAAATAGCAACTATGAATAAGAGCTGTGAAAATAGCACTGCTATAGCTGTAGCCCAATCTATTCACTGGTTTTCAATAAACAATCTTCAACGAGAACCGTCTCAATATCTCTTTGGCAATTTTTGACTTGATTATGAATGAGTAGGTATTTGCAGTACTTGCTATTATTGTCAGTCCGAGAGCAAAAGGTCGTTGTTGCTCACGCATCAGATCGTTCGAAGCATTCCAACGTAGAAATCTTTGTTATCAAAATGAAATCGGTGTTATTTTTCGGTTACATCCTGGCGATGATGGTAAGTTTTGTCGTTGAACACCATACCATAGCTAATAAATATTTATTTTTCAGAATTTGCTAAATAAATCTATTACAACACATAAATGTTGCGGTCATAATATTATTGAAACAATAAACCTAAATCTGTCGCTTGGTGAAGCTCCACATTGGGATAAGAGATGTCAATCCTGGTATTTTACCGATTTTTATGCCGAATCAGTGACATTGTATCGTTTAGAATATGCAACATTGAAGTTATATTCCGCAAAAATTCCTGGTGTACATAATGTATCGTATATGCTTCCGACTGAAGATGATGAACATTTATTCCACGTCGGACATGATCTTGAAATGATTCTTGTTAAATGGGATGGATTTTCTCCCATCGCAAAGAAAATAGATGTACTTTTTAGAGTGCAACAAAGCCCAAAATACGCAATGAATCGTTTACATGTTGGGAAAGCTGATCCACGTGGTAGATTATTTACTGTAACGTATAATACAAAGCTTTGTGGTGACGTTGCATTATCATCAGTTTATCGAGATTCGTGTTTTAATGGTTTAACATCAATTTTTACACATCAACGATCTCCAGCTGGTTTGACGTGGAACCCAAAAACGAATCGATTTTATTACTTTGATTTGTGTTATCCCGATATTTATGAATGTAAATGGAACTCGAGAACTGGCGATATACGTACGTTTCCACATGAAAATTACTTGATTTATTTTTGTTTTATACAAAATTTGTTTGCATGCAGGTGATTGTCGTGTGATTTTCGTACTTGAAATGGATAATCCGATAACATATGTTTTGAGTGGATTAACAATTGATCGGAATGGTTATATTTATTTTTGTATTTTTAACAAATCTGTTGTACTAAAAGTTGATCCAAGGTGAGTAAAATTCTACTCATTAAATGTTATTGGCCCTGTGGATGCGTGTTGAAATATTATTTTATTGTAGAAATGGCGAAATTGTAGAAGAATTCAAGTTCGAAGTTCCAACAGTGATTTCGCTGTCATTTGGTGGCTCTAATTTGGATACGATGCTTGTTACAACATCAAATACAAGAATAAATTTGGAAAATGGTACAATTATTCAAAGTGATTTACCGAAAAATGCGGGCTCACTTTTCCTAATCAAATGTATGAAAGCTCGTGGATATCCTGGCCAAAATGTTCGACTTTGTCCAAAGGCTAGAAAAAAATTAAAGTTGTAGGAACATGATGCAAGTAAAGATTCAGATTCAAATGAGAGTTTTTAATTCAAATAAACCATTCAAACCGAAAATAAATAATTTTGGCACAAGATTTTTTTAAATACATTTTTGACACTATCATATGTAGAAAAATATGTGATTTACCCAATTTTATGAAATTCGAGCTCAACCCTAGGGGGAATTATCTATACGGGGAATATAGTATAAATAGATGAAGACATCGCAAGTATGCCGCATATACGCTGCATATATGCGTATAAACCATATATATACGGAGTTATTTGCAAATATTATTTGCAAATATTCTTCGGTATATACGGTTTATATTCTTATACGCAGCATATTCGTTACTTATTTTATTCGATATTTTCCCCTAGGCTCAACCTTTAAACGAGCTCAAAAACAAGTTCTTAAGGGCGACGATCTTTCAGAAATTCTACCAACAATATGACAGCCACTACTTCTCAGCCACTTCATAAATAAAAACCTCGTTGAAATGGTCTTTCACAAATGGTTGAAAACATTCACTTCAAGTCTTCACAAAATGTTAAAAATGCTATTTAAAAACTAAACAAAAACAATTTTAGAAAGAAAATAGGAAATGTAAACTCAATTTTTGGTTTAAATTATTTGTTTATTAATGTTTTTGTTGTTGTGTTTCATCTTTTAAGTGTAATTGTTTTTTTACTTGAGTTTCACGAAATTACAATTTAAAAGAATTCAACCTCTTTTAATTTTATGCGAGCATTTAATGCGTTCACTTCACTGAGGGCAAAATTAAATTAATATTTTGCATTTGGTGTACCAAAGCTATCATTGAGTATTTTATTGAACTCATTTTGATAATCAGCCCAAAAAACGAGCAAATTTGGCATCCTCATAAAAAAATGTGGAAGCTCAAATTATACCGAATTTTTCAAAGAAAATATAAAATATTCAATATTGCAAATTTAAGATATTATTCTGCCAAATCTCCAAATGTCGTCAATTGAAAGAAAACATATGTGTTATTACATTTCTGTAACTTATTCGTCAAAATTATTTGGATATCATTTTGTTCGTAAAAAAATGTTATGATTTTCTGTCCATTTCTTCCTCTCGCCTCAATTCCAATTGAAATATATCTGTTAAATGGTTGCTCCTTGGATGTGAGATAATTAAATTAAATTAAAATCAAAAAACGGTTAAATTAATCTAGAAAATATTTGTAACTGCATTGTCACAATCCAATTCGCAACCATTAACTGTCATTCTACTTTTGATTGATTTCAAGAGAAAATACACCCTACAATATATTGTCACATCTAGGTAAATGTGAGAAATAACAATTTTGTTCTTTTAAGTACATTTATAATTCAATCAGTTACATTTGAGTGAGTTTTGTAATAAATGGGATGCGTTAATCTATTGCCAATTCGTTAATTTATTTAGTTACTCGGGTTACAAATCTAATTGCATTTTATCGAAATATCATCGAGACCATTGTATGTCCTTTCGTTACAGTCAAAGCAATACAATGCTAGTTAATGGTATTGTGGTCATTGTATGCTTCATAGTTCGGCTGAATTTATTGTGGAGTCGATTCATTTTCGGCTTTGATTGTATAAGCCTATTTTTGCATTTCTTTAATATCGATTACTTTCTCTGTCCGAATATTTCCCACTTATTTTACTGACTGAATAGCGATCAGAGTATGCATCATTGTAACGATCAACTTTATAGTTTATCTCATGCGGTGTGTAACCAATATTCTTCTGCCAATATCGCGTCCAATACAAATCCTCGTTACGAAGTTGTGCTGGCGTTTTTGCATCACGACAAACCACCACACAGTAAATCATGCTGCCAATTAACGTTGCAAATCCAAATATTAAAAATACTAATCCTAGGATCCTGCACAAATTGAAAAATGTGGAGAAAAACTTTCATTAAAAATAAATGAAAACAATTACAACCATACGTATTTTGAAAACGGCTCTTACCAAACAAATAACGGCTCGATAAATTGTATAACAATAACAAAACCGAGTGTTACTAATATTAAACCCAAATTAAGAAGCAACATAAGACAGCAAACACCTTTAACGTTCGGACAAAATGGATTTGGTGCAGACATTGCTTCGATACGGGCACCGGCTCGTCGTGAACGATTACTGCGACCCGTTTTCGCTGAACTAGCAACTGAATACAAACTTCGCGGTCCATGTGCATGTGATCGATGCGTGTATCGACTGTTATAAAAATGAATTAATTTCGTTGTTAAAATAGATTTGTATTATTTTAAATTTACCTGTATTCAGATGGTGCTCTATTGCTCTCTCTATATGCTGCACTTGTGACGTATATATCACTACCGGTGTCACCGCCATTCTCGTAGCTCAATGCCGATGGTGCTCGAGGTGGTACTCTCGTTGGTGGTCCGTACGTTGGACCCAAATTTTTTGGGCCAGCATTCAAATCGTTGCGATGATATTTATCTCGATGTACATGTGGAGGTGATGTGTTTCGTTCATTTGCTGTTGTATATTCCGATAATGTGCGTTCAGATGGGGCACGTTGACTCTCTTCACCGTCCGTCCAATAGCCACGATTTGAATGTGAATAATCTACGGCATCTACTCCACGTGTAGCAACATAGTGACCATTTTTTAATCTATTTTTTTCCAATGTGGATTCAACAAATCGATTATTTTTCATTGAGTTTATGGTTTAATGAAAAAAAATAATTGGTTCTAAAATAAAAAATCGGTCTTACTTTTTAACAGATCTTTCATGGACCTTCGGCATTTTGTTGAATATCTGATGAAATTTGTACAAAATTTAAATATATGTTGTTTTATTGTCACTGATTCATGTTGCCATCATTAGTTATGTCTTGTCACAATCTGAAATTATCAACATATCAATGAAATTAAAATCGTTATTCCTCGAAATCCATTAGTGTTGTGAATAAATTAAATTTTTGCACGCTGACTTGTGATGACCGGTCTTGTCAGTCGATGGTTTTCTATTTTGAATTATTCTTTTCAGCATTCAGCTTTCTAAAGACACAAGTAGTCTATTCTTTTTTTTTACGAAAGAAGACGAAAAAAATTCAATAAACTCTTCTGAATACTGAATACCAAAAAAATCAAATTATTATTAAAGCAGAGCATGTACTTGAACAAATTTCACCTCAATTCAAAGCGAGCACGAGCGATTTCAAAATGACAAAAAAAATGTTGCTTGTTCCGTGAAATTAAATTGGGACATGCGCGCTTTATTTCATTTCTTTAGGTAATTGAAGTGCGTCAATTGACGAATTTTTGTAATTCTATAAAAAAAACTTTTTTTTATTATTGCATTGTTCCGTAGCTAACATCGAAAATAAAGGTCAAAAGAATGCGATTATTAACTGATTTTACTCGTTAACCCCCTTAAAACGCTGTGCCAAAATGTTTGTCTCAACAACTCGGTTCGATAGAAAGAGCGATAGATAAACAAAATAGAGCCAGAGAGAAGTAGTAAAAAAGAAGAATGTAGCATATTACATTGAGATGTTGAGATAATCAATTTGTACACAGACAAAATGGTGATCTCAACCTCAATCTGCTTAGAATTTTGCAAAAAAATAATAATATTATTAACAAAAATAAAACGTGAAAAATTGCATTATTCAAATTTTGAAATGAATACGATATAACCATTCTCGTTCTTGAGTGAATCTCTATTTCTCTTTTTTTTTGCTTTAAACTATGTCCCTGTCTTGTTCTTCTATTCAAATGCAAACAATGGCTTAAGAATATTGAATATACTTTCTTCGTGCGCGTAAAATTCTTCTCCATCTTCACGCAATCATTCATTTTCTCTGTTGCTTATTGAAATAATTAATCTGAAATAAAGTGGTGGACGTATTTTTGCATGGAATGCAAAAAATGTATGTTTTCAATTCATGCAACAAAACGGATATTATTATTTGCATGCTTGTTATGATATCTCTTTTGATAGTTACACAAACGGTAAAGTTGAATTGCTTAACATCGTTCGTTGCACAAATGTTTATGCATATTTCTATTTCTCTTTTACAAAGTGCGCACTAATGAGAAATTACAGAAATTCACTCAGTTCGTAAATGTGTTCTGTGGGAGCGATAAGAATTCTTCTTGTTGTTTTCTCGCGTTTTTTTCCCTCGTTCATTTCAGATTTAATTTGCATTCAGCGATAAAATGAAATGAAAACTTATGATTTGTTGAAAAGGTCTCATTTGCATATCAAACAAAATTGGCAAATATTTAACATGTGTTATTATACATCAAAAAGATCATAAAAATTTAAAAAAAACTTTGAAGCGATTATATGATTTCGAAATGGATAATGAAATCGTTTATTGTCAATTGCATGAAATCATCATCATTGATGCAGTAGCATTTGCAATTTGTGCTCGCATCGTGGTGACATTTTCATTTCATTAAGGTAGCGCGAGCGCACAACATGATCTCGTGCATATGTATGAACTAACAATGCAGATCGGTATATATATTTTTTTTCCGTTTCGAATCTGGTTTTGAAAGTCAATATTCTGTGCAATATATACAATGTAATGGAAACACACACACACACACTCACACTTTAATTACGAATATTCGATTGGTTTGCGAGTAAAAATAAATTGAATAGGCTTGTAGCGTTTGGGATGGATTAAATTACTATTATTGTATACACCTGTATGGCAGAAATTCAATTCTGGAGACTGATAGAGAGAGCGCAAGCGATGATGTATAAAGAGTAGAAGAGACGATAATTTGAATGACGAATCGAGCGAGAGATAGAGAGAGATGGGGTTTTCGTGGAAACAAAAAATAGCACAGAGACGTGAGATTTCAAATTAAAAGATCGTATCGAATGTATGAACAAAAGCATCATTCTCAAAATGAAATAATCACATTTTTGTATCGTTTCTTTTCTTTATAAAGAAAGCACTTGGTCATTTCATTTCCCTCAAAATAAGAAAGAACGGTGTTTTTCCATTTTTCATGGAAAATCGTGCTAGCAACATTTATGACGAATAAATTGTAAAATTCAACCAACATAAGTGTGATTTGCGTTGAAAAATGATGACCTAATCCACAAAAAAAAAAACCACAGTTTGCATTGACACTTAGTTCATTTGAAATTCCGATAAATGGCAATGTGTGGGAATTTCATTGCAAACAAGTCTCAAGCGCGAATATATTTTCGTTCGAAATAGTTTGATCGTGTTATGTGTGCTTTCATGTGTCTCTTCTACGTTTTGGGCAAGAATCAAAGCCCACACACATATAAAAAGGCACACCACTGAAGAAGTTTTAATGCACCAATAAAGAAGCAAAAAAAGACATCATAAATCCGTCAACGCAAAAACAACAAACTATTTTTTTTATTACACACTTGTTTGCATCAAATCTATAATTTTTTTTATATAATATCATAATTTATTCCACGGATTAGGTAACTTCGCATTGTAAGACATGAGAGAAGAAGAAGAAAAAAAACAATCATAAATATGTGAATCACAATTGAAACAAAGTGTGTGTGTGTGTGTCGTTTTTACAAAACGAAGAAAATTGAGCTCCATACTCGCACGCTGTAAACACTTGTGCGCAATTCCATCACCGACGACAACAATTCATATGTTTCTTTATTTTATTGTTTTTTTTTTTGTCAATATTTATTCGGTAGCAATAGTACACTCACGAACACACACACACAGCGAGAAACACGCAAACAAAACAATTACGATCACGTCGTTGAAACAAAGAAATGAAGACAAAGTGATTTTATTTTCTGCACGATTGAATTTAGTCCTTTCTTTTTT